ATATACAGTCAATTCATTTTACAATATATTTTGTGAAGTGCATTGAGACATCTCAAAGATGTGATGAAGCACTGTATAAAATGTAAGGATTATTATTGTTATTATTTTATTATTACTCAGGTTTTTTTTTGTATTGTTCTCAAGCTGGCATGAAGGTCATTATAAGGTAAAATGATCATGCTCGAATGGTTTAAATTAAGTGGTTGAATCTTTACAGCTCAGATGCAATTCTTCAGTCACTGCTAAATAATAATAATCTCTGCATTTGAAATTGGAAGCTTTGTAGCTCTTTCCCACAAAAAGATGAGTGAAAACACCATCATTTGAAACATTTATCCTCTCTCATTGAAAACGGTACAATATTTGCTCTCTCCTGCACCAGGTTCTGTGAGCTGATCATTCCCATCCTCGCCCGGCTTCACGAGTTCCCCGTCCCCCAGAGTATCGAGTTTGAGATCCTCATCTTCATTTTTAAAGCCCTCCCTACCTCAGCCACCTGTCCATTCAGCAGACGCTATCCTGCTTCGTGTCCTCCACCCTGCCCGCCCCACTATCAGTGGTCGAGCCTTCAGCCTCTCTGCCCCCACCCACTGGAACTCTATCCTGGAGTCCCCTCACCTCACTCCCTTCCTTGCCTACTTCAAGGCCCACCTCAAGACCTTCCTCTTTGACCGAGCCTTCAGTCATCCTCCCACCCTCCACCCCTTTTGATTCAACCCCCAAGGTCGGGCGCAAACCCTTGACTGTCAATGGGACGACCTCCCAACATGAAAGGCACTATATAAATATAATTTGTTGTTGCTTAATCCTTAACGCTGAATAATTTGGTGAAGGGTAAGTTTATTAATTGGTTACTTCTTAAATTTGCAAAATAGAATGATTCTGTAACATCCAAGGATCTGAGAGCTCCATTAGAATATCATAATAATAATCCTTGCATTTGACATAGTGCTTTATCACGTCATTGATAGCGTCTCAAAGTGCTTCACAGAATATGCTATAAAAATGGATTTACTGTGTATTTTGTGGGAACAATGTACCACTGCATGATTAACCCTTTGGACTGTCTGTAATGTATAACATTATATAATATGTAATGTACATATATATATACAATATATATATACAATATATATATTATTACTATAAAATCTGTAAGTGTTGACTGTTGATTAAATACCCAGAATTGCCACGCTCAAAACTCAGCAGGTGTTGAGAATGTGCCTTGGATTCGCAGAAGGTTAAAATTCATTGTGAACCTTTGTAACAAATACCTTTCCATCATAAAACTGAAATGGAAAAGAAACAGATTTCTACATTTTGGTGTCTGAAGAGTTAGACAGTTGGCAAGGTTGAGCATCGCTTTGTGATAGCCTGGTTTGAGTTGCTGGGGTCATATGGAGAGCCGTTTACACTGTATTTAGCTGTTCTAGGGGCAGAAATAATTCCTTCAAAAAAAATAAAAACTTGCACACTTAATCCACGACTGTTTGAGGGACACAGTTGTGCACAATTGGCTGCTGCGATTTGCCCACAAAACATAGTCAATTCACTTTATAGTATAGTCTGTGAAGTGCTTTGAGACGTCTAGAAGACGTGATGGGACGTTTTATCATATGCAAAGATTATTATTATTAGAAATGAGGCTCACAAAATCTGAAGAATGAAATGACCAAAAGACCTGCAGAAATAGTCATGGCATGGATGCTCAGATTTATTAAATGCCCCAAAGCTCTTTGCAGGATATACTATGCAGTGACTGAGTACCTTATCAAGTCTTCTAGATGTCTCAAAGCGCTTTGCAGAATATACTGTAAAGTATCTTCTGGTGTTGAACGAAATCCCATAGAATCTTTCATGGATCAAATATTAGTTTACTTTTGCTCCCAAAACTCAGTCACTGCATAGTATATCCTGCAAAGAGCTTTTGGAGCATCCAACGTGAAAGGCGTTGTCCCAAATATAAGGATTATTATTACTTAAAATAACCCCACAACAAAAAAAGGAAAGGTTTCAGTATTTCACTTGTATAAAGCCCCTTGAAAATAGATTGAGATGTCACCCCCATATGTATTGTGATGCAGCAGAAATTGTGTGTAGATGCATATAGAGAAGGAACGTGATCAGGTATCTTACGTGTAGAGTTGTAGTGAACTACTGCATCCAGACCCAAAGCACATTCTAGGACCCATTATTATCACTGCATATCGTTTCTTGTGCTGCTTTAGGTAGGAACTTGTTGGGGATAGGTATGATGCTAGGAAGAACAGCGTTGAGATCTACTTGCTGAAAAGGTGTCCAAATATGGCAGTGCTTGTGTAAAGCAGTTCAGACAGTGTCCAAATATGGTTGAACTCACTGCACCAAAAGCACGGCTCAGGAGAGGTGCTTTTACTGAACTGCACACAAGAGGTCACTCTCGCAATGCAAGATGTGCGATAGTGCAGTCGGCGAATGGTGTTAACCTCGAGTGGGCCTTTTTAATGTTACCAGAGCATTGCATTCTTTCGGTTACATTTTCACTTTACTTTCTTGTCTTAAAGACGAGTACTGTTCTGGCATTGAGTGAGAGGCACCAAGGGGGGAAAACGCACCTTGTCAGTATAAAAGGAACTGTTAGACCCCGTTCTTTTAAGATTGTGTTTCACGTCCGTGGTGCATTTTAGTATTTTTTTTAAAAAAAGTTTTTTTTTAAAAAAAACATAAAAGATGTCTATTTAGCCACTGTTTGGAGGGTGCAGAGAGCAACAAAAAAATATCGAGGCCAGTTAGGGATTAGAAACCTCCCCTCTACATCTGCTGCTCGGAGGCCACACAGGGGATAACTCTACTCAGGGAAAATGACTTACAAATGCTCCACAACTATATTGAATTTCTATTTCATATAATAATCCTTGCATTTGATGTAGCACCTTGTCACGTCATTGAAACGTCTCAAAGCGCTTCACAGGATATATTGTAAAATGTAGTGACTGCATGTTTTGTAGGCGAAACCCGGCAGACATTTGCACACAGCAGTGTCCCACAAACAGTCGTGGAGTGAGTGACCAAATTATTATTGCTATTTTCTTCTAGATTTCTATCTCCAATACTAGGGAAATCAGTGAACACTTTTGAGTTTGGCTTCACGACATTCTCAAGATATGTGTATATACATACACACACTCACGTAACTCTAGAAGTAAACCAATGACTGTGGAATCTGGAACAAGCAGTGCCAACGGAGTGGGTCGGTGGGGGGAAACAAGAAGAAAAACCCCAAAACCCACGCATTCTCAGAAGCAAAACCAGTTACAAAGAAAATAGCACAGTCCCATCGATTTGGTTGTTACAAAGTTTAATTGACCGCTGTTTGCTATACTGAATCTCGAAGTGATTTGTGTTGTACAAAGTATGAGCGTGCAGTGGCATTGAAGATAACAGCAACCCAATGTAACTGATGTTTCTCTAATATTGCAGTGTTACCAATAAATGGGAATGTTGAGTAGGTTTACCAGGTTCGTAATATGCTGTCTGTTTAAAGACACTTTCCCGCACATCTAGATTCAGTACATTGCCCATCCTGCACCCCGTGGAGGTAGCGGCAGCCAGGACAAAACAAAAATTGTACACAACTGGGATACAATCTTCCATTCTAAGGGGTCTGGCACATCCGTGCGCAGAGTGAAAGCGATGGGTTCATCGTGTTACACAGGGTTGCAGAAATGCGAGGGGTCGAACGCAGAGAGGGCTGCAAGTGGCTGGAGTTACACAGGTAAGGTGGAATGTGGGTTTGTGAACGGTTGGTCGTTGGAAGGCGTGTGGGAGATGTGATCGCTCGTGGCTTTGGCAGTACTTGTGTCCATTTTCAAGGAGACAGGGCTGTAGGGAGGGGCCTGTCAGGGAGAAGTGACTTCCCTGAGCAGCCTCCTTTCCAAACACCAGATGCTGCAGATTTTTGTTACTGATTCACAATAAACCAAAGGATGAAAATCCCTCAGTTATTAACATTCAGACCACAACTGCTCCGATAAAAATTAAGAGAGATAAAGTCCTGTCTTTTCAGTCCTCTCTCCTGCAAATGTCCAATCCGTTCAGAAACCGAGATCGCACCTTGTGTGCGCGTAGCTCTACCGACTCACAGCTCTCAGGACATTTAAAAAATTCCTTTACTTCCCATTCAAGACATCAGTTTGCTGCAAGATACGAGCTGCTGCTCAAGTGCAGAGCTGTGGCCAACTAGACAGGCATCCAACTGGCAGATGCAGGCAGGCGATCTCCTCTCCTACATCTGCTACTCAGAGGCCAGATAGGGGATAACTCTGTGCAGGGGAAACTGGGAATGTTGAGTAGGCTTTCTAGGTTTCTGACATGTTGTCTGTTTAAGACATGTTCCTGCACATCAACCCAATTGGTTCAACTCTTTAAAATGGGTGGATGTGGAGCAGTCTGGCAGAGAAAGCAAACTTAAAACCTCATAAGCGAAGCTGAAAACCTCTCTACTCCACACACATTCAAACAGATATGCAAGCCTGTATCTACTTCTCATTACTGAGATGTGCAATTCAAAACATATATAACTAGCATTGGGGCAAGAGTTGTAAATATGTAGGCAAATAAACTCAAAATCTTCTTCCAGAATCAGTTTTCAACAGAACAATATACTGTAGTTACAGCAGTACACAAGCCACTACTGGGACTTCAGACGGAATCATATATGGGATAAAAACAAATCAGAATAATTGCCATGTTCAGCTTATTAAATTCAGGACAAAGTTCCCAAACTTGGCGCGAATGACATTCATTCCCTCCCTCCCTCACTCATTCACATACACACACAAAAAAGACGTCTTTCATAGTAAAGTGTAAAGCACACCACGCACACCCCAGATATTCACCATCAGAAACATGTATAAAGAACATAAGAATTAGGAGCAGGAGTAGGCCATTCGGCCTCTCGAGCCTGCCCCACAGTTCAATAAGATCATGGCTGATTTATTCTAACTCCACCTACCCGCTTTATCCCGATATCCCTTTATCCACAGGAAATCTATCAATCTCAGTCTTGAATAAAAATGTACCTTTGTGTATGTCTTACTCAACTATAAAACTGGCCTCAGTACTAATCCATGTCATAAATCTCCCTGGCATCCCTCACTTAATATTAAATAGTACAAGGAAAATTCTTGTTTTCAGTGAAAGAGTAGGGCCATCAGCAAACCCCCAAGCAGTCTAACATTATACCTCCCTGGCCTACTCCACAGGTCATGATGTAGCCATCACTAAACCACTGTAGTATTTGACTTATTTTAGCAATAAACATTTTCCCCTGAAATACAAATAATGTTGATGCAAATTAGTCCCTGCAATTTCCTCTTTTAAGTGGGCGTATCTATGATGCATTTAATGAAGAGAGTTTCATCTTTCACGTAGGCCTGTTTAGGAGAGTCCAGTTTACACAGTGAGAAAAACATAGGACAGCCACTGGCAATGTTCATCTCGTTCACTGGCCTCTGAAACGAGGACGAGTTCAGGTCAGGACGAAAGGCATCAATCACATGTTCTCTGTTGTTCTGGTCCAGGAACATGAAGGTGACCTTAGGAGTAGAAACAGCACGATTTCAGTTCAGAGTAAAAGCTGCACTTTCCTGCTGTGCAAACCTCAACAACTAAAGCAGCATAAACCAAAAGGCTGAACACAGGATTTAAGAACCAATCTACACCCCAGCTGCCACCCTTCCTCTGCAACCTCCGCCATCCTTACCAACCCAGCCATTCCCTTCGCTCGGCCGACACTCGCCTACTCTACATCCCCTGCTCTATATGCCCCACTACCAGCAGGCGGGCCTTCAGCCAGTTCATGATTCACTCTCCTGCAGGTAGCTGCATCCTCTATGGATAATATCTTCCACTTGTCATACAGCATTACCTTCTGCTTGAAAGGCCACTGGAGCAGGGCATCGTATTCACCCCTCATCATAACAAAGAACAGCGAGATGTGAGATCCTCGACCTGCTCCGTCACCATTTAAGTAAACCCTCATCCGCACCTTGTACCCGTATCTGCTGGTGTAGAAAGCTGGAAAATAAAAAGGAAACAGACCTCAGCTCAAAAACACGGGTTACAGGTCACGCCTTTCACCACAAACTGCTTTGGAACAAAGTATGTTAAATCCTGCACAGCTCATTACGACACCTGGTCTGCTATCGGCCTTCAAAAGCATCTAACACAAAGCCTAGGTGTGTGCCAGGGGGTGCCAGGCCAGGACTGTCAAGTAAGCGTCGTGGGGATATTCTCTCAACGTGAAAGGTACCATATAAATGTAACTATGTACTTTGCAATAAAATAATTGAACTAATTTCTTCTGTGGTATAATCAGTCCCCTCTCCTGTATTGAGGAGCTTTGGGACGTCCTCCTGATGTGAAAGGCGCTATACAAACGTAATTTGACGTTTGTTGTAGCAGCGCTCACTGATTTTTCTTGAGATGAATACTGTAAATTGGATTGACCGTATATTTTCGTGGGCAAAATGTAAAATAATCCACGTAAACTACAGTAAACTCCTTATAAGTCGACCCTGCCTTAACTTTTTTTAAAAAAATTAAAGCATACCAGGAGAGTAAAGGCTGGTGATTCTTCCCGCAATGGCTTCCTGGCGCTTTCTAGTGAAATCTGTAATCTTCCACATAAATATTCCATCGTAAGAGACGTCCTCCACGGCGAGGATCTGCATGCGGAGCTCGTTGAGGAGCACATCTTTCAGGGCCAGGAGATGCTGCTGATCAGTGACCTGGAAGCCCAACAGACAAAAAGTGAACATTTCCAGGTTATTTTTCTATTAGTAAAAGCAACTGTTACAGGAAATTTAAAGGGATGTTTCCCTTTAAAGGGGTGGAAGATTGCATAGCTCCACTACGTTCTTGTTCAAGAAACTGTGAATTCACAACTGCACTCAGGTCCACCCACATTTCTACACAGTGCCATATTACCTGCTCTTTGCAGGAGACTGTTAGGATATACGCTGCTGCTCGATGGAATCACCACACCCTGTGTGTAACTGTGTATTTCAATTGTGATTACTGTATATGGAAATTACTATACACAGACTTTACTGTGGGCCATGCAAATATTGAAGAGGCATACAAATCAACCCAGATATCTGGTAATATGCAAACGTGCGTTATAACTGCATGAACTACTGAAAGCAGAAAAAGCTACAACAGAAATGCTTCTGTTAAATGCTTTGCAAACAGGTCAAAAGATTCCAAGCACAGATGATTGTATTGGGCTTTGTGTACACTTTATAGAAGTTAGTAAAGCAACCGAGTTTGCCTGATAGCGATATCTCGGTGCTTAGTGGATACCAAACATAAACCTGCCTTACCTTACGTTCCAAGTTTTTAATGATGTCTTGATCGAGCTTGTTCTGTCTTTCAAATGCACCCATAGTGGTTTGGGCTTTCTCTACCTCCCGGTTCAAAACTGTCACAATATTTTCGAAGGTCTGAATTTTCCTTTCGAGACCGCTGATTTTGCTTTGACACTCTGTTAACGTCTCCCCAGAGCACAGTGCCAATGGTAAATCGGTAATGCTGCCGGAATAGGAAGCTCCATCAGCGCTGTCACATTCCAAGCCGTTCGATTCCACGGCTACTTGTGACTGCAGGGAAGACAGGGAGCCTTGCAAGCGCAGAGAGGACAGTCGCTTCTCCAGATGCTGGGTTTTGGAGTTTATGAGTGCGACAGCTGAGGCATCCTCATCGTCTCCATTAGCAAGGTTGCAACCATGCAACAAGTTGACTTTTATAGTGCTGGTAAACTGAAGCAGCAGGTTGAGGTGCACATTGACTGAAGAGTTCATGTGATCCTTCAGGAGCTCTTTACCACCCTGCTTAAAGCACAAGAATTTCACAAGTTCCATCCACGAACAACAGTAGCAACTTGCATTTACACAGAGCCTTTCACGTGGAGTAGCGTCCCGGAGCGCTTCACAGTGACAGAGTCTGACAACGAGTCATGGGGAGTGGGCGGTGACCGTAAGCGCGATCAAAAAGGAAGGTCTTCAAGGGGGATTTGAAGATGGGGAGGGAAGGGGTGAGCGGAGGTTGCGTGACTTGATATCTCTGTTAACAGATCCATAAACCTAATGAGATATCAAATCACACAGTCACCAAATAAAAGCGTAAATTTACAGTGACTGGAGCTAAAACTGTCAGGCCAAATCTCACAAAATCTTTTGTGGGTGAAAGCTGTAATGAGTTTTCGCCCACAAAAGATAAATTCACTTTACAGTATATTCTGTGAAGCCCTTTGAGCATCTTGAAGATGTGATAAGCAGCTATATCAAATACAAGGATTATTATTATTATTTTTATCATCTCAGCCAGTCGTAGGATATAAATTACATCTTGATAGCCCAGTAATGAAACGGACATTGTATTAGAAAGAGAACTATATCACTGAACCATTCAAGCAAGACTGAAAATTGTCACCTGTGCAATGTACGTTGCACATCGGACAAACAGAATTTCATAAGAATATCCACAACGAAAAAAATAAAAACAAAGACAGAAAGAATTTCTAAATCAGGAGGCTTACCCTGAAAGTACAGCCTATTTCTGTGAAGCAACATTTGTCCCGGGTTTTGATTCCTCCATGCAAGTGAGACTGTAAAACAAATGATCCAAATCAACAGCAATTTATATCACCTTCTCTGGAATTGGATTAATTCCTGGTCAACCTGAATAAAAGGTTAGGCTCCATTGTATGAGTGGACCTTTACTGAGTTCTGACAAAAGGTCATCGACCTGAAACGTTAACTAATTTGCCTCTCTCCATAGATGCTGCCTGATCTGCTGAGTGTTCCCAGCAACTTCTGTTCTTATTTCAGATTCCCAGCACCTACGGTATTTTGCCTTTCGTTTTAGGGTGAAAAGGGAACACAGCAGAAGTATCTTACCCACAGCACAGCAGGACAGAGCTTTCAATATGAATGACTCATATACTGATGCACCTCTAACAGGCACCCACAAGCTGTTTAATGCATTCACTTCTATAATAATAAACCGCGTAACAGCAGAGGTCTCGGTTTGGAGGGATAGAGCTGCTTATTTTCTTGACAACATGTTTTAAGTTGATAAGACTCTCACCTTTTCCCTGCTCGGTGGTTCATCTTTAAATGGCTTTGCCTCTTTGATGGATGCTTCCTCACACAGATGCTCCTGAAAAGGATGAAATGTAATCTTTTCACTCGATTGAAGCAGAAGTTAACAAGTCATAGTTTGTTCTCCCAGCAAATTAACCTCCAGAGCAGCTCTGGCAAAGTCAATGATAGCATTTACAAATGTGCTCAATTACTTGTTTTACACACCACAGTAATGGAGGCAACGAGAATGAACACAGACTTGCTTTGGTCTATCGCAACAGCATGAAAAAAATATCGCTGAAAATAAGTGACATGACAATGTGCGTGTTATCACATGGTATGAGGCAGTCAGCGGCACGGATGATACTTAATCTGACATCCCTCTCCAGTCAGCAAGCAATAGTCATGTCATCTGAACAGCTTTCACATCAGATGCCAATAGAGGGTATAGTGTTAATTTCAGATTAATTCTAGAAATACGTTTCTTTTTGAGATCTGACGGTGAAGTATAATAATTCGCTATCAGATTCCATGAAAAACGCTTATATTCTTTTTCCACGCCAAGAAATACGATCTTCAAACCTGCATGTCTTTCATAAACATCTTCACGTTGCACCACTGGCATTCGTTCATATTATTTTTGCACTCTCTTTCCAAATGGTCTGCCAGTTTCTTCCTCAAAACCATCAGTCCGCAGCCAGTGCTGCAAGGAATCAGTGAATACTCACACTGAGACACATGATCCTAAAAAGGAAAAAGAAGCCAATGTATTATTAATACTAGTAATAATTTGATATAACTCCTCATCACTTCGGCGAGATATCTCAAAACGCTTCGCAAAATACACTGTAAGGTGAATTGATTGTATACTCTGTGGGCAAAACACGGCAGCCAATTGCGCACAGCAAGTGTCCCACAAACAGTTGTGGATTCAGTGACCAAATTATTATTTTAATTTTTTTTAAAGGGATTATTACCCCCGGAAAAGCGATCTGCCAATTGACTAACGATCAAGTTCCTAGTTACTGCTAGGTGAACAGAAGCATGTGGAGTAAAGAGACTTGTCCAATGTTTCGCCCTGCCCAGGAATCGAACCCAGGTCCTCTCAACAACAACAACAACAAGATTTCATTTATAGAGTGCTTTTCATGTCGGGAGGACGTCCGAAAGCGCTGGACAGTTGGGTCGGGACCCGAGCAGGGGGGAAATGGTCAGGGTGAGGGAAGGGAGGGAGCGAGGAGGGGAGCTGAAGGCACGGTTGAAGGCTCCCTTGCTAGGCGAGTGCACTAATCACTACGCTATAGGACTCAACAAGATCAAGGAGACTTAGTGTTAATGGAAGAACTGAAAGAAATCTGAATTCACTTTTATAGGCGCGAAAACAAATTAAATGATTGAAAATCTAACAGTAACATAGGGCAGGTAGCTGCAGCTAATACTTAGCTAAAAAAAAAGACACTGTGTGAATTACTACTTGTGTCACAAAAAGTTCAGTAATTTCTCCCTTTATTCCCAGAAAAATCCACCAGTAACCAAAGCACCAAAAAGTTTTTTTTAAACTGTAATTGTACAGTATATAGCTGTATTTCCAGTATACAGACCTTGTGTAACTAGATGATAGGCAGCTTCTCTCATGACAGTTTTCAAAGGAAGTTCAGAAATACTGTTTGTACATTTTTAGCTAGGTGGCCTTGACCCAGAGTTACCCATTACTCAAATCTACTGGTGGTGTTCAATGTGGATCTTCATAATGTAAGTGGTTAGACCTTGCTTTGAAATAGGCCAAGTTCGTACAGCTGCTTTTCCCAAGAAGAAGCATTGACTGGCTGCCTGAAGCAACAACTACAGAGATTTACAGACAACCCATCATTACCCTCTAAAGCAAAGGCTTTAATGCAAGTAACACACATGGATTTGCTTAGTAACAGCCTGTGGGTTTGTTCACATAACTGCTTTTTACCACTGAGTTCTCAATCTCAGTTCCCCTATTGATGGGGAAATACCAAACACGTCAGACACTTTGGCACAGAGATACAAATGAGTTTCTCCAAAACAGCCTCTGTCTATCCCAATGTCAGGTTGAGTAGTTGCAGACTAGGGAGGGCAACATTACCTTTCCACAGAACACAAGAAGCCCGTTTACAGAATCACAATGCACATCAGGATAACACATCAGCAACACAATAACCCAGTAAAGATATTGTTCAATCAACTCGGCAGTATAACAAGAATGTTTCAGTGACATTTTGTTATAAAATACCTTAATTGAGTGCTCAACTCACCTCATAATTTTTCATTCTCTCTTCCCATGTGCAGCCAGGATTAATACAGTGTACTTTCAAATCTAAAATCTCCTTAGAGACTGCAGCATCACTGAAAACCTAGGGTTTAAAAAATGGTAATTATTAGTTTGATGAACAGAGGTTGAATTAAATATTCAACCACTGAGATGCTTTGGAAGGAGATGCGAGCTTCCCCCAATGTCCTGACCAACAATCTTCCAGATTCATTGATTGAGCGCTCATGGCTACAAACAATCACCACATCTGACAGTAATAACTTGAAGAGATTTGAGACATTTCGACATGGAAAGGCACTGTTATTGAAAGGCAAGTGCGCACAATCATGTGAGCACACGGTACCTTCCAAAGGTTTCCAGTGAATAAAAAAGGGCTTCCCCATTGAATAAAGAAGCATTTGACATCACAGAAACCAAAAATGCAAATGCCAAAAAAAAACAGCATTTCTAAAAATGGCACAAATTCTATACGTTTGAGAATTGACAAGTCTCTGAGATGTACGATGAATCAGGCAGCACAATGACCAGATATAACTAGCTCCGTAAATGAATTGGACACTATGGTGTCTGGTAATATCACAAAACGTTTTAACTCACAACTTGTAAAATATAAACACAAAGTTTAAGGTTGTGTGACAAAAGGTATACAACAATAAAACTGGCAGCTTTGCACCACATTGGACAGAGACATTTGAAAGAAACCACAACAAGGTTCAGGTTTCACAGTGTTCAATCATAAAGGGATGGTGCTAATTTCGTCAGAGATGCTACTGCAATAGATCTGACCTTAATGAGAGCTGTTACCCCACAGGCTTCGCGTCAGTATTGATCAGAAACCACCTCAATGGAATTACCCTGTAATCTAAAGAGCAATGAGCAATATGACCAGGGGTCTTTTACATTGGGGAAAAAAATCAACCTCCCCTCACGTGTTCTGAGAGCACTCATAAGCTCACATTAACACTGAGGGATGCTACCCTGTGTGAGTGGGGGGGGGGCGGGGGGTGCTGTGTAAATGCAAGGTGTTGTTGTTTACTAGACATGGACATTCAATTCAAAGGATGCTTGGAATGTGGAATTCTCTGCCAGAAGCCAAAGTTGAGGCAGAGTCCATTAATTTGTTTAAAGGTGCAGCACTGCACTGTAGACTTTGCCTCTTCTAGGTCCTCATATTCAGAAGGTTGTAGTGTAAATGTGCACAACTCCAAGTCATTCCCTGATGCAAGAGTTAATATTGTTAAATATCCCTAAGTCTATTTTTAATCACAAAAGGGTATTTTTATAGTGCACAAAACAAACTCCGAGGCTAGATTAGGTTCAGCTGTATCTCTGCACGTACCTTTTCCAAAGATAAAATGCTGTCATCGTTCATGCTTTGTGGGTCATCTTCCTTGCATTTCTGGCAGATGGGAGTTTTGTTGCATCTAGCCAAGAAAAAGTAAATATTGAATTAATACTGATCTTTGATCAGATGCTACTTCCAGGCAGAGCCAGGATAGTATTTGATTGCGGTGAATGTACGACTTAGGCCATTATCCGATTTATAAAGACTTATGCGATAAGACTTATTTATTCTATATATAAAAAAAATTGTAGTCAGAGTGGAAAATACCTGACGATCCACTCAACACACGCCCAGCAATACCGATGTCCACACAGGGTTTGGTGCGCTTTCTTCAACACGTTCTTACAAAAGCTGCACAAGTACTTTTCCTCTGGCACATCGTCGCAGATATTTGGTGGGAAGCCCGAAGGCAATTCATTCTCATCCGGTGACGAAGTCGGACCAACGCAAACAAATCCATTGGGATTTTCTGCCATTTAAAGATGCTTATAAATCCAGGTTTTTTTTTCCTCTACAAAAAATGTAGCAAGTGTGGTTCTCTTCTTCAGTGTGGGTGAGAATGCAGAAAGTTAGAGGAGTTGAACAAAGTACAGCTTCTGTCCTCCCTGGAATGGAAATAAAACAAGTTTTCATCTAGCAAGTGAGTGAGCTTTGTAGACAAAGGAAGAAGGGGAGGTTTATAAAAAAAAGTTGTGTATGACAAGTCTGGAAATTCTCAATTTTTAAGGTCTTTTAATACACCTACTCTAAACCAATTTACCAGTAAATGTATTTGGGTTTCTCAAAAGAGCATGCTGGGTTTTATTTTCACTTCCTTCCCCCCCCCTCCCCCACAAGAGTTCAGATGACGAAGGACTTTCGACCTGATCTCATCTTTATAACTATAAACGATAAGCAGACGAGCAAACTTGTAGCCTGCACTTGCTGGTGCTTAAAGGGCAAGTGCAAATCATTCTGTGCATTAACAAAATTTCCCTTGGTCGTTTAAACAAATCACTTTAATTTGGTATTTACACTAGACAATTTACATGATCTTCCAGTAAACAGTACCAGACATTTCTGGCACTGTAATCAAATATTGGTCAGGTATACTTCGATAATTCAATTTCACACGTTTTCTATTAACTTTCACACTCGAAACAAAAAAGTTGAACACTGCCATTGTGATTTCTCTACACAGACATCGCCCTTCGACAAATCTCACGCACACAGTTGCAGACGAACACAAAGCGAAAGTCTGGTACTTCCTTTCAAAGGAAAGCTGCTAGAAATATAGAACTTTAATCAGATGCTTGCCATCCAGGCACTGTAATGAGCAAGAAACCCATCGCCGTGTGTGAGAGCCAAGGCTTGGGGACCCCAGAGTGTGTTGTGGGTATCTGCTGAAGTCTTAACAGCTAAAACTGTGTGGCTTGCCATTGAGAGCACTGTCTGGCAACCTTCTCGCCGCTTGTCCAGTTAGGACCACCCCACCCGTCAGGGCTTTGGCTTGCAGGGTTAACTTGTCCTCCCGCGCAAAGCTCCGTGAGCCTATCACCCCCAATCTTGCCTGGCTCCCCACCCCTCACAGGATCATTCATCATTCCCTCGTCCTCACCTTCAAAGCCCTCCACGGTCTTGCTCCTCCCTACCGTTGAGACCCTCTTAAAACATGACCAACCTGTCCACGGTGCCCCGACCTCCCTGTTTCGCCATTGGCGGTCAAGCCTTCAGCCCTTCTGCCCCCACCCACTGGAAATCCATCCCGGGGGCCCTCTCCTCGACTCCCTCCCTCACGTCTGAAGAGCTTCCTCTTCGACCGCGTCTTCTGTCATCTTCCCTCCTCCACCACCCCATGTCCTCCAGCCCCCCACCCACCCACGAACTCCAGCCACCCCCCACCTTCGTCCTCCAGCCACCCCCCCACCCACATCCTCCAGCCCCCCCCACCCTCGTCCTCCAGCCACCCCACCCACGCCCTCCAGCAACCCCCCCACCCACGTCCTCCACCCCCCACCCCACCCACGTCCTCCAGCCCTCCCCCCCACCCACGCCCTCCAGCCCCCCCCACCCTCGTCCTCCAGCCACCCCACCCACGCCCTCCAGCCACACCCCACCCTCGTCCTCCAGCCACCCCACCCACGCCCTCCAGCCCCACCCACCCTCGCCCTCCAGCCCCCTCACCCACGCCCTCCAGCCCCACCCACCCTCGTCCTCCAGCCCCCCTCACCCTCGTCCTCCAGCCCCCCCACCCTCGTCCTCCAGCCCCCCACCCCACCCACGTCCTCCAGCCCCCCCCCCCACCCATGTCCTCCAGCTCTTCCATCCCCCCCCGCCAACCCCATGTCCTCCAACACCCCCCCCACCCACCCCATGTCCACCACCCTTCTCGATTCCTTTCACTGCCCAGCGCTTCGGGACGTCCTCCCTACACGAAAGGCGCCGTGTGAATGTAAGTTGTTGTTGTTGTTGTTGACAGAGAGAGACGCTCGAGCGCGAGAAGCCGCCGAGTAGGTCCCGGCGGCCGTTCCAATTCAAACAGCGACGGTTTTTTTTTGAAAACAAAAGAGGCGCCAAGCGCGCGCCAGGAGGCCCGAGGCCTGAAGTGACGGGGCCCGGGGAGTGAGGGGGGGGGGGGGCGTCCGCCGGTCGGTCGGTGTCCGGGAAACCGCGGCCTCTCTTTCCTCTCACCCGGTGGGGGTGGGGGGGGTATATGTTTCTCTCTCCATCTCTCTCTACACGGCGGAGCGGGTAAGAAAATTAAGGGCCGTTTGTTTGGGTTTCGTTTCTTTTTTTTCCCCCCCGTTTACCTGAAGTTTCCGCGGTTCGTTTCCGACGCAGCGTTTCCGCCTCACTATGGCCGCTGAGCGGCGCAGGCAACCGGGCTCTGACCCCGAAGCGAGATGGGGATCCGTGTTGTCGCCCAAACACTAGCCCAAAAATAGCCCCAGGGTCAGGGTGGGGGGGTGTTGCCTCCCCTCCTGTGGGGGGTGGGGGTGGGGGGGCAGTTGGCTGTGGCTGGAGGCAGGAGTTGGCTGGTTCAGGGTCAGTGTGTTTCAAGTTGTGTCAGAAATGGTCTGCAAAGAGGTAGTGGGGAGGGGTGGGGGTGGGGGGGGGGAGATGTTTTGTTGGTACAAATAATTTTTTAAAAAAATGTTTGGCTTATGCCCCAAAAGCTGTTATTCCGCGCACAGTTCGACACGAACACGCCGGCGCCACCGCCCCAAGCACCGTCTGCCATCATCGCCCCCCCCCCCCCACACACACACACACACACCGCCCCGGACCGTCAATCATCCGGTTACTAACCCTCAGGGACAGGCTTAATAATAATAATAATAATAATAATAATAATCCTCGCATTTGATACAGCGCCTGATCACGTCGTCGAGACGTCTCGAAAACGCTTCGCGGAAATATACCGGAAAGTGTGGTGCCTTGTGTTTTTTTTGTGGGCACAGCAGTGTCCCGCAAACAGTCGTGGAGCGAGTGACCTAATTATTATTTTTTTGGAGGGATTATTACCCCCTGGAAAGCGATCCGTCAATCGATTTAGCCACCGGGTTCCTACTTACTGCTCGGCAAACAGACGTGTGGAGTAAGCAAAATTGCCTAAGCTTTCGCTCCGCCCTGGAATCAAACCCTGGTCCTCTCGCTTGTGAGGCGAGTGCGCTAACCACTACACAACAGGATTCCACGATCATACGTACTCTTCCTCACTAAATCTCAACCGTCACCTGCTTAGAAACTGCCCGCGGGACTCAAAGGGCACTGGCCATGGCAGAGCAGAACGTGCCAGCGGGACAGGGTGGCAATGCCTTGGCACCCGTTGTGGTGGTCTCTCTCTCCTTGCAATTGACATAGGACCTTTCACATCGGGAGGGCATCTCATAGCTCTTCACAGAATTGTACGACTGTATTTTTGTAGACAAACCCCTTCATCTGCGAGATGTTCAAAGAATCTCTTTGGAGTTTGACTTCATGTATTTGTGCTTCAAGGAAAGTGCAACCTCATCTTGTGATGTGATCAATATTTGTATCCCTTATTACCAAGATGGATCAATGAATAACTCACCAGTGGTTTTAGTCAGCCCAGGAGTTGAGATCATTCCCATTGATTTTGGTTGACATGTGTAATTTATTGTAGCATTCCTCACCCTGATAAAGAAATGCACTTCCATATGTTTAAGACAGTTCACAGTCAGTCTCACTAGGCTTCAATATGTGCCCACTTCCCCGATGTTGCCAATTCTCATGCATTGCTGAATAAGATAGGTTATGAATAAAACGCCCAAACTTTATTTTCTAATGGAAAAAAAATGCTCTTTTAATGAATATATTTTGCAGCCCTGAAAACCAACCCAAGTCGCTTCTTGATGTCAATATCATTGTGATGTCATGGCTGTGCAAATGCCTTTCTTTTCACTCATATTTTTAATGTAGCTTTTCAAGAGGAGCTGCCTTTTATACTTAAAATATTTGATTCAGCGCCTTTCACGTCGGGAGAACATCTCAAGGAGCTTCACAGGATATCCTGTAAAATGTAGTGAAATTTGTCGATGAACTTACTTAAATGCAAAACTACCGTGAAAACAGGCTTCCACACTAGAAAGGATTCATCTCTCATCTGCCTGTTTAGAGATGTGTCCCTCCAGGGGGAGAATGCTCAGTCCATTCCAATAAATATCTCTGGAATTTCCATGTGTAGGTGGGATGCGTAGAACTCTGTTTGTTTTGGATCCTCCTAAGCTTGGTGATGGGTCCCACATACGTCAGAAACCCAGCTGACCCAAAAGAAGAGTCACCACAAATTGGTCTTGGTGAGAAATCGATCAGTGGACAGCGATGGCTATCGAATACACTTTCTCCAACCTTGCATGCCAAGTGAGGCCTTGATACTCTTTGCCCTCAGCCAGGGCTGGTGTGCAGCAGTTGCTGAAAGGAAAGAAAAAAAGACCAAAAAACCCCCCATTCAAACTGTTTGCCGACATGATGTCAAACCAGGAAATACTGATTAGCATCAATAGTTCAGACAAATTTCTGCCTCTGCAAATGTGAATGTTTAGAAACAGTTGAAGACAATCTACAGCTAAGGATGGAAAGTTTAAAGAGGAAACAGGAAACCAGTGTGGGAGCGCACGATTTGTTGCGGGACTTTCCTAACAAAGCAATCATCATTCTAAAAACCCCCCAATTAATACATCAAAGAGTTGTATAATATCACACCCCGACTCAATTTTATGTTTCGAATTACAAATTAATTTGAAGTTAATTTAAAAACAGAAAATTAGTGAACCCCATCATCAGGGCACTTTGCTCAGACAATCTTTCTTGATTTTTAAATTCAATTAGTCCTCAACGTTGTGGAGATCATGTTAATGTCAACAACATTATTAATACTTAATTTGCCATAATGCATCATGCTGTTCTCATTATAGCTTTCCTGATTGGGCTGGGCAATTACTGGACATAGCACACTTTACTCTGTAAACTAAAGAGATATTTTTTCTTCCTGATGACTATGATAGTCTTTTTTGAGGCGGGAGGGAGGATATGTGTGTGTATATATTTTATTATATATTTATTATAATATATAAAAAAACACATGCAAATGATATTGGCAAAAAAATGAGAATTGAGCAATTGGGTGGTAATGAGATGCAAACCCAAGAAACTTGACAGGAAAGGTTATAAATATACAAAAAACAATCATTGGATTTCCTCGCAATGAAACCAGTATGCATAAACTGACCGATATAGATTGCACTTCAGAGGTTGTGTTATGGATGATTCATTTCCACGTGAAACTCCAATAGACCATAACGTTAATAATAACAATGCTGTGAGGAAAACCCTTTTAATGCCCCTACCAACACCTATCAATGTAAAAAAAAATTACCAGTAACAAATGTGAGTTACTTGAAATTATAGATTTAAGAAATCCCAGTGTAGGTACCAATTGACCAATTTAATTTACATTACTAAAATAAATTACCTTGACATCCCCGAAGTCTAAATCATCTTACTCTGAGCAGGCACATCCACACACAAATTTACACTTGCATAATAAATAATCCTTGCATCTGAGACTGCATTTCACATCAAAAGGACACCTCAAAGATCTTCAGAGGATTTAAAATATAGTGATTACTATATTTTGTTGTGGCAGCCAATATATGCACAGCAATATTCCACAAATAGCTAAGCACTGTAGTCATTTATGTAAAAAATTCCTGTGATAGTAAGTGCCATTTCTCTTTTGACATACAAATCCTGGTGGACATTTCCTACATTTCACTATTAAAGTTATTCACAATTATTTCCGTTATTCCGATTGTATAAAGGTCAGTTTTTTATTGCATCAATTGTTTCATGAACACAAAGCAACAATTCCTTTCGTTTTGATTTTGTTATACTTGAGTATTGTAGAGATATTAACAGTTCTAAAAGCATATCTGAACATAATAATAATACTTGCATTTGATATAGCGCATTATCACATTTTTCAGACGTTTCAAAGCTCTTCACAGAATATACTGTAGAGTAAATTGACTATATTTTGTGAGCGAAACGCGTCAGCCAATTGTGCATAGTCGTGTCCCACAAACAGTTGTGAATTGAGTGACCAAATTATTTTTTTGATGGGATTATTACCCCTGGAAAAGCGATCCGCCAATCGACTAACAACTGGGTTCCTACTTACTGCTAGATAAACAGAGACATGTGGAGCAAGAATACCTGCCTAACGTTCACCCTGCCTGGCAATTGAACCCAGGTCCTCTCGCTTACAAAGCGAGTACTCTAACCACTATGCTACAGGACTTCACATTTGCCAAGCAAGATTGGAAGAGAACAGGTCACCTTTCTGACTTCTACATAGTGAGAGATATTGCAAGAGGAGAAAGTATCCTAATACAGTGTACTGATAATTATTTATTTATATCTTACACATGGAAATCCCAGAGATAGATCGTTGGAATGGAATGCATACTCTCTCCCTGGAGGGATGTATCCTGCTTACCTAATTCCGGAAAGTATTAGGTGCAGGTTGGCAAGAGCCAAGGCTTGGGGGAGATCCCAGAATGTGAGTTGGGGTAACTGCTGGAGTCTAACCAGCTAAAACCGCATACTGATAATTACAGTATTTTAGGATATATTTATTCTTTTCTTATTCCCCTTCATGGAAAAGGATCATTTTCTCCAAGTAACGAGCCTTCAATATGATTTTCTTATTTTAGTCCAAATACATCGAGATTATCGAGTTTAGTGTTGCTGTGGGGTATGGGGAAGGTTCAAAATCACATCACATGTACATCACAGTATCATTGTAACATCCAGAGGTATCTCTACTTCCCTGTCATCAATGTAAAAGGATGGCCCCATTTCAGAGTCAGGTTACAGACTGCTGGAGTCGACCTCTGCACTTACAAACATTTCATCATTGTCCACAAACTCTGAGAAACGCAGTTTCAATTCAGGTAAGGACACAAAGGTGGAAAATCCACATGGCGCGTTCATACTTGCTGCAGGTCTTTGTAAAGCCAAGTCCAGATGACTCAGAACGCAGCTCTTGACAATGGAATACCGTTGATCTCTCACATTTAGCAGAGAGAGTTTTACCTACAGAAGAAGCAAAGCCAAAACTGGAGATTTGTGCAAATAGAGTTTTTGAACAGTAAAAACATCTTGGTTTACACTTCCATCTATGTGCAAAAGGGACAAACTAAACAGTCCACGAAACCAGTGGGTTTTTTTGCTCATAAAATAAATTGATGCCTCTGAAACTGAATTTGGAGATTTCACACCAAGTAACTAGTCATTCGAGGTATTTTACAATCTGACGCAGTTTAAAATATTATGCATCAAAAAACGGCTTCAAAGCATTTTATCTAGACCTCAAGATCTATGTTTAAGGGGGAGATTTGCCCACTTAATTATTGAAAAGAGAACTGAACCATTTTAGTGGTTCAGTGAACCATTTCATCGTTTCAGATCTATATATTTGGTTTGATTCACCACAAGTGGTGGATTTTGAAGACTGCCCTTCAACAGCTGAAGTCAACAATTATTGGGGGATGTTTTGGATGAGTTACTGTCTATGAATCACCCTTATAGGAACAAAAAGCAAAATAACAATTCTCCAAATACCCTTTCCCCATGCATTCCACACAGAGAGACTGTGACACAACTGCATAGATACCGTTCATTTGCATTGCAAATAGTCAGCTAACAAGCACTGGAACCGCAGCAGACTGCTGGATCAGTTGTTCCGCATGTGCTATCTCAATGAATAAAATCTTCCATAAAAGGATACCAAATTACTATACATGTTGCATTTTGTTTTGGAAGTAGTGAACTTTTTCTCAAACGTCACAAGGTCACAAGATTGATCTGGGTGAAGAAGGCCCTTCTGATCTCATCACTTCAGAACACACACTCCACAGATCCTCATCACTGCATCAAACTGCTTTTTAAATGGCTGGAATCCTGGCCTTAACCACCTTTCCTCACAATCTGTTCCAGTAATTGATTACCCTCTGTAAACAGAATAACTTCCCGATAGCTGTCCTTTGAAATTGCCCTTTACAACGCTAAATCTATGTCTTCTTGTTCCACTATCTTAATAATAATAATCATCCTTACATTTGATATAGCACCTGATCACATCTTTGAGATGTCTCAAAGCACTTTACAGAACTTACTGTGAATAAATTGACTATATTTTGTGGGCGAAACAAGGCAGCCAATTGCGCACAGCAGTGTCCACAAACAGTCGTGGATTGAGTGACCAATTTATTATTAATGTTTTTTGAAATAATTGTTATCCCCGGAAATTGATCCACCAATCGACTAACGACCGGGTTCCTACTTACTGCCCTGTCAGGAATCAAACTCAGGTCTCCTGCCTGCGAGGCAAGTGATACACCCTAAATTGATCTGGGTTTACTTTTCCAATTTAAAACTGTGTTGACTTCTATGAGGTCCCCTCGGAGTCGTCTTCTCTCATGACTGATGAATCCCAGCCCATTAAGATTCATGCAAGAATAATTTGTGCTATGAACAACAAGAAAGGAGCTCACCTTTTTTCTGAATGGCCACTGATTCAAAGTATCATAATGTCCTTGGAGCAAAATAAAATAAAGTGAGATGTGAATTCCCTGGGCTCTTTCATGACCATTCAGATATATTCGGAGACACATCTTATACCCATATTTGCACGAGTAAAATCCTGTGGAAATAGCAAGCATGAAAAATACATCTGGAGATACAGTACATCAGCATGTTGCATACAGTTAAACTCACTGAGAAAATAAAGAGGATTCTTTAAAGCAATCATTTTTGCACCGAGCTAATTTTGCAACTTGTTAAACCCTAAGACGCAAGGTGTTGCAGGTAAGATATTCTCTCAGCATCTACAATGCAGGAATGCCTGACAAACTGGGCACAATAAACCCTTCATAAAGACCAAGTAGACACCAAGTAGAGCCATACCACCAGAATCCAGGTAAGGCGTTGTTCCATCGACAGCTTCTTGCAACCTTTTCTCGAGTTGTGCAATTCTCCAGATAAACACTCCGCTATGAGTTAACTGTTCCATGACCTCTAGCCGTGCCGTGCAATCCTGTATGTTTTGGCCTGCCTGTTGCAGTTGATGCTCAACATCCACCAGCTTTGAGGGTCGTAATGTTAAAAGAGAATCATTTTAGTAAGTGCTGTGTATGGATTGATTCAACGCAAGTGTAGTACAGAAAAATAAATCTCAAACCAAAGCTCCCTTCAAGAGCCTGGAATGAAGGCACCAGTTGTGTAGCACCAGAAGGACTCAGGTTTGAGTGCCATTCCTGGCTGAGTAATTAACCGCTGCCAGGGCACCATTTGGACTCTAATTGGCTGTAGCACAGCTCTGTTAGCGTGGGTGGGTGGGTGGAGGGGTGTGGGGTCGCCATCCAATGGCCTTTCCCCCCCCCCGTTGGAGGGTGCAGTACACACATCAAGTGAGGAGAATGGGACCCTTCAGTGGTTAGCATTCACCTGCTGAAACTTAGTGTTCATTTCTTTCACCGTCCATGAAACATTATTAACTAACATTTCAAAAAAGGAAGCTCAAATGAATTGAATTAATGACATTTGAACATGTTGAACCGACCTGATTTTCCATCAGAATAAGTTGATTTCCGAGCTGTATCCAGCTGTTCAAAACAGCCACTATCTCCGAGCATTTCTTCATCTCTTTTGCTGCATCCAAAGTGTGCTCAAAGGAGGCCGATTTGGCCTCCACCCCAGCGATGTGGGCTTCCGCCGTCCTGCAGAAACCCTGCAGTTTGTCACAGAGTTCGTTCAGCCGATGACTGTTCGAAAAGGCAGCGACTCTCAATCGCAACTCCTGAACTTCTGCCTCCAACCTTGGCAAGGTGTTCGCCGCAGCAGGTGGCAGTCTGTCAGGATTCAGCTTTGTGATTTCATTCAATAAAAGACCGATGTGCTGCCCAACAGATTCTTCCTCGTGTTTCCGAATCTTCTCTCTCGTTCCCTGGAACAGAAAGCTGCGTCAAGCTCGACTTCTGACCTATTCTAGGAATGAAGCTCACTATTATTTCATATCTAACTACAGCTTGCTGGAGGGATGTTCCCAAAATACGGTCTGATAGTTTTTCGAAAAGATGACCAGGAATGGAAACAACAACAAATTACATTTGTGTAGCACGTTTGACGTCGGGAGGACGTCCCAAGGTGCTGGATATGGAGGGTTGGAGGAGGGTGGTCAAAGGCACGGTCGAAGAGGAGGGTCTTGAAACTGGTCTTGAAGGAAGCGAGAGATGGGGCAAGGCGAAGGGACTGTGGGATGGAGTTATAAAGGGTGAGGGCAGAGAGGTTAGAGGCCCAATAGAGTAAATAATCCATGAGCATAAGAAATTCCCATTTCTAGTGAGATAATTTCAGTAAATCCCCATTCTTTACGGGTAGTTTACTGACTTACTTCAATAAGTTACTGTTTGACTGACTTCTTTGGACTTTCCTTGATGACAGAAACCACTCGCTCATTGTTTTAATCACTGTGCAAATCTTGTCTCTCAATCAGATATTAGTGAACATTGCAGGTGCTGGGACTGAACATTCTGTACAGATACAGCAGTGGAAGAAACCAGCTCCTTATCTTTAGAGTGATGTTTCAAAAGATGGCATTTTGACTGAAATACAACAAGCAGGGGCTCACCTTATATTTACATCCTACGGCTTGGAACAAACAGCAAGTCTTCCTTTTTAAACCTTTATTTTCATACCCATCAATCTGCAAAACAGTTTATTTGTTCAGTAATAGCTACTTTGACATGGTATCCAATGCTCCATTACTCTCACTTTGAGCACCAGATTTTGGCCTTGGCATATAATTGTATCAGGGGGAGAGCCATACATTATTAACACCTTGCAACTTCAACACAAAGCAGAATACAGATGCCCCCAGGCCTGCGGCTTAATATCATTCAACAGATTAGGTCTTACACTGAATGCAGTCAAGGCCGGCGTTTTATATTCCTGCTCGCACTTGCTGTGTTGCACTGTTAGTTCTGATATACAATTAACGTGTACTATGTTACCTTCTCCCTTGGTACGTTTTGCTGCTCAGACATCCCAGGATCCACGTGGGTCTGGCAGCCGATCCGTGCCCTATACTCATCTGCTTTATGAGCCTGTGTGAGGAAAGGAACGCAAGAATAACTCTGGGACATTTGCCATTGTGAAATAAATTTGCTGCAACAGAGCTGACCAGACATTATAACTGTGAGCGAGATGGAGTGAAAACAAGTTGCATATACATGTCAAATATTTACTGGGTATCAACATGAGGTGATTTCTAATCAAGATTAGTTGGGCAGCAAAGTGCAGACTGGGTGAATAAACTTCAAATGACTAGTGTGTAAATACAAATAATTATTGTTTAACTTATACGTAATAACAATAATAAGGTACTATCAAATGTCAGGATTTTCATGTTGAGACTTCTCAAAGTGCTTGACATGATTTTACTGTGAAGTGTATTTGTTGCAGCCCATTTGCTCACAGCAGCATCTTCTAAAACAACCGTGAAGTGTTTTGTGCAGTGTTTTGAACACGTGTTCAGGACATCTAGTGGTGGCTGATGAGATGTGCATTGGTTGGTGTACAGGATATCAACACTGCGAGCTTACGGGCTGGTTTTGTAAAGGGAATTGGTTACAATTATAATGGGTTTGAAATGCTGAGGATTTAATTTGCATCCAAGAAAATCCAATTGATACAATTGTGATATAATCCAGGCATTGGGGTGCAATTTAAAGGATTTTTGGCCAGGACACCAGGAGATACTGCCTTCTGCTTTCCAATAGGATAATGAGGTCTTATTATTACTACTGTTATTTAATGTACACATGAAGAGGCTTGGTTTAATGTGTCAAGCAAAGGATGGAACCTTGGACAGTGCAGCGTTCCCCCATTAGAGCACTTTAGTGTCTGCAGGACTGTGTGCTCAAATACACCATCCCAGGAACTTTCAATTCCAAATCTACGATTTTAAAATGCGAATCCAATCCTGGGTTTAACTGCGCTGAGAGACTACCCATGTGAAGGGCACTATAAAATGCAATTTGTTGTTGAGTTTTCCATAAGAGCATCAGCCTTGAATATGAGCTCAGGCCAAACACAGCACTGAGACATCGCGCTTTCAGAGTCCCACTCAACTGACAATAAAAGCTTATTTTTGATACAATTGTGCACAAACAGCAAAGCATTTTAGCATCAAACAGTCTTTTGATAGTCACAGCCAGACTGTTGCTTCAAAGTGCTTCAGTAATTAAGTCCACACACAGCTTTTACTCAAACATTTTACCCTGAGTTTCCCAATCTCTTGAATCAGAGCTTTGCCTAAACACGTCTGCAGCACAGAACATAGGGCAAAGCAGTTTAAAACAAGGCAGTCTGATATGCGGATAACTAGGGGTCAGCCTCTCTCAGTTGGCAGCGCTCGTCTCCTAGTCAGAAGTTTGTGCATTCAAAACCCACATGAAGATTTTGAGCTCATATTCAAGGCTGACCCTCCAATGCATTGCACAAATGAAATGCTGCGTTTGATTACAACATTAACGTTCACTACACTTTACAGTAATATCCTGTGAAGAGCTTTAAAGTGTCCTCCTGACGTGAAACTCGCTGTGTCGAGTGCAACAGTTATTACTATTGTATACCTATTCAATTAAATATAGCAAACATTAGGCATTCCTTTTGCAAAAAAATGCAGTTGCTGGGAGGTACAGTGAATGATTCCACTCACTGGGGATGCTGAGCCAGATTGTACCAGGCTGAGATCAGCTATTTCAGCGCACACTTGACACCTGTCCTGGCCAACAATCCCCAATTAAAATTGGTCACTCGCTCCATGGCTGTTTGTGGGACATTGCTGTGTGCAACCTGGCTGCCAAGTTCACTCACAAAATACACAGCTACTCCACTTTACAGTTTATCCTGTGAAGTGCTTTGAGACGTCTGGACAAGATGATAAGGCCCTATATTAAATGCAAGTATTATTATTATTACTTACCACGTCAGGATCAGTAGTTGTATCCTTGGTTGAAACACCTTCCTCCATACTCATCTGACATACTGTTGCTGTCTTACTGCAAAAACAAAAACAGGATTTAAGAGAAAAAAACAACAATAATAATCCTTACATTTGATATAGCGCTTTTCACGTCGGGAGGACGACCCAAAGCGCTTCACAGAACACATTGTAAAGTGAATTGACTGAATATTTGTGGGCGAACGCGGCAACCAATTGCGCACAGCAATGTCCCACAAACAGTCGTAGATTGAAAATGACCAATTTATTATTTTTTGGGGGTTTTGGAGGGATTATTATTAGGCTCTGTGTGGAGTAAGGAAACTTGCCCAAGGTTTCGCCCTCTGCCTGGGATTGAACTCAGGTCTCTCGCTTGCAAAGCGAGTGCTCTAACCACTGAGCTACAGGACTCCAATAACTCAGACACAGATATGTCTGCTTCATTTAAATAAGTCATCTTCCTAAATAGCATTTAGGATTTCCAGCACAGCTCAGGACCAATGTTCTTTCCCTGTAAACTAGGATTCAAGCAATTGTACAGCTGTGGTTTCTGTGACTAGCTAGCTCAGTCCATACCAAGAGTCCTTTCTGTGTGACCTCCACGATCCACTGACTGGATATATTCATTAAACACATCGCTTGCATCCAGACGATGGATGTCTGTGTTTCCACAGTGCAGGTCCACAAGTCTGCTTCCCCCCCTCCCCGATTTGAAGGTGGTTAAAATTCAAAGCATTAAGGTTTACAACACAGTAACAAGGGCTGATCCTCTACACAACTCCAACTATTTCAAAGTTACATCTTTCTTTTATGTGTTTCTAACTTCACATCCCCTCGTCACAGAGATAGCCCGCACCCTTCGCAGGCTTCTTTGCACAGAGAGAGATATGGACAACTTCTGGGCAGCCTTCCACAACCTACTTGTTTCTCAGCCTTGAGATAGGCAAGTGTCTGAGGCTGTAGCCTTTTCGTTCTGTGGTCTATTGTTTTACGTCTATGCTCAAGGACCCGATTGCTCATTATCTCAGAGGAGTGAATATCTTCCCAGGAAAATATGAAATGTAATCAGAAGATAACGTCAACCCATCCAGCAAAGCTACTTTTAACACCCAATTCTTCTGGAACTTTCAGTTGCTGCTATCAATATACCAATGTATTCCGAGGTGATAGTCAGTATATTTCAACAATGCGGATAGCGCCTTTCATGTCGGGAGAACTTTTCAAGGGGCTGGACAGTCAGGGATTTGTACCTGATCTGGGGGTCAGGGCGTGTGGAGGGCAGGCAGGGTAGGAGGGTGGTCGAAGGCGCAATTGACGAGGGGGGTTTTGAGACACGCCTTGAAGGAGCCAAGGGAGGGAGTGAGGCGAAGCGAAAGTGGGATGGAGTTCCAAAGGGTGGGGGCAACTGTAAAGGAGACACAGCAAAGCTATTTGTAGGAAACAGGATAAATTGTTCTGTCCGTGCTCTGTCCTACCCTGAGACGGACTGGATGTAATCCATGCAGTAGCGGTGTCCACAAGCAGTCTTTGCTGGATTCCTCAGAACCTGCCGACACAGGGGACCGATGTAGCTCATGGCTACGTCATCCAAAAATACATCGAGAGGTTCATCACAAAGGTGAAGGAAACCTGTAGCGGTCTCGCTAGCCTCCACCTCAGGCTGTTCTGGACACTCAGCCATGGTGAGGCTGGGTCCTGTTTATCACAGGATCGAGTCCATGGAGATCTGGGTCAGCACTTCCTACATACAACAACAAAAACAGTAAACTCCTGATAACTCTTCGCTCCAAGGGAAAAGGGCTCAGTGACTAGTGATCCGGAGTGGCGAGTTAAGCATACATATAAATAAATGCAATGTGGCCAGGATATTGACAGCATGATGACTTCAGTGTAGTGACAAGATAAAGACGGGCGAGTTATCAGGAGTTTACTGTACTTGCATTTAAACCATTCCCTTCATGCGGAGTAGAGTCTCGGAGCACTGATATAATAGATCAATAAATGATTGATATCCTTTCAAAACATCAATTGCTTATGGATGACATTTTTGAGCCCCTATGTTCCTAAGGGTAAGCACAGATTGCCACTGAATCAAAAACAGTTATTAAGCAAACTAAACACACACAGCAATAACTTTACAATAACACAATATATGTATTTCATTTGGTAAAGCAAGTCATTCCCACTGACCAAAATAAAAAAAAGTATGTTATTAAAATATGCATCAAAACCTGTGAGTCATTTCACAGCTAAAATATCATCTTAGGTATTACTCACACAGGTGAAATTACCTCTGAATGTGATATCTCTCGTTCCAATGCTTTTAGCTGCATACAATGTGAGCCTCTCCCAGCAGGAATGTGTTCCTTGGGGAACACTGCACAATGCAACAAACACAACTACATCTGTCTAAAGTGTCAAGAGGAAAACTGGAGGCAATTTGCTTAGTTATTTAAATGGCTTTCAACAGCATTAAGCATTAGGAAATGGACTCACCTGATTTTAGAAATAACCTCCAGATGGAAACTGCTCTTACTTTCTTAAGGTAAAACCAATCTCACTGGGCAGATCAGCAGAACGAAACTGAACTGTTTGAGAGAGAAAAAATGTTTGCTGCAGTTTTGGAATTTCCCTTCATCACATGTCTCATTTACCATGTCCAAAATAGTCATTGGTCGGTGAAAAAAAAATCACACAGTCCTCCAACACTGCTGTACTTGCAGGTTTTCTGGGTTTAGTTAAACTTGCCAATGTTTACAGTTGAGCACATTCAAATGTATTTGTTTCGGAGTTTTAAGAACAGTCCATTTGATGTTGTGGTATTGCTAAAGTCATTCCGCAACTTATTTAAGGAACACTGCATTTTTCTCCCCTACTTTGTAGGAGTGATATATGACTCTATGCACATCCCCTATGGATCAAGGAGTTTGGTGCGTGGGCTTTAGGCTAGTGGTGGGGGGGTGTGATGCATTTAACCTAACAAAAGGCATTTCATTGCATAGTACTGTACAAACTGTTCCATTAAGAGTGCTAAAAAAGGTAATATTTCTAGTTCATGTTATGCAGAGGTCATAAATAATAATAATCCTTGCATTTGTATATAGCACCTTATCGCGTCGTTCACAGGTCTCAAAGCGCTTCACAGAATATACTGTTAAGTGGATTGATTGTGTATTTTGTGAGCGAAATGTGGCAGGCAATTTATTATATATATACAATATATATATTATATATATATAGAGAGAGAGAGAAACATGCAGATTGTTGTTTTCTCTTAACCGTAGGATTTCCCTCCATCATTTCCATAGGTGGTCTTGCTTCATGTTGTTCCCTTTAGGATCATATGGTTCTCCAGGTTAAAACTGGCTTGTCTAAAAGATCTCTTCAGCTCCCACTGTGGATGAACATATTGTCTTCATTGGGGAGCCAGACAATAGACAATTTGCACTGATACAGAACCTTTCACATCGGCATGATATCCCAAGGCACTGGACAATGAAGGGTTTGCACCTGAGCTGTGGGATGGAGGCAAGAGTGGTGGTGGTGGGAAGATAACCAAAGGCGCGGTCAAAGAGGAAGGTTTTGAGACGGGCCTTGAAGGAAGTAAATGAGGGAGCAAGGCCAAGGAGCTCTGAGATGAAGTTCCAGAGAGAGGGGGCAGAAAGCCTCTGATGGTGGAGCAGGGGACATGGAGCCGGCCAATACGCACCTAGCGGAGGGAGTGGACAGGCTGGTTGTTTACGAAGTCACCGATGTAGGGCGGAGTAAGACCTTGGCGAGCTTTAAAGTGAGGACAAGGATCTTACACTCGATCCTCTGGGGGATGAGGAGCCAGTGAAGCCAAGTGAGAATGGGGATGATTGGAGCTTACTTCCAGACAACACTGGAAGTCCATTGTCTGGAAAATCACAGACAGAATCCGTTAGTATCCATAACTGGTCCTGTGCCAGCAGGTCACCACATCCGCAGTGCCTCCTGTCAGTTTGAAAAAAACACTTCCTTTTTATTCCCTAAGAATAGAAATTATCTGATGTCCAGTACTAAACATTTAGTCATGGTAAAAAAGGATTTAGATTTTTTTTTAAAAAATCTCTAGACCAGGTTTGAGTCTGAGACAAGTCATTAGTTTCCAAAGAAATCCAAGCCATTGTAAATCAATGAAAATGGTTTACGTCATTTATTAAAAATGAACAGAGTAATGTTACAAACATAATACTCTGATAATCATCCTTAGTGCTTATTGGGTACACAGTGAGCATGGTTTTATAAAGTAACAAATGTAGATTAAATATGACCTGACTCATTCACTTGGACTCATTCACTTGGCCTCTGAACAACCAAATATAAAAAGATCCTGTGAAAGCTCATCCATTTGCTGGAGAAACCTTTCACAAGCATCTTCGTGACAATCTTCCCTGGAAGGCCAATGCTCGATCCAGCTGGATGAATCCAAGGGATATTCATACCTAGTATAAAGATGAATACACAACTTAGCTCTGCAAAATGGCCACTTCTTACAGAGAGATAATCCTTGCATTTAACATAGGGCTTCATCACGTCATTGAGACGTCTCAAAGCGCTTCACAGACTATAATGTAAAGTGGAATGGCTGTATTTTGTGGGCGAAATGCGTCAGGCAGTTTGCTGTAATGTTTTGTGCACTTGCTCCCCTTCCGCCTCCGCCCCCCCGCCCACATTTCCTTAATATTTGATCTTCAGGGTATTTAAATAATAATAAATAATCCTGGCATTTGATAGAGCTTCTTTTACGTTGAAATGAAATCTCAGAGTGCTTCACAGGAGTTTCTGTAAAATGTATATTTTGCAGGAGAATGATTTTGAGTCTCTTGTTTAAATTGTATCGTCCCAGTTAATTTATACCATAGTAAAACTATCACCACCAAAACACTGAACAACAAAAACAAATTACATTTGTATGGCGCCTTTCATATCGGGAGGATGTCCCAAGGCACTGGAAAGTCAGGGATTTGGACCCGAGCTGGGGCTTGGGATCAGGAGCAGTGGAGGGCGGGGGGTAGGTGGCTGGTAGGAGGGTAACCAAAGGCGCGGTCGAAGAGGAGGGTCTGAAACACCCAGGGAAAGCAAATAAATCTACTCAATTTCCACCAAAGGTTGTGTGAAAACATTGAATTCTGGATATGAACGACACTTTGGGAACGATATCTCAAATGTTTAGGCCCAAACATGACAACAAGTATAATTCCTTGAACAGATTATTGGTAGTGAAAGGTTATAGCTACTTACATAAATGACCTTTTTAACCTAAATTGTACACTTTGTTTTCCCATTATGAAGTAATCCTTGTTTTGGGTCAAAACATTCGAACAACTCTCCATCATAACCAACGTTATGTTGGAGTTTTCTTGAACTTCATCAACTGTAATAAAAATAAAATATTCAGATTTAGTCTGGCATTATTGCTCAATATTTTACCAAAGTTAATTCAAGAGAGAAGCTTAACAGGTTCATAGAATCAATCATAGAATTATACAGCACAGAAGGAGGCCATTCAGCCCATCATGTCTATGCTTGCTCTTTGAAAAGAACTATCCAATTCAATCCACTCCCCTGCTCTCTCCCCATAGGTCTGCAATCTTATCCTCCCCAGCAAAGTACTAAACATCCCTTAGTAGTCATGAAGTCTCATTGGAGTGGTCAGAGAAACCAAGTTTGTTTGGAGTTGAATGAGAATAAGTACCAACCTTGCATGTAGATTTGTAGAATAATGGCAGAGTACTTGATGAAATTAATTATTTCCTTAGAGGATAAAATTCTGACTTTGTAGGCTGCATAAAAGCAAACAAAAGCTTTTAATAGTAAGCGATCGCATGTATGATTAGAATAATCCTTGCATTTGATATAGCACCTTATAGCGTCTTCGATACGTCTCAAAGAGCCTCACAGAATATACTGTAAAGGGAATGTATATTAATTATACATAAGAATTTGCTAGATGAAAGAAGACCAAGGTCCATCTAGTTCACCTTCCACCATCCTGGCAGTCGCTTAACATGTTGTGTCCCAAAACAATATTTTGTATACATTTTAAGAGTCCTGTAAACAGCAAGCCAAAAGTCTTACAACCTCTTACCATAATGTTGCCCCAAACCGCAGGCAGCTTTTCGCTTCTCAGCGACGGACATACTTGTATCTAAAGGAGGCAGCATGTGACTACATTCCGCTGAGGCACAGGGAAAATAGAGCAAATAAAAATTATATTAAGTCTAAAACACATGTTAAGTCTTTCAATTTACTAGGAATTCTCTCTCAAAATATTCCATGTTCTCAATATTAAGATTCACCCACTCCAGTATTCATTATTTTTGAACTTGTTTTACTCTGTCGTGTTGTCAAAGCTCGTAAAAAGAGCGTGCTTATTTTGCGGGATATGAGACAGCATCATAAAATAGATGAAGCGATTAAGAGTTAATAGATGTATTTGCAGACTCTGTCATATTCATCAGGATTTATGTAACATTGCCTTACGGGCTACATCAGTTTTTTTTTTGATCAGCCGGGTGCCTGACACGTGCAGAAACCCATCACCATGTTGAAGAGTATCCAAACCAAGCTGAGATTTCCATGTATCCATCCCATCAAATGTACCCCACGCTCAACTCCTGGGTCAGGGTCCCAGCCAGCAGTGTAAACTACTTTGAGATGTTCTGCTTTTCATGTATTGTACTTGTGTAGGTAATAATCATAATGCTTTTGTGTGATCTATGGGCAGCTCTTCCAAAGAGCCGGCACAGGCACAATGGGCCGAATGCCCTCCTTCTGTGCTGTAATATTCTTTGATTCTACAAATGCCTTATCACATTTTCAAGACATGTCAAAGTGCTCCACAGAATAGACTGTAAAGTGAATTGACTGTATATTTTCTGGGTGCAACAGGGCAGCCAATTGCGCACAGCAGTGTCCCACCAACAGTGGTGGATTGAGTGACCAATTTTTTTTAATTTTTTTTAAAAGGGATTAATACCCCCCTGAAAAGCGATCCGCCAATCGACTAACAATCGGGTTCCTACTTTCTGCTAGGTAAATAGAGGTAAATGGAGTAAGGCAACTTGCCTAATGCTTTGCAAGTGCTCTAACCAATATGCTGCAGGACTCCACCTGGGCTATTATAGCTAATAATAATCAAATAAAAAACTGTTCACCTTGCATGCATTTGCATTCGTCTCCATTGCAGTGTTTTAAAACCTTTTTAATTTCTGGCAGTTTGTAAAACACTGTGCACTTTCTGCCTGCAAGGGAAACAAATGCAGGAATTTTACAGTCAGAAAGGATCAGCATAATGGCGACACTCATTGTAAGAATTCTGTCTATTTTTCGTGACTTGCAGTCTGAATCCCTCACAACAAGTGCGTGAAAGAAGACCAAGGTCTATCCAGTTCTCCTTCCACCATCCAGGCAGTCACATGCACATCTCATGTCCTGAACTACTCATATACTGTATCCCGCAATATTATTTCCTAAAAGAAATCTAGCTAATTTGCCTTTGAAAGAACCAACACATTCTGCTAACCACTCGCTCACTGAAACAGTGCTCCCCCATCAATCGCAGGCCGTGTCCTCTGGTTCTACTGTTCTGGCCAAGATGAAACAGCTTGTCCTGGTCTGCATTATCTCGTCCCTTTAGAATCTTAAAAACAGCAGTCACATCACCAGAAGAGAGTCAACCTACTTGGCTGTCGATCATTGTAAACAGTGAACGGAGCCGGTGACACCAAATCAACTTCCAAAATTTTTTGAACGTGGAAACCAACACAACAGAAGCTATCTGATGGAATCTGAAACAAACATTGGTGGGTGAGTAAATTAAAGACAAGTCACACTTAAGTTTTTTTTAACCGTTAAGGACTCAATATTCTTTTTTGGGAGATATCCCTTTTAAGAAATCAGTGGCAGTTAAGAAAGAGACGATCAGAAGGAGACAGCCATGTAATGTTTCTCAATCCGCAACATTGGTGTGCTACGTAATTCCTTTATTCTCAGCTCACAACACGACTGCCTTGTACGTGAAAAGCGCTATATCAAATGCAAGGATTATTATATTATTATATTGTCAACCAATTGCTGTATCTTTCGCCGTCTTGGGAAAGTGGGAACATTCAGCAACATCCTGAATTACTTACATTTTGCGCAACTCTGACCAATGCCATTCAGTCACCATCCTGCAGGAAGTACATCGTGGTTTGCAAACTGCCTATTTATCATACTGGTTTATCAATGTCTCCTTGTGGCATTAAACTACTAGAAAATTCAAAAAGGGATTGATTCTGAGGTGCAGTGGAGAGGCCCCTGGTGCCATGGAGGAATTCACAACAACAACAATAACAACTTGCACTTATATAGTGTCCACCACGCAGGGTAGCGTCTCAGAGCGCTTAAAAACCCACTCGCACTGTTATAATAATAATCCTTGCATTTGATTTAGCGCCTTATATCTTCGAAGACTCTCAAAGCGCTTCACAGAATAAGACTGTAAAGTGAATTGACTATGTTTTCCAGGCGAAATGCGGCAGCCAGTTGCGCACAGCAGTGTCCCACAAACAGTCATGGACTGAGTGACCAAATTATTATTTTATTTTTTTATTTTTGAAGGGACTATTACCCCCGGAAAAGCAATCCACCAATTGACCAACAACCAGTTTCCTACTCATTGCTTGGTAAACAGAGGAGTGTGGAGTAAGGAAAGTTGCCTAAGGTTTCACCCCAGTCGGGAATCAAACCCGGGTCCTCTCCCTTATGCGCCGAGCACTTTAATTACAGATACCAAATTCCTGGAAGAGAATGCTCCATTGCTCATGAGATGTATAATAATAATAATAATCCTTGCATTTGATACAGCGCTTTTCACGTCTTCTAGATGTCTCAAAGCGTTTCACAGAATAGACTGTAAAGTGAATTGACTGTGTATTTGTGGGCGAAATGGGCCAGCCAATTGCACACAGCAGCGCCCCACAAACAGTCGTGGATTGAAATGACCAATTTATTTTTGTTTTTTTTTGAGGGATTATTATCCGGCGTGTGGAGTAAGGAAACTTGCCCGGGAATTGAATTGAACCCAGGTATCTCGCTTGCAAAGCGAGTGCTCTAACCACTGAGCTATAGGACTCCACAATAAATAGCCTTGAACACATCAGATTTACACAATAGGAAGAAAACAGGCGGCGCATTCCTCACCTCATTCACTTGAATAATAACACTTTGATCTACTAATCTGTAGTTGAGAATCAAGTTATCCACACCATTTAGTAGCTGAAAAGAAATACAAAACAAAGTTTACTAGTGGAATCGCAAGAATGTATATTTTAAATTATTAGCAATAATAGGATTTGTATTTGGTACAGCGCCTCATCATGTCAGAAGGATGTCTCAAAGCGCTTCATGGGATTGACTGAAATAGAATGATTGCATATTTGTAGCCTCACAATTAGGCACAGCAACGTCCCACACAGTCATGAAACGAATGTCTAATTTTATTTGGCCTTATTTTATTAACAGACTTATCTATAGGAACGTAACTGTCTCGAGGTCAGCCTCTTCTGGGATTAAACCGGTATATAGATGTATCTCCATCACACCAGACACTGCATCCCACTCAGATTCTCTGTGTCTGGGATTATATCTGTGAAAGAAATGAGAATTGGAGGATCACTTATGACAATAACAACAAGAACAGCTAGTATATAGCATCCTTCATGCAGGGCAGAGTCTCGGAGCGCTTAACAGTGGTGGAGCCTGACATCAAGCCAGGGGGATGGAGAAGGTGACCATAAACACGATTGAAGAGGAATGACTTCAGTCGTGATCTAAATAAGGAGAAGGAGGGGGCAAGGCGGTGGGATTGATGGAGAGAGTTCCAAAGCTTTGGGGCGTAGTGACCGGAAGCACAGCCGCCGATGGTGGAGCGGAGGGACCGAAGGATGAGCAAGAAGCCAGAGCCAGCCGAGCGGAGGCAGCGTGTAATGGTGAAAGCAGGTCAGAAGGAGGTGCCAGGGTGTGAAGGGGTAAATAAATAATAAATGGATACAACAGTCCACCATCTAATTCCTGCGATTCATGTATAAACATGACGTTCTGCTTTAATGTTTAGTGTTATTGAGCGGTCCTTGTATACTCACCTTGCACAAGCTTTCAGTAGATAAAGTTCGATAGTATCTGGCTGTAGTATTCCTGAAAATAAAGAACTTTTTATGAATAAATTCATGAAAGCTAATCCACACAAGATAGCGGAGAGATCTATTGTTAAAATAAGTCACAAGTTTCTTACACAAGTATCTCACTCAAGAAAGCAAACATTTCTCCCGAATTATATTAAATTTGGGCAAACTTTGTGAAATTTCTTAATGAATTTCTTGATTGGATTTCTTAATGAGATTTCTTAATGAACAAATCCAGGGATTGATCTCCTGGAGTATATCATAATAGCAACGTGCATTTATATAATGCCGAAAATAGATAGTGTTGGAGTGGCGTTCCTAGGTACAGTAGTATTACTGAACTATTTATTTGTAATAGTAGGTGGGTAGGAGATCTGTCCTTACACATAGCAGAACTGAAAATTAAGCAATTACAATAGAATCTAGACTTGTACAAAGGTTGTTCAACCAAAACACATGAGTATAGCTAGAATATTAATAATAATAATCCTTGCATTTGATATAGCGCCTCGTCACATCTTCGAGACGTCTCAAAGCGCTTCACGGAATATACTGTAAAGTTAATTGACTGTATATTTTGTGGGCAAAACATGGCAGCCAATTGCTATCAATACACATCTGAAGAGGAGACAGGACCAATCCATGCAGATTTCCATATTTGTACTTAGCAGGACTCACTTGAATCCACTGGGGAGAGATCTATTGTCAAAGAGAAATCACACGATTCTTGGGATGTGCCAGTTGTATAATACGTTGTCCTCACCTACGGGATAAACAACCACAAAATTACATTGATATAGCACCTTTCATGCAGAAGGATGAGGATTACATTATTATGATTATGAGATGCAATCACAGGAAGTAGTGCAGCTTTAAACATGGAATCCAACAATTTAAGAAGAGGCCATTCAGCCCCTCGATCCTGTTCCGCCATTTTAGTAATCAGGCTGATCTCTACCTTAACTTATTACCCCTGGAAAGCGATCCACCAATCGACCACCAACCAGGTTCCTATTTACTATTAGGTAAACAGGCACGTGGAGTAAGAAAACCTGAGGTTTCACCCTGCCAGGGAATTGAACCCGGATCGTCTTGGTTGCGAGGTAAGCGCTCTAACCAATATGCTACAGGACTCCACTGAGCTCCGCACCCTTCCTGGGAACCCGTTCCAACTGATTACCTGCTGTTTGATAAAATACTTTGTGCTGTCTGTCCCAAACTCTCTTTGCTCAACCCTGAACCCATGGCCTCTTGTCCTGTTGAGTTGAGCCAAGCTCAGCTGAAATGGTTGGGGGCAGTACATGAGGATTAGGGAAAAGATAACATAGCACCATATAAACCCACAGCAGAGGAAGACCATTCGGCCAATTCTGTCTGTGGCGGCTCCTTTAAAGAGTAATCCCTCCCATTGCCAGCCACTTGCCCACCCCTTACTCCTGTTGTTAGCTCCCTAAACCTAACCCCCTTTAGTTTAGAAACCCTGACATGGACTGTTTCCTCTTCTGTCTGTACTTTGACTTCACATTTTCTCCTAGCAGGTGTTTTCTAACAATTTAATGTTCTTCTGATTGTTATGCTATTAATTAATAATAATAATCCTTTCATTTGATACAGCGCCTTATCACGTCTTCGAGACGTCTCAAAGCACTTCACAGAATATATTGTAAAGTGAATTGACTGTGTATTTTGTGGGCCAATACACAGATTGAGTGACTAAATTACTATTATTACGAGGTGAGTACAAGGTAACCAACACGCTACAGGACTCCACAAAGTTCACAAATCATCCACTTTTTTTTGTGTTAGGAAATGACAGAGGGAATATAATAACATGTTTCTTACACTAACACTGGCTCTGCCAGTTCTGCCATGCGAGCTCAGGATTAAATTATCGTTTTTCTCGATCTGCAAAAGGGAAAAAAAAATATAAACTCCAGTCGCACGGTTTCAATTAAATCCCACAGCACGGTAATGATAATAATAATGAACCTTGAATTTGATATAGCGCCTTATCACGTCATTGAGATGTCTCAGTGCGCTTCACGGAATATATTGTAAAGCGAAATGACCGTATGTTTTGCGGGCAAGACTCGAAAGCCAATCGCGCACAGCAGAGCCCCACAAACAGTCATGGATTGAGTGACCAAATAATTTTGAAGGGATTGTTATCCCCAAAAGGGATCCGCCAATCGACTAACAACTGAGTCCCTATTTACTGCTAGGTAAACAGAGGCGTGTGGAGTAACAAAACTTGCCCAACATTTTGCCCTGCCTGGTACGGTGAAATGTCTGTGCTTCACTTTGGCTCTCAGCCACTCAGATAGTTTTGAAAGAATGAACTAACTTGCCCATTTTCTACTCTTCCAATGTATAAACTCGGGGAAAGATAAACAGTCCCACGCATGCCAATGTGAACTTACCTTTATTGGTTTTGCAAACGGGTTTTCTTCATTCAGTTCCAGCATTTTAATGTTGCCAAACCTCCTGTAAGCTACATTAATTGACAGGTCAAGTTTAGCTCGCCTCATGTTGATGGCGTACTTTGTGAGGCCTTCGAGAGCTATCACCGTGTCCTGTGAGAACAGAATCGTCTAATCATTTAACGTCTGTATTCACCCACAAACTACACACAAGTACATCACTTTACAGTATATTCCTGCAAAGCGCTTTGAGGCTACGCAATAATACTCTATAAAAAAATACAAGGACCTCCTCCAATACTGATCGATTGATGCTGGTCTTGTCAAATAGATAACAATAATAAAAATAATAAAAATGATGAAATAAAATAGATATTTTTGAAAAAGTGTTAATTGTTAAAAAGTGCACCTCACTTGAGCAACAGTTGGATTTTTTAAGATATTAATAGTGATAATAATAATAATAATCCTTGCATTTGATATAGCCATTTATCACGTCGTTGAGATGTCTTAAAGCGCTTCACGGAATATACTCTGGAGTGGATTGACTGTGTCTTTGTGGGCGAAAAGATGTGCCAGTATTGAGGCTGCTTTAAATCACACAGATATCTATCGCCACGCTAGTTAGACTGTTGCCTCAGGAGACTTTGGTCTCATACACAATGAGAAACTGATTACCTGTATCGAAAGGAACCCTCCACCGTATCGCTGCTGCTCAATCAGCCATCCCACAATAGGATTCGCGTACTTTTTATCTGTGGAGCATAATGTAGCCAGGAGAGCATATGAAGTTGTCTCTATCGACCGTGCAGTGGGAGAATTTTCTTCGGAGGAGGAATCTTTCCAGAATCGGTATGAAGGAAGCTGACCTGAAGGAAGGGGAGCAGAAATTTCCAAAAGATTTCCAAGAAAAACCCTTCCTGTCACCTGAGGAGGTTTTGCCCCCATCACATCCAGCAGGAAGGAGGACTGTCCATTTCTCAGGCTCTGCCAGAGATGAGATTTTCTGTCCATCTCTACTTTCTTTTGATTCTATTCTGTTCTGTACCCCAAATTGTATCTGGCAATAATACACATTTGAGATTTGTTTGTGAGGAAGGAGTCATGCCTTTCCAGTTGGGACATAGAGACTGCTCCCAGGTCAGTTACAGCACAACCAGATATCAATCAGATAATAATACTGTACTTTTAACAATGGGAAGCATTAAATCCCCACTGTTGCCTCCTGCTCCAATCTACCACATTTTTTCTTTGCTTGTTTTTAGCTCAAACGCACTCTCTAACTATATTATTCTTATAGATGCTTAATAATAATAATTGGATTTGATGCAATGCCTTATCATGTCATTGAGACGTCTCCAAGTGCTTCACAGAATATACTGTGAAGTGAAATAAAAACAGAAGTGGCTGGGAACACTCAGCAGATCAAGTAGCGTCTATGGAGAGAGGAAAATTTCAGTTTCCTGTCTTTCCTGTTCCCGCCGACTCCTGTTTTTATTTCAGATTTCCAGTATCTGCAGTACTTTGCATTTTGTACACTGTAAAGTGAATTGATTGTACACTTTGTTGGCGAAATGTGGCAGCCAATTGCGCCCAGCAGTGTCCTACAAAAGTAGTGGATTCAGTGACCAAATTTTTTTTTTTGAAGGGATTATTACCCCCGGAAAGTGATCCATTAATCGGCTAACAACAGGGTACCTACTTACTGCAAGGTAAACAGAGGCGTGTGGATTAGGAATCTTACCTAAGGTTTTTCTTCTTATAAGTAAATTAGAGGAATCACTCGAAGTCTACCTTATTAAGCACTGTACACAACATTAAGGAATTAAACATAACCCAAGCACAGTATGAATTTCCACAGCATGTTTTAATTACCTATTACGAAAGCTTCATTCTTCAGTTTTCCAAAAGCTCGATGTGAATCTGGGGTCTCTCCTTCACTTAGTCCCAGAGCGTAAGCAACAACTGCTATCACTAAGGTACTCTCCACCTCATCCAAATTTGCCGATAGGTAGTTGTTAGCCTTAATTACTGCTTCGGCAATTCTCTAGCGAAAGAATTATGTACATGTAAAAAGATACATAAAGGATTAAACACAGATTCGGAAACAGAGGAAAAACACAATCAAACCGTGATATCATGGGTCAAATGACAATTTTACTATTCAACAACAGCAACAACAAATTACATTTGGATAGAACCTTTCACATCAGGAGGACACGCCAATGGGCTGGACAGTCAAGGAGGGCTGGGATCAGAAGGGATGGAGGGCAGGGAGGGTGGTGGGAGGAGGGTGACCAAAGGCCCAGTCGAAGAGGCGGGCCTTGAAGGAGGCAAGGAAGGGAACGAGGCGAAAGAACCACGTGTTGCATTTATATAGTGCTCCTCGCACAGGGTAGCGTTCTGGAATGCTTGAGGATGGAGGGCTGTGGGATGGTGTTCCAAAACCTGGGGCCAGAGAGGCTGAAGGTTGATGGTGGGGTGGGCCGGGCAGGGGACGTGGAGCAGGCCAGAGCTCGCTGAGCAGAGGGAGTGGACAGGTTGATTTGGAGTTAGCAGGTCACAGGGGTAGGGAGGAGCAAGGCCTTGGAGGGCTTTGAAAGTGATTAATTTTGGGGTAATTGAGTTATACCCTGACTGCAGCTGAAAGATGAGCATGTATTTTAGCAGCCAAAGCCTTAGGAGGGGTCAAGCTAGCTTACCTCTCAGGCCGACAAAACCCTCATTCAAGCATTCATCACATCAAGGCTGGTATAGCCTCAATTACCTGCTTGTCGGCCTTACCAACTCTTCTCCCTAAAAGCTGCAGATCATCCAGAACTCTGCAGCTTGTCTCCTCTTCCACACCAGGCTCTTGACCCCATCAACCCACCCTCACCGGCTCCACTAGCTCCCCATCCCTCAGAGGATAGAGTTCAAAATCCTCATCCTCATCTTCAAGGCCTTCCACAGCCTTGTCCCTTCCTACCTCTGTGACCTGCTAACCCCTTATCAACCTGTCCAGTCCCTCTGCTCAGCAGAATCCGGCCTGCTCCACATTCCCCACCTGGCTCGTCCCACCATCAGCGGTCAGGGTCTCTGCCCCCACCCTTTGGAACACCATCCCACATTCCCTTCACCTTGCTCCATCCCTTGCCCCCTTCAAGGCACATCTCAAGACCCTCCTCTTCGACCGTGCTTTCGGCCACCCTCCAGCCTCCACCATCTCTGACCCCAACGCTCACTCCCCCACCCAACTCGGGTCCAAATCCCTGATTGTCCAGCGCCTTGGGATGTCCTCCTGTAAGAGGTAATGGGCGGGTGTTTTTTTGAGGGATTTGGAGGCGGAGAGAGAAGGAGCAAAGTTAAAGGATTTTGAAAGAGAGTTCCACGGAGCAGAGCACACTACACACACAAGCTGAGTTTTACTTTACTGAACGCTCCATTATAATTATGCGATTATAGTAAATCTTTGTAAACGAATAGATTACAGTTTAAAAATCCTTTAACATACCACAGTACCACAGAAGTGGGATGTCTTTTGAATCCCAATGATTGTAAAAGCAGTCAAATACATTTTGCTTTCTTTAGCCTTGTCCCTTAGAGATCTCTGCAAAAGATTTGGGGAAAGAACAAGATTTACGAGGGAGCGCATGTAAGGGTCAAGTTTGAGTGTGGCAAATATTACGCACGATAACATCTAGGATTGACAGACCTGTATATTTGCAGTTTCTATTCCCTGATGATAAAGTCAGAGATGTCTTCTGTTAGCTACAATGGAGTCCTGTAGCGTAATGGTTAGCGCACTCGCCTCGCAAGCAAGAGGACCCCAGATTTAATTCCTGGACAGGGTGAAACGTTGGGCAAGTTTCCTTACACCACACACCTCTGTTTACCTAACAGTAAGTAGGAACCCGCTTGTTAGTCCATTGGTGGATCGCTTTTTGGGAGGTAACAAAATGTGGTCATTCAATCCATGACTGTTTGTGGGACGCTGCTGTGTGCAATTGGCTGCCGCGTTTTGCCCATAAAGTATACAGTCAATTCACTTTACAGTATATTCTGTGAAGCGCTTTGAGGGTCTCGAAGATGTGATAAGGCGCTATATCAAATACAAGGATTATTACCCCCGGAAAAGCGATCCGCCAATCGACTAAAAAATGGGTTCCTGTTTACTGCTTGGTAAACAGAGGCGTTTGAAGTGAAGAAACTTACCCAATGTTTCGCCCTGCCCAGGACTCAAATGCAGGTCCTCTCATTTGCGAGGCGAGTGCTGTAACCACTGAGCTACAGGACTCCACAATAGTGTTTCCGCAGATTTTAAATCAAGTTATAAATTCGCTACAGAAAACATTGAGGAGCTCAGTACGACAGCAACGTGCTTCACTGCGGAATCTGGTCGCGATTCCATATCCCATTAGCCTTAAATTCTGTGTTATTTACTGACCTGCATTTGCAGTGGGACATGACTGGAAAGCTCCCTGAATGATCCATCGCTGTTTTGGCAATTGTCAATAAGCCAATTCATTGTATTGCACACAGACTGTTTATCCAGTTTAATGTACATACTGACTTCACCAAAAATTCTTAGTACAAAAGCAGTTAACCTAGAAATCAACCAAAGAAACACACACTGAAGTTACTGGAAAAGGCCAGCATGTCAATAAGTGCATCTATACTACACCGCAATCACCTGTCCCTCCTGCCCCTTCCTCCTATGAATGTTGAACTCCACTTCTTATTCCTACCTTTCCAAATGTTCTCCATCATTTTGCTGCAGACGCGTTACTTTGGTGTCTCCAAGCCTTAGCTCTCGCCAATCTGTGCCTAAAATTTTCTGGAAGTAGGTAAGCAGAATGCGTCCCTCCAGGGAGAGAAAGAGCGCATTCCAACTATCTATCTCTGGGAATTCTACGTGTGGGTGGGATGCATGAATTCTTAGCTTGGTTTGGATGCTCCTAAGCACGGTGATGAGTTTCCACATGTGTCAGACACCCAGCTGCCAGACTTATATATACTGTTCTGTGCCCAAGGCTAAATTACATGAAAATTGCTAGGAATTGCCACCAAAGGACTAAACTGAGCAATACCTGTAAATATGGATATTGAAAGTCTGTCGTTTTTTCACTACATGGATGTTGAATAATAATAATAATCCTTGCTTTTGATATAGCGCCTTATCACGTCGCAGAGATGTCTCAATGCGCTTCACAGGATATAATGTAAAGTGAATTGTCTGTATGTTTTGTGGTCGAATAAATAAATGAATGTAATTCAAAATGCAAGAAGTCTGCCGAACCTTAAATAAACAGTTAAATCAACCTTGTGATCACAAAGATTCGCTGTGTTCTGGTTTCGGATGGCTGATTGAAACTGACAATAAATAGTTTCAGAGTGTGAACGCTAGGTGATCTATGGATAAATTGGGTTCTTTACAAAGCTTACCAGGTGCTGGCTTCGCCATTCTTCCACATGCTGTACGCATAGTTATTTCTGGTTCGGAAGGACGTGATGCTGGTAATACCTTATGTAAAGCAGAGGAATTAATAGGAGACAGCAAACAAGAAATCACAGCAAATAAATGTAATATAACTCACTCCGAGTCACAGGTCTGTCGGTATCATCTTTATTTTATCTTCCCGACTCTCAGTGAAGCATCACTTTCCATCACACCACCTTTGTCCCGTTCCCAGTGTCCTGTTGTACTTCCTCTCATCGGCTCCTCGTCAATTCTCCAATTAATCCTAATTGAGTCTTCAACAATACATACCACCTCTCCATAGCCCTGCTTCACTTCAGCCAACTGCCATTTACCTGCTTGATCCTCGCTCAGGTAATTCAGCACAGAAACGGGGATGAACCCCAGACCTTTGCTGGTCAGTGTGACTCAATGCCACAACCACTTGCATTTATGTAGCGCCCTTCATGCTGGCAGAGCCTCAGAGCCCTTAACAGTGATGGAACTTGACTCAGTACCACACCATGTGGTACTTTTAACCGTCAAGCTGACACCATCTAAAATGGTGGCTGTGCTTTCAGCCACTATGCCCCGAAACTCTGGAACACTTTTCCCCTATCCCTCCACCTTGCCCCCTCCTTCCCCATTTTCGGGTCCCACCGAAGACCTTCCTCTTTGACCGTGCCTACGGTCACCCCCCCACCCCACCCCGGCTCGGTGTCAAGCGCTTTGGGACACTACCCTGCGTGAGGGGCGCTGTGTAAATGCACGTTATTGTTGTAAAATGTTTTATAATGTTGTTTACAATGTGCAAACTAACTGGATTTAGATAGAAATGATTCCATACCTTGTCTCATTTTTACTTTCATGTTCAAATGAATACTAGTGTTCAACGGGCCCAGTTTGCTCCAGCCAGACGTCTTCTCCAAGTAGTTATAGATGAAGAAAAGAGGTGCTACAGTCATTACCTCTGATTCGGCAGAGCCACTTGGCAGGTTGGTCAATTTACGAACCCCTTCAGGGTTGAGAGCTATGGCTAAAGCTTCACCAATTACATCACCTGCAAGACACAGTAAGTACATCATTCACCGACAAAACACACAGTCACTACACTTGACAGTAAAGTACTTTGAGACTCCGCTTTGGGATGCTCTCGTGATGTAAAAAGTGCTCTATAAATGCTATTTGTTTTTGTTATTTTGTTATTCTCCTGACTTGAAAGTTGCTACATCGAATGCAAGTATTAATAGCGAGCATAACAATAATAATAATAATTCTTGCATTTTATATGGACGCTACAATGTCTCGAGGAGTTTCACAAGTAAGTGCTGTCAAGCGTTGTGACTGTATTTGTAAACCTACGTGGCAGTCATTTTGCCCACTGCAAAGTCTCACAAACAGCCATAAGTTGGTTGACCAATTGATCTGAAGGTGAGAGTACCATTAAATGAGCCAAACTGACACCATTATCATTGGGTGCAGATCAACAAAAGGAACATCAACTACTTGTATTTATATACGTCCTTCACGTGGGACAGACCTCGGAGCGGGTGGCTGAGTTGGATGTCGAACAAGAGAGAACGAGCAAGGAGAGGTGATCGAAGGTGTGGTCAAAGTAGGTGTTTAAAGACAGAAAGTGAGGGAGGGGGCTTGGAGGTTATGAGGCAGGAACATTCTCACTTCTGTTATAATAACCTCAAAAACTTGATTTAATTACAAGGCTGCCGCGTTCGCCCACAAATTTACAGTCAATTCACTTTACAGTGTGTTCTGTGAAGCGCTTTGGGACGTCCTTCCGACGTGAAAAGCGCTATATCAAATGCAAGGATTATTATTATTATTATTATTATCATTAAGCAGCAGAAACAGTACCTTTTATGCTCACTATGTGGTCCGGGCTTGTGTTTGGAATGATATCCAATGGCATTTGCAGAGGAATTTCAATCCTTCTCACCATGCTTCCTGAAGCACAGAATAAATCACACCTTGAGTACAGTGTCTCCAACCACATCTGCTTCAACAAAGTTCCCAAAAGAACATTAGGTTAACAAAATTCTTCGAACATAGTTTGATAATACGCACCATATACGTTAGATGGATCCAACTCGCGGAGAAAATGTTTCTCTTTTATAACACCCTGTGGCTGAAGAGACACAACAGATAATAATAATCCTTGCATTTGATACAGAGCCGTATCACATCATCGAGACGTCTCAAAGTGCTTAACAGAATATACTGTAAAGTGAGTTGAGTGTATATTTTGTGGATGAAACATGGCAGCCAATTGCACGCAGCAGTATCCCATGAATAGTAGTGGATTGAGTGATTAAATACATTTTTTCAGAGATTATTTCCCCGATAAAATGAACTGCTACAGGATTAACAACCGGGTTCCCACTTACTGCTAACTAAACAGAGCCTGTGGAGTAAGGAAACTTGCCTAAGGTTTCACCCTGCTCAAGAATCAAACCCGGGTCCTCTGGCTTGCGAGGCGAGCACTCTAACCAATATGCTACAGGACTGATCATGGGAAGCAAAAAGCGAAGGATTATAAGCATAAGGGTTAGAAACAGAAAGTAAAAAATAAAGGCAATGTAATGTACTTACCAACACACGCAATTTTTGTACATAAACGACACTATTGGAGAGTTTTGTCTTGAGCGTGAAATTTACGGTGTGGACACCCAGTTCCAGTGGGAGAATGGTGAAGGTGAAAGGAATGGCTGACAATCCTTCTATTGTTTTCAATTGACACGGACTAGTCTGCCTTCCTTTGACGCTGGTTTCAGAGCCCTTGTACAAGCATGTTCCCTCTTCTGTACTCATTGTCACGCAAGTCTTTAAACAAACAACAGATGGATTTTGTCTTTTTTTTACATTCTGCATCTCAGAATTTGGCATGAGAAAAGGTTTGCTTCAGAGTCCTGACAATGTCAACTATTATATGTATATATATATAACAAGCCTAATAATCCTTGCATTTGATATAGCACCTTATCACGTCGTTCAGACGTCTCAAAGCGCTTCCCAGAATATACTGTAAATTGACTGTATATTTTGTTGACGAAACGCGGCAGCCAATTGCGCACAGCCGTGTCCCACAAACAGTATGGATTGAGTGACCAGATTATTATTATTATTTTTTGGAAGGGATTATTACCCCCAGAGTCTACCAATCGACGAATAACTGGGTTCCTACTCACTGCTAGGTGAACAGAGGCGTGTGGAGTAAGGAAACGTGCCTAGGATTTCACCCTGCCTGGGAATCGAACCCGGGTCCTCTCGTTTGTGAGGCGAGACTTCTAACCAATACACTGCAGGACTCCACTATCATCAACATCACGTCCAATAAAACTATTGTCTTTTTTCTTAAAAACAGAGACTTTTGAGACGTACCCTTATTTTCCCGTGGTTGTAATTGTACACAGCAACTTTAAGCTGTATCTGTTCACCTCTCACAACAGAATACGGTATTTTGGCTTTCAGAATCACATTTTCGAAAACAGTGACTTTTATTGGGTCAGCAACACATATACCTGTGTAAAGCCATGGAAATAAAGGGAGTTAGCAGTTGAAGACAATGTTAATAACGGGGATATTCAATTTTTTCCGACTATTTTCTTACCAGTTTCAGAAATTCCAACTCCTTGGATTTCCCATGTAGTTATTGAGTCGGGTAAAGTCTTCACAAGAGTCTTAATACTTGATCTAAAACATGGTGTGAGCAGAGACAAACACCACATGTCATCAGTGCAGTGCCTTGAGACGTCCTCCCGACGTGAAAGGCGCTATACAAATGTAATCTTGTTGTTGTTGTTGTAATCTAAAGTCACAGTGTCGTGATAAGGACATAACACAGTATGTCCTCTGAAATCCTTATCTATTATTGTGCCTTAATGCTCTGGCACCCCCCTACCTCTCCGACCTGCTCACTCCCCAACCTGTTACTCGCTGCCTCTGCTTGACTGGCTCCGGCCTCCTGCTTATCCCTCGTGCCCTCCGTTCCACCATCGGTGGCCGCACTTTCAGCTACTACACCCCGAAACTCTGAAACACTCTTCCTCCATCCCTCCACCATTCCCCTTCCTTCCCCATCTTCAGATCGGGCCTGAAGACCTTCCTCTTCGACCGTGCCAACGGTCACCTCCCCGGGATCAGGCTCAGCATCAGGCTCCTCCACTGTCAAGCGCTCTGGGAAGCTATCTTGCGTGAGGGGCGCGATATAAATGCAAGTTGTTGTTATCTCACTCCCCCCTCCCGCTGTCTGCTCTTTCTCTTGCAATCTGAGTATCTAAAACTTCTCTTAAGGCGCAAACAAAGCAGGAACTCAAGAATCTAATCATTAAACCAGGAGCAAACGTCAGAGAAGAACTGGGACAATACCTCTCCGAGACTTCATGCACTTCCCACATCCAGCTTTCTGGAAAAAAACTCCGGATATGGGCTGGCTCCAGCTGAAACTCATTATTCAAGCCTAGTTTTTTGAATGAAAACAAAGAATTTGCACGTGAGAAACAACAACAACTTGCGCCCCCTCACCCAGGGCAGCGTCCCAGAGCGCTTGACAATGGCGGAGCACGACACCGAGGCAGCAGTGGAGGTGACCGTAGGCATAGTCGAAGGGGAAGGTCTTAAGGCGCGATCTGAAGATAGGGAAGGAAGAGGGCAAGGCGGAGGGATAGGGGAAGAGTGTTCCCGAGTGCCGGAGGGCACGAGGGACATGCAGGAGTCCGGAGCCAGTCGATGGCAGCGCGTGGTGGGTTGGGGAGTGAGCAGGTCGGAGAGTTTTGGGAGGTGCCAAGTCAAATGAAGGGATTTGAAATCGAGTGTGAGGATCTTGAAATTGAGGATTACTGGACAGGTCCGAACTCGATCTTTGTTTGTTGTTTGTTGTTTAAATTCTTACTCAGCCTCGCCAACGTCAGCTCTGTCTGAGACCTTGTTCGCAGCTCCTCTGCAAATTTGCAACACTCGAGAAAGATATCCTTGCAGGGTGCTCCTAGTTTGATTCTACTGGCTCTCTCGTCGCAAGACTGGATCACAGGATACTCCTTCATCCCATCAAAGCAACATTTTTGGGCATCTTGGCTGGCATATGTAGCAACTGAGAACAACAACAACTAATTACATTTCTATCGCCTTTCATGTCGGGAGGACGTCCAAAGGCACTGGACAGTCAGGGATTTGGACCCGAGCTGGTGGTTGGGATCAGGAGGGATTGGAGGGTAGAGGTAGGAGGGTGACCCAATGCGTGGTCAAAGAGGAGGGTCTTCAGCTGGGCCTTGAAGGAGGCAAAGGGGGGAGAGAGGTGGAGGGATTGTGGGGTGGAGTTCCAGAGTGTGGGGGCAGAGAGGCTGAAGGCACGACCATTGAATGGTGGGGTGAGCCGGGCGGGGACGTGGAGCAGAGTGGAGGGCGCGGACAGGACGAGAAGACGTTTTCTTTTCCAATAGTTTTCTTTCACATTCATAGACAGGACGTCAGTTTAATATCACACCTCATCCGAAGGACTCCCTCCGACTATACAGGCCACACTCACCACATCCCCCCTACTCACCAACTCTTCCCACCTCACTTACTGCTATACTGGAGCCCTCAAATGTGGGGCTTGAACCCTCAATTTTCTGATGCAGTGACAAGGCAGCTGCTATCAGGCATCATTTTTGCACAGTTTGTCCCACTGATGTTAAGGTATGAGGGGCCTCATTTAAACAACTATTGTAAATATACTTACTTTTTTTCCTTATTTTGCTGCCCACATCTCGCTTTGAGCGCAAAATCGAGTCACATTTTAGATCTGTTCAAAGAAAAAAAAATCAGGTTACACTGAACAGCGTTCAACTAGTTGCTGCTTTTATAAAATTATAATTATAACAATAATAACGCTTGCATTTGATATCGTGCCTCATCACATCTTCGCGACATCTCAAAGCGCTTCACAGAATATACTGTAAATTGGAGTGACTGTATATTCCGAGTACAAAGCATTTCAGAGAATCACAAGAAGTTAGAGAACAGGAGGAGACTGTTCAGCATTGTGCTGCCAGTTTCCGCTCTCTGAAAGAGTGTTCCTTTCAGCTCCGATCCCTGCCCTTTTCCCCCGCGCACTTTACACTTTTCTTTTACAAACATTCACGAGACAAAACAGAGAGAGCTGGGAAAACTCAGCAGGCCAGGCAGCATCTATGGAGAAAGGAAAGTGAGTCAACGTTTCGGGTCCACGACCCTTCGTCAGAACTTGCTGAGTTTTCCCAGCTCTCTCTCTGTTCTTGTTTCAGATTCCAGCATCTGCAGTATTTTGTGTTTTGTGCATTCACGAGGACTGCGATCAGATGGGCTGAAGAGCCTCTTGTCATCCACAAGAACTAATCTGGTGGCCACTGCAGATTGCAATCTATTTAATCATAGGAGCCCTGGACTGTGAGTTGCAGTCACTATCCATTACAGACACTAACACAGGAAAGATCTCAACAGATATAGAATCATAGAATCTTACAGCACATCATTCCTGTGCCGGTTCTTTGGAAGAGCTACCCAATCAGTCCTACTCCCCCCGCTCTTTCCCCCATAGCCCTACACATCCTTCCTTTTCAAGTGTATAACCAATTCCTTTTTGAGAGTTATTATTGAATCTGTTTCCAGATCATAACAACTCGCTGCGTTTAAAAAAAAAAAGCTCTTCATCTCCCCTCTGGTCCTTTTGTCATTATTTTAAATCTGTGTCCTCTGGTTACTGACCCACCCTCCATTGGAAACAGTTTCTCCTTATTTATTCTATCAAAATTCCTACCCAAAACATCTATTTTACAAGAACTTCTAGTCACGAAGCACAACAGAGACAACAACAACAACAAATTACATTTGTGTAGTGCCTTTCACATCAGGAGGACATCCCAAGGTGTTGGAGAGTCAGTGATTTGGACCCGAGCAGGGGGTTGGAATCAAGAGGGGTGAGAGGGCAGGGAGGGTGGGGGTAGGAGGGTGACCAAAGGCACTGTCAAAGGAGGGAGACAGGCGAAGGGACTGCGGGATGGAGTTCTAAAGCGTGGGGGCCATAAATTCTTTATCGTAGCTCTGTTACCAGTTGCTAGTGGAGCTTTGGCATTAGCATTGGTTAGGAATGTCAGGCCAGCTCTTGCAAAGACGTCAATATTATCCTTGCCCCCTCCAGCACCACATCCAAGGTCAAGGCTTTCAGCATCTAGAAGTACCTGCACACAGATTGCGAGTAGCTGGTTAACATGCACAATTGTGTGATATTGGATGAATTCCAGTTAGTGAATTAGATGCATCATTGGTACAACATACCACTTAACCAGATAATAACAATAATATGATAATAATCCTTGCATTTGATATAGCGCCTTATCATGTCTTCATAATGTCTCAAAGAGCTTCACAGGATATACTGTAAAGTGAACTGACTGTATACTATGTGGGAGCGAAACCACCAGCCAATTGCGCACAGCTAAACAGAGGCGTGTGGAGTAAGGAAACTTGCCTGCCCGGGAATCGAACCCAGGTTCTCTTGCTTGTGACGTGAGTGCTCTAACCATTACATTATTAGTTAACCAGATAGATATACGATCCACTTAACTTGTTCCACCGATATCTTGCTTCCTGTTCTTATGGAGTATATAGCGGTGTCGATGGAAGACAAAGCAATAAGTGAGTTGGGTCGAGAGTTGATAGTTAAAGTCATCTCCGATCCTGGCTTGTAAAGCTTGGAGTTTGACTTCACCGTAAGCTAAAAATCATAGTATAAATCATTTGCTTTCACGACATTTTCCATTAAAATCATGTAACAATCATGAACAGTCTATTCATTTTTTTAATGTATAAATATATCCATTAATATGATTAGTTCTGCACTGTGTAAATACTGGCTCTGTTGAAACACACACCGTATTGTGCTACAAATGCAACTGCCAAAATAGAAGCATTTTTATAAATGACACTGTCCCATGGTTTATTTTTGGTCAGCCGGGTGTCTGACACATGCAGAAACCCATCTCGGTGCTTAAGAGTATCCAAACCCAACTAAGAATCCAAGTGTCCCACATACACATGGAAATTCCTGAAAAAGATTGTTGGAATGGAATGCGCACTCCCTCCATGGAGGGACGCATCCTGCTTACCCAATTCCGGAAAGTATTAGGCGCAGGTTGGCGAGAGCCAAACCTTGGGGTCTCCAGAATGTGTGTTGGTATAACTCCTGGAGTCTAACCAGTTGAATCCTCAGTAGTTTGCCAAAGAATGCACTATCTGGCAAGTTTTCCTGCTGCTTGTCCAGCTAAGATCACCCTACCCGTTAGGGCTTTGGCTCGCAGGGTTAACAGGAGCTGAGTGGGTGGATTCCCTGCTCACATCAACACAATATCGCCAAACAGCTAACAATAACAACAACGTGCATTTATTATATATTGCCCTTCACGCGGGGCAATGTCTCAGAGCGCTTCCAAAACATGGAAGAGCCTGCTGTTGGAAATGATTTATTTTTCTCTCTCTGGTTGCTAAGTTAACCAGCATTGCTGTTTGTGGTACATGGCAAGGCAACACCTTGTGAAAAAGTGCCAGCGATCTTTAAGGCAGTTTAACTCCTCATCCGAAGAACAGCTCCAACAACTCCCCGCTCCCTTAGCGTGACGCTCGGCTCTGGGCTGAGCTCACCCTGTGCAGCAAGTGGGGGAACTGAACCCACAATTGTGGATCCAGAGGTGAAAATGCAGCCATAAATATAAGAACATAAGAATATCAGGACAGGAGGCCATTCAGCCCCTTGAGTCTGTTCCACCATTCTATAAGATTATGTCTGATCTGTACCTCAACCCGCAAATACCCACTTTATCCCTTAATACCCTGACCTAACAAACATTTACCCACCTCAGTCTTGAAAATATGAATGATCCAGCCTTTAAATGAAATTACAACCAACAGAGTAAAACCACGCTCCACAGATATGGAACCTACCCGCTGATTGTTCATACATTTCTCTTCCACCTTAAACCACACGGAATCCACCACCAGTTCAGCTCTGCCTTCTGCAACGATGAGATAGTATACAATCAAGCGTGCAGAAGGAATCATTTCTGCAGTGATGGGAAGGTCCAGATTGAAAAGCTGAACATCGGGAGCACGATCCTTTGTCCCGTAGGAAACAATTTTTCCTTTGGATACGACCTGGGTTATCAAAATAAGAACATGCCACGTTCCAGATTACATTAGAAATTCACAGAAAAGCATCTCATCATAATAATAATAATAATAGTAATAATCCTTGCCTTTGATATAGCGCCTTATCACATCTTCGAGACATTTCAAAGTGCTTCACAGGATATTCTGTAAAGCGGTTTGATTGGTTGTGTATTTTGTGGGTGAAACACGGCAGCCAATTGTGCACAGTAGTGACCCACAAACATCACGGATTTATTTATTTTTAAACGGATTATTACCCCCGGAAAAGCGATCCGCCGATTGACTAACAACCAGGTTTTTACTTACTGTGAGGTGAACAGGGGCGTGTGGAGAAAGGAAACTTGCCTAACGTTTCGCCCTGCCCAGGAATCGAACCCGGGTCATCTCGCTTGCGAGACGAGTGCTCTAACCACTGAGCTACAGGATTCCATGTGGTGTTCTAGTAAGTAACAGGTTATGATTGCTTTACCCACCAAGATGATTCTATCTAAAATGTTTAGATTATATAATGCAAATGTGAGTATCAAACACTGTTTAGCTTAATCTGATGGGCTTAAACAACTACCAACAAACGACATTTGTAAAGTGCCTTTCATATCACGAGGACATCCCAAGGTGCTGAACCGTCAGGGATTTGGACCCGAGCTGGGGTTTGGGGGCTAGAGAGGTTAGGGGTAGGAGGGTGATCGAAGGCAAATTTCCTTACTCCACGTGCCTCTGTTTACCTATCAGTAAGTAGGAATCCGGTTATTAGTCGGTTGGCGGATCGCTTTTGCGGAGGTAATAATCCCTTCAAATTTTTTTTTTAAATAATAATTTGGTTACGCAATCCGTGACTGTTTGTGGGACGCTGTGGTGCTCAATTGGCTGCTGCGTTTTGCCCACAAAATATACAGTGAATTCACTTTACAATATATTCTGTGAAGCGCTTTGAGACGTCTTAAAGACGTGATAAGGTGTTATATCAAATGCAAGGATTATTATTCTCAGGTGTGAGCGTATTACATAGAATGTACAGCACAGAAACAGGCCATTCGGCCCAACATTTATGCTGACATTTATACTCCTCCTGCCCTTCCTCAGCTAAGCCTATCAGCATAACCTTCTATTCCTTTCTCCCTCATGTGCGTATCTAACTTCCCCTTAAATGCATCTGTGCTATTTGCCTCAGCTACTCCTTGTGGTAGCAAGTTCCAGATTCCCACCACTCCCTGGGTAAAGAAGTTTCTCCCGACTTCCTTATTTGATTTATCGGACATTGATAGCTATCAAAACTGCAGTAAGTCATCGCTACCTGAAAGTGGAAGCTCCTTATTTTTTTCTCGTAAGGACTGCTCGGGATGAGGTCAACAAGGAGATGATCCAGAATTTGGAATTTCTGAAAATTTGCCGCCCAGTTAATGTACAGGTAACTCTCGGTTTCAGAGCGGTAAGGTTTTGCGGTGTATTCTCTGGGTTTGAAGTTGCCTTCATCGGACTCAATTCCAATCTAAAAGAAAAAGAAAGAGAGGTTCCCAGCGTTCCCAGAAACGTGTTGATATCAGCCAATGTCAACAACGTTCCTTTGTCCGTCAACTGACCTTGAATCTCAATTCTTTAATGTGTGTTGGAATGTCCAGCAGAAATTCAATTGTCCCATCACTCTGAGTGATCCTCGTTGCGCTGTCTCTCTCTCTGTCCTCGCTCCTGTCGTCAAAAACGTTCGTTGCTGAAATAAACACTTTAAGGTTCCGCACCGGAGATCCCTTCATGTCTTTAACTTGGGCCTGATCGAGAAGTTGAAAGGAGAGTCAAACGGGAGGCAGTAGTATCTATATAGCCTTAGTGCGACTAAGGAGGGCACTCATATAGAAAGGTGCTGAGACAACAACAACAACAAATTCCATTTACACAGCGTCTTTCACGTCAAGAGGCCACCCCAAGGAGCTGGACATTCAGGGATCCGCACCCAAGCTGGTGGTGGGGATCAGGAGGGATGGAGGGCGGGGAGGGTAGGTGTGGGAAGGTGACCGAAGGAGGCAAGGGATGGTGGGGGTGAACTGGAGGGAATATGGGATGGAGCCACACCACAACACACACAGTGAGAACTGCCTTTAACCCACTATTCTATAAGATCTTGGCTAATCTCTACCTCGACTCCAATTACCTGTCCTTGCCCCGTACCCTGACCTAACAAACATCTATCCACCTCAGTCTTGAAAATGTGAATGGATCCAGCATCCACAGCCCTTTGGGGAGTGAGTTCCAGATTTTTCACTCCACTTTGGGTGAAAAACTGCCTCCGGATATCACTCCTAAGTTTTCCAGGCCCAAAACATAATCGAAAGACACCGGCTTTCACTTACATTGATGTGATATGGTAGATTAGGTTTCACAAACAGAGGAGTTGCTACCAAAGTGATTTTATACGGTGATCTGGTGAATATAATGTCTGAGTATTCAGCGTCTTCAGTAATGCCGGCTGATATTAAACACAGGAAAGGGAGAGAAACGTTATTGCTCTGATTTATTCAAATTCCCTAAAACTTTTTTGAGATACGTGGGGATTTATTATAATTCACTGTATATTTTTGTGGGCAAAATGCGGCAGTCAATTGTGCACAGCAGTGTCCCACAAACAGTCATGGATTGAGTGACCAAATCATAGAATCACAAAATCATAGAATTATGCAGCACAGGAGGAGGCCATTCGGCCCCTCGTGTCTGTGCCGCTCTTTGAAAAGAGCTTCCAAATCAATCCTACTCCCCCGCCCTCTCCCCATAGCCCTGATCAACCCCACTCCCCCGCTCTCTCCCTATAGCCCTGATCAACCCCACTCCCCCGCGCTCTCCCCATAGCCCTGATCAACCCCACTCCCCCGCTCTCTCCCTATAGCCCTGATCAACCCCACTCCCCCGCTCTCTCCCCATAGCCCTGATCAACCCCACTCCCCCACTCTCTTCCCGTAGCCCTGCAAACTTATCATAATTATTAATTTAAAAAAAACACGAAACGTGGTATTCAAAAAAATATATATTTATATATTATATATATATTATACATACCCCCAGAAAGTGATCCGCCAATTCACTGGCAATCGGGTTCCTACTTACTGATAGGTAAACAGAGACGTGTGGAGTAAGGAAACTTGCCCAAGGTTTCGCCCTGACCAGGAATCGAACCCAGGTGTTTGCACTTGCGAGGCGAGAGCTCTAAGCACTACGCTACAGGACTCGACACTTAATCTTGTGAAGCTACCCCAGGTAGGCTGCAAACACAGACAGTGTCAATAACAAACCGGAAAACAAACCACTCGACAGCTCTCACCTTTCGAAACACAGAAACTCTTTCAAAAAACTTCAATTCAGATAAATCCTACCATTAATTATTTTTTCTGAAAGTTCAGTTCTTCAGTAAGGAGACAGCAGCGTTTACCTGAAGTGTCGAGAACCGTTACCCCAATGTGCAAGAATCTATTGTGAAGATCTGCAAGGCTGTCTATTTCTATCGATTTAGTCGCATATTCTGCGTCGAAATCTACAGTTACATGCCCATTCTCCAGCTGATGAAGACAAGAAACCCGAACCACTGATTAGCAAACGTCCACAATAGCAACAACTTGCATTTAAATAGCGTTCTTCACGTAGGTTAGCGCCCCAGAGCACTTGAGTGCAGAAAGTCTTTAAAAATATGCATAACAATGCAGCGATTTCCCCCCCCCCCCCAGCTGTGAAGTCGACCCCCGGCAGCCTGCTGAGCGGAGGGAGAGGACAAGTCGACATGGCAGACCATCTGACTCTTGCTAAGAAAAGTCTTGATAGACTGAATGACGACTTGTTCCCTGCTTATGAATCGTCTAACAAACCCACGTCTTCGAGACGTCTCAAAGCGCTTCACAAGATATACTGTAAAGTGAATTGACTGTATATTTTGTGAGTGAAACCCGGCAGCCAATTGTGCACAGCAGCATAACATAATTCTATATTATATAGCAGCTTTTCTTGCAATGATCTCTTGTGGTTTATCTCACCATCTTCATCATTGCAGCTTTTGGCATCAGCTGTTTGCTTCCATGTTCATCAAGAATCGCGAAGTGCAGAAAGACATTTGCATCTTGTATTTTTTCTCCATGAAAATGACTGTCGGATTGTGAAACAATGTTAGGTTAGATATACACTAATTAAAGAAACTCGTTAATAAAAATAACCCAGATATATCCAGATTTCTAACCTACCGCAATGTTTTAAGACCATTTTTATTTAGAAATGGGAAAAATGAATACAGTACATTATCAGCATTTTATTCAACCATTAGTTATTTCGCCAAAATTGTCAACCATTGAACTCAAAGTTGTTTAAATGCGGTTAAACGGGTACCTTGCCATCACATCAATTTTGAAACTGTTAAATTCATCAAAGGATATGAAGTTCTTTTCTGGCTTGATAGAGATCTGAAAGGTTGGTAACACTGAAAAATATCAACATTCAGGGTAACACGTTAATAATAATAATAATAATAATAATATTAATAATAATCCTTGCATTTGATACAGCACCTTATCACGTTGTTGAGACGTCTCAAAGCGCTTCACAAAATATGTAAAGTAAATATACTCTCAAAGCCGGTCAGGAACCTCGGTGTTCTGTTCGACCCTGAGCTGTCCTTTCTCCCTCATATCCGCACCACAACGGGCACCGCCTTCCATCACCTCCGGAATATCGCCAGACTACGGCACTACCTCACCCCTCACGCGGCTGAAACTCTGGTCCACGCCTTTATCACCTCAAGGCTGGACTATGGGAACTCTCTCCTCGCCGGCCTTCCCGGCCCTCCCTCCACACTGCAGGTCATTCAGAACTCTGCAGCTCATGTATTGTCCCGCACCAGACACCGCGACCACATCACTCCCACCCTCGCCCTCGCTCGCCTCCACTGGCTCCCCATCCCCCAGAGGATCGAATTCAAGATCCTCATCCTCACCTACAAGGCCATTCACGGCTTCGCTCCCTCCTACCTCTCTGATCTACTATCCCCCTACTTACCTGCCCGTACCCTCCGTTCCTCTGGCTCCGGTCTGCTCCATGTCCCCCGCCCCAACCGCCCTACCATCGGTGGCCGGACCTTCAGCCTCTCAGCCCCGAGGCTCTGGAACTCCATCCCCCAGGGCCTTCGCCGCTTCCTCCCTTTCCTCCTTCAAGGCCGGTCTCAAGACCTTTCTCTTTGACGGTGCCTTCAGCTCCCCTCTCGACTCTCTTCCCCCTCCTCGCTCCCTCCCTTCCCTCCCCTCACCCTGACCATTTCCCCCCAATGCTCGGGTCCTGACCCAACTGTACAGCGCCTTGGGACGTCCTCCGGACATGAAAGGCGCTCTATAAATGGAATCTTGTTGTTGTTGTTGTTGTAGTGACTGTGTGTTTTGTGGGTGAAACGCAGCAGCCAATTGTGCACAGCAGCGTCCCACAAATAGCTGTGGATTGAGTGACCAAATTATTATTTTTTGCAGTGATTATCATCCCCGGAAAGCAATCCGTCAATGGACTAACAAGTGGGTTCTTACTTACTGCTAGGTAAACAGCGGCATGTGGAGTAAGGAAACTTGCCTGAGGTATAGTTTATGGTAGATTTTCTGTGGAATGTGAGAGAACGATTTGACTGGCTGAATGATCATTTCTCCTTCTTGATGCTTCTTTTAAGATTATTTATAATATAAATCGCCCATCAGTGTATTGATTACTGAGCATTTTCCCGTTAGTTTTCCCATCCTAATTTCTGCTGATTGACGGTGTTTCCTGAGTACATGTCACAAGTCTTCACTTCCCCCCTTATAGGAATACTGCAGCACTTTTTGCCGTCTTTAACTGAATTCTGATGTTACGTTCAGCATTTTACTGCAAGGAACAATCATTGGCAAACAGGGTATTGGCACAATAAATGGGACTTGCTGCATACTTGCATTTTTTAAGGGATCAAGGGATATGGGGCAAAGGCGGGTAATCAGAATTGAGGTACAGATCAGCCATGATCTAATAGAACAGCAGAACAAGCTGGAGTGGCTGAATGGCCTGTGTTCCTATGTTCCTACCGTATTCTTTGATCTCAAATTTTGTTGAAGTGAATGTCGTGAAGTCACTTTTGTACTTGGCTTCTATTTTCCACAGGCCGTATCTGCAAAGAAAACCGGTGCAGTTTACGTGTGACACATGTGTGTAATGAAGACTGCATTCTAAATAAATGCACTATTATTCTTGAGTTATCCTCTCAATCAGGGTGGGTTCAGAGTGGGGGGTGGGTAGGGGGTCAATGGAAAGTATAACACAATAATAATAATTATTAATAACTCACAATAATATTAAGCATTATTAGCACACAATAATATTAATTATTATTAACAAACACACAATAATAATTATTATTAACGACACACAATAATATTAATCATTATTAACAACTTACAATAATAATTATTATTAAGAATAATTATTATTGACATACAATGTCGGAAGAAAAAAAGGATAGCAAACAGCAAATGCTCAAACGATATTGGACAAATAAGTCAACACAGTGAGTCTGGTTTGTGAACGTTGCAATATTTTTTAATGGCAATTTACTTAGGGTTAGGTGGAACCTTGAAGTCGAGTATTGAGATTATTCCAGTGACGTCCTCAGATTCAACATAGTCAACCTTTACTCCTTCTGGGTCCTTATAGAGAATAAAATCAGCCGTTTTATGTCCAATGTATCAATAATAATAATGCTGCTTGCATTTGATATAGCGCCTTATCATTGCGACGGATTAGAGCGCTTCATGGAATGTAATGTCTGTATATTTTGTGGGCGAAACGCAGCAGCCAATTGCGCACAGCAGTGTCCCACAAATAGTCGTGGATTGAGAGACCACTTTTTATCTGCTTATATTTTTCCTAGGGATTATTACCCCCGAAAAGCGATCTGCCAATCGACTAACAACAACAACAACTTGCATTTATATAGCGCCCCCTCATGCCGGGTAGAGTCCCGGAGCGCTTAATCAACCAGGTTCCTACTTTCTGCTAGGCAAACAGAGGCGTGTGGCGTACGGAAACTTGCCTAAGGTTTCGCCCTGCTCGGGAATCGATACCGGGTCCTCTCGCTTGCGAGGCGAGGGCCCTAACCAATATGCTACAGGACTCCACAATGCAACTCCACAACGTCAGCACATCGCAGTCCTAAATTTTTACTACAATGTTTGTCACCAAATCTCCCATCAAAGGCAACCATTCTCTGAATAAATCTCACCTTAAAAGTAATCAAAACTGGTCTTTTAGCTGGTTTGAGTTCTTCGTTCAGAGAATAGATTCTAATTTTCACTACAGATAAAGCAGAAGATGAGGGTTGAGAATAAAGAGTTGAAATAACAGAATGTAATCATCATAAAGTTCAGTCAAAAAAATGCAAGGCTTTTGTGGGCGGAAAGTGGTACCTGACTGGTCAGGTGTGTAAACGGGTTTGTCGGTCTGAATGAAGAGCAGTCCGTTCTGGTGAGACACTGGCACCTTTTCTTCCTTTGTGAAATCTGACGAGGATGCTGCTAAGTACACATATTGTGGTTTATCTTTACTTATGGGAAAGGCTTTTGGCAAGATCTGTAGGGAACAAAGTTCGTTGATCCATTCCATTGTTAATTATTTCAACCGTTGTCCAATTCCCTCGATTGCTTTCGAGATAATAATAATAATAACAATAATAATAATAAAAATCGTTGCACTTGGTATAGCGCCTTATCATGTGGTCGAGACGTCTCAAGCGCTTCACAGGATACACTGTAAAGTGGAGTGACTGTGTATTTTTTGTGGGCGAATCATGGCAGCCAGTTGCGCACAGCAGCGTCCCGCAAACAGCAACAGGAAAGAAGGGTGAGCCAAGAAAAAAAAGGGATTGGGGAAGACTGTGGAATTCCTTCAACACATTCCTTTTCTTAACTATCCCAGTCGACTTGACCTCCATGGAGCAAGTGGGTTGGGGAGATTCAGAGAATTTTTTTCACGCACAGAGTTGTTTGGTTGAGGCAAAATTCATATCAGCTTTCGAAAGGGAACCAAATACAACAACAACTTGCATTTATATAGCACCCTTCACGCAAGGCTGTGCCTGAGAGTACTAAATACATATCTGAAAAGGAGTAAACTCCAGGGGCCGTCGTGAGGAAAAGGTGGATAAATGGGACTGAAAGGCTCTTTAAAGGAACCAGCACCGACACGATGAACTGAGTTGCTTTCTTCTGTTGCTATACATTTCTATGGTTCACAAAATACACAGCCGCTCAATAGCAAATCCTGCAAAGTGTTTTTTGAGACGTGCCTCTGACGCAAATCTGAAAGGCGCAATATCGAATGTAATGATTATCATTAATATTCATAAGACTGTGAAATTCCGTCCGTAAGAAGGTGTGAAATATCAATCTTACACTTCACGGACATATTCAAAACTGTAATGGAAGATAGACTTACGGTCAGTGTGGAGGCTGCTTGAAATTTGTTGCTCTCATTTAGTATCAGTACTGTTTCTGCGTAAACTGTTCTCCTATCGGGGTAACTTTTTAAACTAATTGAGATCGCAAACTCGTGATTGTATCCATATGTTTGAGCCACCACAGTCTCAGATGCTCCGACTCTGAGGATCTTGGGTGCCGTAATCAGGTAACTATAAAAGATAGTCAAATCCAGTTTGTCAGATACAATGTACATTGACATATTCATTAAATTGGGATGTCAAATGTGCTTATATAGAGAGAGAGAATAAGAGAGTGTGGAATTGTACATTTGCATGTGGTGCTGAGTAATTTAAATTTAAACTACTCACTGTTCCATCATTCTCGATGTTAGCAGAAAAAACTCCCCCCACCCCCACCCCACAATTTTTTGATTGAAATCCTCTTCAAAAGTAATATTTTCAACAGTTCAAATTGCACAAGACCAATTGTGCATTAACATTCCTGCACTTCAGTCCCTTTTCAAACCTTGAATTCTTGCCATTTGTTACCTTGCGCAAAATATCCTTTAAGTTGCGAATAAACGATGGAAATATACAGCTACTTATGTGGAAAACAATTTACATTCTTTTAAAATAAAAACAAGACAATTGCGCAAAAGGTTAGCGTATTTTTTTGCACCATGAAAGAGAAATATGTTGGCTGCTGTTTTGTTTGATTTTCAAATCAACTTTACAAGGCACACAGTTACAATACAATGCAGTAATTTGTCTTCTCTGCAATGCACCTGTTCTTCGTCTCTCTCCCTTTGCTTCTCGGTAATGATCTGAAATGTATTCCTACACATACTAACTCAGTGGAAATCACCAGCTAAAAACTACATTTACTAACGACCAGTGGAAATAGTTTCTCCCCATTCACCTTATCCAAAGCCCTCATTGTTTTGAACATAGGGTCTCTCTCACACTAGAAATTTGATGTGAAATTATCAGCATTTCCTATTGAATGGCTACCCGTTTGTTTGCTACCAAGTTATTCAATCAACAGGATAACACTAGCTCTACGCGGATTTCAAAATAAAGTGCTTACACGCGTGATTGTCCACCACAGCTTTCGAAAAAAGCCCACAAGGAAATAATGGAGAGAAGTTTCATGTTCAGAGGGTTTCTAAACCACTGCGAAGTGAGCAAGTGACTTGCGGTTACAGCAACATTTGAGGTCAACTGTCATTATTTACTTTAAGTTAAGGATAAACTGATTGGGTAAATCCAGAATTGAGCAACGCTTGATTGAGGCAAATATGAAAAATACATTGATTCTGGTGTTTGTGAAGCCTGATTATTAGGGTTCCTGATTATTAGGTTTCTTAAACGTAGCAGATCGGTAGGTACATTTAGGAACATAGGAACAGGAGGAGGCCATTCAACCCCTCAAGCCTGTTCTGCTATTCTATAAGATCATGGCTGATCTGTACCTCAACTCCATTTACCCGCCCTTGTCCCAAATCGCTTGATACCCTTGACCTAACAAACATCTATCCACTTCAGTCTTGACCTCACGTTTCAGCTCATGTCTGGACTTGAGAGTTCATTTGTGTTGCGTGCACATTGGCTGCTGAGTTTGCCGACAAATACGTGTTCATTACACTTGGTACCAATTCTTTGTGAAGCTCTTCACGACATTTGGATGCCTCCGGCAGCTGCTATACCAAAAGCAAGATATTTTCCTATCAGGGGTATTTTATCTTTTGTCATGTGTTATGGGTTTTTTATACCGTGTCTTGAGGGTGTTCATTACAGCATGTTGTATTATGAGGTATTTTAATAAAATATATTTATTATAATGTACAGCGTATTATATGGGCTGTGTGGTTTTGTATAGGGTATTGCATGGGGCATTGTATATAGTAGTGTGTTGTACACGGTGTTCTTTGGGGTATAGAGTGGCGTATAGGGTGTTGTATGCAATATATTATGGTGCATAGGGTGGTAAATAGGGTGCTTGTGGAGTGGTTGATAGGGCGATGTATGGGGTTGATGTATAGGGTGGTCTATGTGATTGGCAGTCTATAGGGTGTTGTATATGATGAATGAGGTGCTCTATGGGGTGATGTGTGGTCCACATGTTGGTCTATGTGGTGATGTACAGGCCAGTTTAGAGGATGATGTATAAGGTGATGCATAGGGTGGTCTATAGAGTGGTATGTAGGGTGATGTATAAGGTGTTATGGGGTGGTGTATGGTCTATATAGAGTGGTGTATAGGATGGTGTATGGTCTATATGGTTGTGTATGGTCTGTATAGGGTGGTGTATAGGGTGGTATATGGTCTATATGGAGTGGTGTTTAGGGTGGTGTATAGTTTATATAGAGTGGTGTATAGGGAGGTGTATGGTCTATATAGAGTGGTGTGCAGGGTGGTGTATGGTCTATATAGAGTGGTCTATAGGGTGGTGTATGGTCTATGCGGTGGTGTATAGGGTGGTATACGGCCTATATGGTGGTGTATGGGGTAGTGTATGGTCTATAGGGTGGTGTATGGGGTGGTGTATAGGGCGGTGTATGGGGTGGTGTATAGGGCGGTGTATGGGGTGGTGTATAGGGCGGTGTATGGGGTGGTGTATAGGGCGGTGTGTGGGGTGGTGTATAGGGCTGTGTGTGGGGTGGTGTATAGGGCGGTGTGTGGGGTGGTGTATAGGGCGGTGTGTGGCCTATGGGGTGGTGTGTGGGGTGGTGTATAGGGCGGTGTGTGGGGTGGTGTATAGGGCGGTGTGTGGCCTATGGGGTGGTGTGTGGGGTGGTGTATAGGGCGGTGTATGGGGTGGTGTATAGGGCGGTGTGTGGGGTGGTGTGTAGGGCGGTGTGTGGGGTGGTGTATAGGGCGGTGTGTGGGGTGGTGTATAGGGCGGTGTGTGGGGCGGTGTGTGGGGTGCTGCACGGTGGTGGGCGTGGCTGATCTCTGGCCCCGCCCCCTTCCCAATAACAAACATGGCGGCGGTTCGCGGGCTCCCGGTGCAGCGTCACAGGTACCCGACCCCGACCCCCCCCCCACACCCCCCCCTCCAACCCCCCCCTCCCCCCCCCCTCCACCCCCGACCCCACACCCCGACCCCCCCTCCCCCCCCCTCCACCCCCGACCCCACACCCCCCGCTCCCCCCCCCCCGCCCCGGGGAGAGTGTGTGATAGAGAGAGAGTGTGGTAATGGGGGTGAGGCCGCGCTGCCGTTACCATGTCAACCCTCTCACACCCAACACAAGCGCCGCGGCCTCGAGGGTTTAAACCATCCGACATTTCACTGATAAACCTCGGTCTGTGTCTGTCTGTGTGTGTCTCTGTGTCTGTCTGTGTCTCTGTGTCTGTCTGTATCTGTGTCTGTCTGTGTGTGTCTCTGTGTCTCTGTGTCTGTCTGTATCTGTGTCTGTCTGTGTGTGTCTCTGTGTCTGTCTGTGTCTCTGTGTCTGTCTGTATCTGTGTCTGTCTGTGTGTGTCTCTGTGTCTCTGTGTCTGTCTGTATCTGTGTCTGTCTGTGTGTGTCTCTGTGTCTGTCTGTTTGTGTCTCTGTGTCTGTCTGTTCTGTGTCTGTCTGTGTGTGTCTCTGTGTCTGTCTGTGTCTCTGTGTCTGTCTGTATCTGTGTCTGTCTGTGTGTGTCTGTGTGTCTGTCTGTGTCTCTGTGTCTGTCTGTATCTGTGTCTGTCTGTGTGTGTCTCTGTGTCTGTCTGTGTCTCTGTGTCTGTCTGTATCTGTGTCTGTCTGTGTGTGTCTCTGTGTCTGTCTGTGTCTCTGTGTCTGTCTGTATCTGTGTCTGTCTGTGTGTGTCTCTGTGTCTGTGTGTGTCTCTGTGTCTGTGTGTGTCTCTGTGTCTGTGTGTGTCTCTGTGTCTGTGTGTGTCTCTGTCTGTGTGTGTCTCTGTGTCTGTGTCTGTCTGTGTGTGTCTCTGTGTCTGTCTGTGTGTGTCTCTGTCTGTCTGTGTGTCTCTCTGTGTCTGTCTGTGTGTCTCTGTGTCTGTGTGTGTCTCTGTGTCTGTGTGTGTCTCTGTGTCTGTGTGTGTCTGTATCTGTGTGTGTCTGTATCTGTCTGTCTGTGTGTGTCTCTGTGTCTGTGTGTGTCTCTGTGTCTGTGTGTGTCTCTGTCTGTGTGTGTCTCTGTGTCTTTGTGTGTCTCTGTGTCTGTCTGTGTGTGTCTCTGTGTCTGTCTGTGCCTCAGTGTCTGTGTGTGTCTCTGTGTCTGTGTGTGTGTGTCTCTGTGTCTGTGTGAGCGTGTGTGTCTCTGTGTCTGTGTGTGTGTGTCTCTGTGTCTGTGTGTGTGTGTCTCTGTGTCTGTGTGTGTGTGTCTCTGTGTCTGTGTGTGTGTCTCTGTGTCTGTCTGTGTGTGTCTCTGTGTCTGTGTGTGTCTCTGTGTCTCCTATAGACAGAGGGAAATCGGAAAAGCGCTACGGGACGCTGCCCCGTGTGAAGGGCGCTATATAAGTATTATATTATATCATTGCCAGTTGTTGTTGATATTAAGTCTTGTTTCATCTTTCCTTTTGCCGGTGGTGCCTGACCAGGCCGACCATTCTCTAGATTAATCAGTCTTTACGCCCACCACCATGAGAAAGGGCAGCCCACAAGTGCTGCCATGGAAAAGACATCTTGGATCTCTGGCTGAGGGTCAAAGCTGCCCCGTGTCCAATCTGACAACACAATCACCTTCCCCAGTCAACAGGTCCAGTACTTCAGGTGCGGGCAGCCCTAACCGTGCCAGGGATGTCAGTGATGGGAGTGAAAATGAAGCTATCATTGCGCATCCCACAGAGGGAGGTAAGAATCTACAACAACAACAACTTGGATTTATATAGTGCCCTCCACTCTGGACGGCGTCTCAGAGCGCAATCTAGGTGGCACTTAACATAGCCTTTCAGCCACTTCTATGCCAGGATACAATGGTTATTGTAGATTGAAACACAGCAAAGTCTTTGGCCATTTCCTTTAAGTCCCGCAGTGTAGCGGTTGGCGCTCTCGCCTCGCACGTGAGAGGACCTGGGTTCGATTCCCGGCCAATGCGAAACCTTAGGCAAGTTTCCTCACTCCACACTCCTCTGTGTACCTAGCAGTAAATCGAATGGCGGATCGCTTTCCAGGGGTAATAATCCCTCAAAAAAATCCAAGACTGTTTGTGGGATACAGCTGTGTGCAATTGGCTTTACAGTCAATCCATTTTACAGTATGTTCTGTGAAGCGTTTTGAGACATCTCAACAATGTAATAAGGCGATATATCAAATGTAAGAATCATTATTATTACCTGTTATTATTAAGTCAGCCTGTTTGCTTTGCAGAATGCAACAGTATATAGGGAATCGCATTGCTTGAATCTTGCAGTTGTACATTTTAGGAGGTCACTCTATCAGTGGAAGAAGGACTACAGAAGGAGAGAAGGATATTGTGGAACTGAGGGCAAACTTTGGAATCTCTTGCAGGTGGAATCAGCAGAAGCCCTGGGGTCCGGTACATCACGGACAATTTGATCAGGAAGCTGTCAAGAGAGGAAAACTTTGGATTTGTGCAGTCTCTTAACCTTTGCCTGTCAAAAGAGGGGGGCAAAAAGTTTAGGGTGAGTACGCGGATGCCTAACAAGGTTGAGATCAATTAAAAATCAATGTTATTGGAAGGGTGACCTTTAGTCCAGTATGAAATTGTATTTAAATTTTTGTTTTTTTAAAAATAATAAATTTGAAGCTTTTCTTCGTCCTTAAAGAGATGAAACTCAACTGACTCAGACCTGCTGGGTGTCCCCACATCACCATCATTGGCCAAGAGTTCATTCACTCCGCTCCCTCCGAACTCTGGAGCTCTCTGCCTCAATCCCTTCATCTCACCCCTTCTCTCTAACCTTCTTTAAATCCACCCTAAAATCCACTTTGTTGAACATGTCTAAATATTTTGTGTTCAGTACATAGAAAACTTGGAAAAATGTGAGAAGATGCAATTCCTAAACCTGAGCAACAATTTGATTGAGAAGATAGAGAAACTGGACAAACAGGGGAAACTTTGTGAGCTCAATCTCTCCTACAATCTGATCCGGTGAGTAACAGTGAGTTGATAATTACCTGCAATGTTCCTGTGAGACATTTTTACTTCGGGCATTGTTTTTTTTAAAAAAAGTTGCCAATTCTTCCTTTCTAACTGGTAGAAATTAACTGCAGCTTTATATCTCAGATCGAAAACAGGAGGAACAATTCTGAGTCTCGATTAAAAATGTAACCCTTTTAACTTTTTATTTTGACGGTGTGTAGAAAAATTGAAGGTCTGGAGCACATGGTGAACCTGCGCAACCTGAATTTGGCTGGAAATAATATTGAGCAAATTCCTGCCTGGGTTGGAAAGAAATTACGATCCCTTCAAGTCCTTAACCTCAAACAGAACAACATTGCTCTGGTAGGTAGGATACTACAGGGTGTCATTGTAAAAAGGTGGAAAGCGCCAATTGGGACACTCATTGCCCTCTGACTTGCAATAGATAACATGTCGTGGCATAGTGTAGAGATTAGCACGCTCGCCTCACAAGCGAGAGGACCTGTGTTCGATTCCCGGCCAGGGCGAAACATTGAGCAAGTTTCCTTACTCCACGCGTCTCTGTTTACCAAGCAGCAAGTAGGAACCCGGTTGTTAGTCGATTGGCGGATCGCTTTTCCAGGGGTAATAATCCCTCCAAAAAAATGAGTAATAAATTGATCACTCAATCCACAATTGGCAGAGGCATTTTGCCCACAAAAATGCAGTCAATTCACTTTACAGTCTATTTTGTGAAGAGCTTCGAGACATCTTCAAGACCTGATAAGGCGCTACATCAAAGGTAAGATTTATTATTATTATGTTGCGTCCGTCTCCTGTAAGGTGAACTACAAATTGTCCTGTGTTTCTGATGTAGCTCCAGGATGCCACTAAACTCAAGCAGTTGAAAGAGCTGACCTCGCTAAACCTGGCAGAGAATCCGTTAGCCAATTTACCCCATTACCGCCTATACATCATATACCATTTACGCACACTGGAACGTTTGGACGGACGGCCGGTAACCAGCCAGGAGAGACAAGAGGCTCACAAACGGTTTCATTTAGGTAAAGAATTTCAGAATTTTCCACAATTCTGCGTGATCTTATAATGATTCATTAATAATAATAATAATCATTAATTAATAATAATAATAATTTGGTCACTCAATCCACGGCTGTTTGTGGGACACTGCTGTGCGCAATTGGCTGCCGTGTTTCGCCCACAAAATATAGTCAATTCACTTTACTGTATATTCTAAGAAGCGCTTTGAGACGTCGTGTAGATGTGATAAGGCGCTATATCAAATGCAAGGATTATTATTATTTCACCGCCCCCCCTGCTCGGGTCCAAATCCCTCACTGTCCAGCGCCTTGGGACGTCTTCCCAACAAGAAAAGTGCCATACAAATGTCATTTTATATGGTATTGTAACCTTTTACTGGGTTTGTACAGAAGAACTGGAGAACCTCGAGAGGGAGCTGGAGAGGAAGGTGAAGGAGATTGAGCGCCTGGAAGAGGAACAGTCCAAATCCCTGGAAATGATCAGGAACAGGAGCAACTGAACAAGTCACTGAAACAGGAGCACCTGCAGCAAAAAAACAGCTGCAAAGAGCTGGAGAAGGAAATGGAGACCAAGAATGAACTGGTATGAATCATATAGAATCATAGATATCTTAAGGCACAGAAGGAGGCCATTTGGCCCATCGTGCCTGTTATACGTTGTAAGCCTAGGTGTAGTTTTCAATAATATTGTAATATTGTTGTACTGAAATCAAAATCAAAGCGGAGAGGGCCACACAGGATTTCCAATTTGCTGGTCATCAATTCAGACCATTCATTGGTGACATGAATAAAGTAGGAAGCTGCAACTAATCACAGATTCTCAGGAATTGAGACCCATTCGATTGATTGATTTATGTGAAACTAGGAATTGGAACTGAACTCTGTTACCCGTTTAAAACCCGGGGAATGTGCAGGGCCGCGAAAGACATTTGTGATCCATGTGGTCACAATAGGCCTGAGCGCAGTGGGATCAAGCCTCCTCAGTACTTGTGTTAGTGCCCCACTGACAAAGGGAATTCAGTGCCAGGGCTGTTGTCTCAAGGTGGACACGTGCCTTTTCTCCACGTTCGGTATAAGACAGTAATCCAGATTTGAGCTAGACTGTCTCTGGACTCAGTCTGTGGTCATGTCGCCTTTTTCCATCACAAATATTCAGTCATCATTTTTATGTTCAAGTCTCATAAACTGCTACACGAGACGCTTGCACTGATGGCATCCGACACGAAGAATGAAGTGGTTTCATTCTCGCCATCAAATCCGCCTTTGGTTCTGGAGAGGGAGAAATCCTGTGTGCTCTTTCATGCTCTTTCACGGATATTAGTGCTGTGCGCTGACAAACCTGTGCTTGCTTTTCTCTCTTTAGCTGGTATCATGGTTGTTTTCAACACCCTCCCCCACTCTGCGCCTCTACCCCAGCGAAGGTAGTTTGTGGAAAAGTAAAATGTACAGTCTCGCCACTTCTTGTTGTTGGATGAACTGTTTGCATGTTGAAGTATATGGAACTTTTCCTCATACAAACCAGTTGTGAACTGATCTTTTCACTATTTAGTGAGCACAGTCACCAACGTGCTTGGAGAGAGATGTTGACTGTTGTGTGCATTTTTTAATCCTTTTGTTTGCAATGATGTTTTTAACCTCTGACGTGTGCCTCTCTTTATGATATTGAATGTGTGATTTATTTTTTGTCGCTTCTCTTCAGTCTTTCCTGACGCAGTCTATTGAGGCCTTGCTGCACGCTTGCTTTCAGGTATCACAGGCATGTAGCACTCCTGTTGCATGCTGCAGGGATCACACAAGGGACTTCAATGGCAGGAATGCAATACTAAGCCCTCAAACTCGCACATGCTAACATGTGGAGTCCTGTAGCTCAGTGGTTAGAGCGAGAGAACCTGGGTTTGATTCCTGGGCAGGTCGAAGCGTTAGACAAGTTTCCTTACTCTACATGCCTCTGTTTACCTAGCAGTAAATGGGACCCTGGTTGTTAGTCGATTGGCAGATTGCTTTCAGGGGGTAATAATCCCTTAAAAAAAAATTTTTTTTTAAAAAGTAATAATTTGGTCACTCAATCCACGAATGTTTGTGGGACGCTGCTGTGCGCAATTGGCTATCGTGTTTCGCACGCAAAATGTACAATCAATGCACATTACAGTATATTCTGTGAAGCCCTTTGGGACGTCTCGAAGAGATAAGGCTCTATATCAGATCCAAGGATTATTATTATGTTTATAAGTGGTGAGAGAGGAAACGGGATTGTTGTACTGATATTGATGGATTATAGAAGGAACAAGCAGCCATTGAGCGTTTTCTGTTATTGCTCTAAATCAGACTCACTGTATAATATTTTAATGTTGTGCAGAAATAAGAATTTACTTGAACTCAAATTTGTAGAATACCTTCCACAGAGAGAAGTAGAAAGAGCTTTTTCTTGTGATTGTATTGGCAGCATTCATTTTAATACCTAATGACACTAGTCATACAGATCGGGAAAGATCGCCAGTGTAAATCCACAGACTGATGTAGAAGAAATAAGTTGCTGAAATGTCTGTGTTCCTGAAATCTTATTGGAGGACTGCAAGCTCTTTATATTATTGGAATTAGTTGGCACTTGAGTTTATTATAGACAACTCTGTTAGGAATAACTGCGATTAAGAACATAAGAATTTTGCGAGGTGAAAACAAACCAAGGTCCATCCAGTTTGTCTTTCACCATCCTGGCAGTCGTATGACATGCGTCCCAAAATATTGTATCTCGAGATATTATTTCCTAGCAGAAATCTATCTAATTTGTTCTTGAAATTCGATTTTTGCCCAGAAATGTCCCACGTGCGATCTCTGCGATCATCATTGTGATGTTCAGTTGTGTGTACATTTTGTGTGCTTGTGGTTTGTCACAGGTATTGAGCAATGTGTATGTGACAAATAGAACCTGGACTGCTCAAACATTCCTACATCTGTTGAATGTCAAATTGTGTAAACTTGGCTTTTAAAAAGCTTGATAAATACTACATGTAAGCAGTAGAATTTGGGGTTTATAGTGGCTGAGAAAATGGTATACAAGAATGGCTTGTAAAATTCCATTTCAATATATTAATTCCTTAGCTGCTTGTTACTGTGAAAGGAATTTGCTTCCAAGCAAATCCTGTTCAATGTGTCATAGACTTCACTTGCCTTCTTCATCCGAACTTCTGCTGTGAAAAGGTTTAATTAAACAAATGTTCGACTCATGGGAGTTAACTTTTAGCTGATGTGTGTCCTTCCGATTTTGAAATTTGTTATTGTATTTTCCGCTGTAGCTAAAGCAAAAAACAGCTCAGCTTGCACTGACCTGTCAGAAGCAGTATCAGATGGAACAGGAAATGGCGTTTTACAAGATTGATGCAAAGTTTGAACCAACACATTACTTTCCAACTGAGGTGAGCTTACCTTCCAGAGGCCTGAGTCTTGTTAGAAAGAGCCTGGAGCACGGCTCAGCACCAGCTGCGGCTTAGCATTTGTTTGGTGGATTTTAGTTTATTCCTGCAGAAGCATCCCTTCCAAAAAATAATAATTTGGTCACTCAATCCACCACTATTTGGGGGACACTGCTGTGCACAATTAGCTGCTGCATTTTGCCCACAATTGATACAGACAATTCACTTTCCAGTATATTTGTGAAGTGCTTTGAGACATATGATAAGGACATGATAATATATCAAATGCAAGGATTATTATTATTTACTATTGAAATTTATGGTTGCACAGAATTTGAAATTTTAATCTAAAGCTGCTTTTCTGCAGTTTGAAGGATCATAAGAATCCTATAATTTTTGTGTTTTATAAAGCGAATTATCACAATGACACATCTCAAAGCACTTTGCAGTGTTTTCTGTAAAGTGTGTCTTTGTGGATGATCGTAGCAGCTAAGTTAGGTTTCACAATGTTTCACAAACAGCACATGAAGCGAATGATCGGTTTATTTATCTGGGGGATTGTTGGCCAGGACACTGGGAGAAATTTACTTCCCTATTCAAATAGTGCCATGACATCTCGAACAGGCAGGTGGGTCACTGAACTGATGTGTCAGCTTAAACTGGGAGTTCAAAGTCGTGACGTGGGCCTTGAACTCACAACAACAACAAATTACATTTACAAAGCGCCTTTCATGTCGTGAGGACATCCCAAGGTGCTGGACAGTCAGGGATTTGGACCTTCTGGTTCAGAGGTGAGAGTGCTACTAACTGAGCCAGGCTAAAATATCTAAATATATGTTTTTTTTTTTACAGAGTGTGGAAATGGAAGATGTGCCGAGAGAGAGCACGTATATCGGGAAGGCCTGGTATAAGAGGAACCTTTACATCCAAGAGGGCCACATTGGTGACCAAGTACAGCCCGGGAAAGTTGGCAAGGTTCAGTTTGGGGGTAACCTGTTAGCAAAAGAAGAAGTGAGAGCACAGCTTCACCAAGCCCTGGATGTGCAGCTGGAGGAGAAAGAAAAGAAGATTCAGAAAGGTGAAGAGGTGTAGAATTTTACTGCAGAATTACCAGTTGCGTTACTCAGAATTTGAGGGTTCCATAATGTGTCAGACATTGATCTCTTGTCACAGGAAGGTCGAGTCCGTTCAGATTAGAAAGAAAGAAAAAACATGCTTTTTTTTATTTCTTCTTATCACTTTGAAATATCTCCGAGCACTACAGACATTATTGCAAGTGTACAACCTACAAACCATCAAACTTAATCCTGCTTGTTCTGACCAAAGCTGAAAGTGCAGACCACTGCGCCAAGCTGACATTGTATGCCTAGCGTATACACTTCAGTTTAGAGCGTTCCAGGACACCACCCCACGTGAAGGGCACTATATAAACGCAAGTTGTTGTTGAGATGAAAAGTTAACATTAAAAGTTCAGTGGCATCTTTCTGTGCTGTTTCGGCTTTGCAGACAGTTTTCCAGGTTCAGGTTACTTCTTTTCACACAAGCTGCTCGCTTGCCTTTGTTGTTTGCAGCTCAGGAACAGCTGACGGAACTGCAGCGTGATAAAGACAACGTACAGCAGCAGGTTTTGAGGACGATGGAGGAGTTGCAAAAGCTGGAGGAATTAGCAGCACAGAAACGGGTATTTATACATGTGGAGTTCCTGTCGCGTCTTGGTTAGGACACTCGTCTCGCAAGCAAGAGGACTTGGGTTCGATTCCCGGGCAGGGCGAAACCTTAGGCAAGTTTCCTTACTCCACACGCGTCTGTTTAATTAGCAGTAAGTAGGAATCTGGTTGTTAGTGGAATGGTGGATTGGTTTCTGGGGGTAATAACCCCTCCAAAATAAATCAATAATTTGGTCACTCAGTCCATGAATATTTGTAGGACACTGCTCTGCGCATTTGGCTACCGCGTTTCGCCCACAAAATATAAAGTGCTTTGAGACGTCTCAACGACTAAATCAAATGCAAGGATTATTATTATTGAGAAGTTAAATATCAGATTATGGGGTCTATTAGAAGTTGCGTGGTTTGCACAGGTGAAACTAAAGGAGCTCTTGATTACGTAACTAATCACCAAGTCATGAGAAGTTGTTTATCACTCAATCCTTTAATACTAATCTGCCATCCTGCATTGATTCCGACTCCTTCAGTCCCTTCTTACACAGAAGCCCGACTTTCCAAGCACTAACTTTCCAAAAACATGGCAGTAAAGTGTGTAGGTTTGTTTACCTCCAGGTTTATTATTGGTAGTAACTGGTTTGAGATGCCTTTCCTGGCGTTTTCTCAGCCGTCCGAAAAGCTCCTGTTTTACAGATACCCTACTTGCCGTGTTTGGGGGTTTTAAACACAGATCAGAGGAATGCTATAAGTTCTAGTAGGAAGATGAGGAAAGAACGGCTGGTCAAAAATTGCAGACTCCATGAGAAAAGTAAAAATTTAGGTGTCTTTCCTCTAGGTTTGGAAATGGTAGATGGATAATGCATAGATGGTCAATGAAGTTTCTCCAACAACGAATGCCACTTTTTCCAATCAACAACCCGCTTACTCTCTGTGTAATTCCATCCCGGAGGTCCTCCAATTCGCCTGCTCCCTTCTTTCAAGGCACATCTCAAGGCATTTGACCACGCTTTCGGTCATCTTTTCCCCTCCACATCCCCCTCAGCTCCCACCTGCAGTTCAGGCCCCTGTTCGGCACTGCAAAGAGCTTTGAGACATCCTCACGATAGGAAAGGCACTGTACAAATGTAAATTGTATCGCATTATACATATATATATATAATTCCTCAGATTTCGGAAGCTGAGAAGGAACGTATCCGTCAACAGCTGGGCCACAAGATTCAGCTGCTCAACCAGCTGAGACAGGAGGCTGGAGAGTTGGAGGACCAGATGGAGAGCCAGTGCAGGGAGATGGACAAGAAACAGCGTGAGATCGACGATCTGCAGAGGATGATGGACTCCACAGATCCCGAAGACCCTCGGCACGTGAGTAAGCATCAAAACGAGAAACAGAACTACCTGCCGACAAGTTGTACCCAGTCACGGCCAATGGTTGGAGTATTTTTAAACTCCCACTTACAAATGAGTAACTCCAGATGGCTCGGTTTATTTTTCTCTCCATTGTAGCTGAACCTCTGACTTAACTCTCTGGGGAGATGAGATGAAGAAATTAATATTGCTGGTGAAATCATCCAGCAATATTAATATCTTTATTGACTTGGCACTACAGTGTTGTTGCTACGCGCTGGTTGTGTCACCAGGGCCCATTGCAAGAACAATCACAACAATTGCACAGCACGTCACAGCTCTTAAGCACTTACCTTAAGTGCTCTGGGACGCTACCCAGCATGAGGGGTGCTATATAAATGCATGTTGTTGGTGTACAACATCAATTGTGCGCAGTTGGCTGCTGCGTTTGGCCCACAAAACACACAGTCACTCCACTTTGCAGTATATCCTGTGAAGCGCTTTTTTCGAGACGTCTCGAAGACGTGATAAGGCGCTGTATCAACTGCAAAGATTATTATTATCAACAACAAATTACACTTGTAAAGCACGTTTCGCGTTGGGAGGACGTCCTCACACAGAGGCGACGCACGTCAGAGTGCCTTACAGGAACGCAGTGGATCACCAGGCAAGGTGGGAAGGGATGGGCTACAGGAAGGCCGGGCCAAAGAGGAAGATTCTTTGAAGATATTGAGAGTTCTTCTGGAGAACGGGACAGGGGAATGGGGGAAGCTAGTAAAATAGTACAATGGTTGCTCTAGGGAAAAGCTGATTTGCAGATTAAAGCTGACATGTGGTTTGGCACAACTGGCCAGGGACTATCGTACGCTCGCAGTGACGAGAACCAGTTTGGGGGATTTTAGTGAAGCCTGATGCATGATGTATCATGTTGCCTATGATTGGAGTGTCACTAATATCCCAGTGTAACTGAATCATGTTGGCAGCTGTGGAGCCAAGCTCTACCTTTTCCTTGTGGAGTCAGTCAGTCCGTGTGGTGTTATTATTATTAATTATTATTATATACTACTTAGCAGAAGAGTTGAATGTTGATATGAAAAGTTGCAGCAGTCTGGCCTCGGCTATTGAGCTATAAAAAGGCATCAATTTGAAATCCCTTCAAAAAAAACACTAATAATAAATTGGTCACTTGTGTTTGTGGGACATTGCCGTACGCAATTGGCTGCCGCGTTTCACCCACAAGATACAGTCGATTCAGCTTACAATATATTCCGTGAAGAGCTTTGAGACATCTTGAAGATGTGGTAAGACGTTATATCAAATGCAAGTATTATTAAAATCAGAGAATAATCAAACCAATAGCTGGATTATTGATGTTATTCTTTTATTATCGCATAACCAGGATCTCAGTTATTTAAGGTTTCTAAAATAGACGGGGCCAATTATGTAGTTTAATCTCTCTGATAGTCGTGTGCCTCAGTGACAGCAGTTTGCTTTCACAGACCTTGGGAGTGTTGCCTCTGGAGAGATAACCCAGGCATTTAGATTAGCTGCCTGGGATTGGCTGCACAAAGCACTTCCTGTGTTGTGATTTGAAGCATGTCTGATTACAATTCTCTCAGGGAAAGGAACGGACTTGCGTCTTGTCATTGTGAAGGCAGACTTTGAGCTGGGAAGTCCTGCCTTAAGTTTTGCCTTAAGAAAGGCTGATCAAGCTGAAAGCGGCAGCAGAGTCGATGTGTGAGTGAGTACTGCATGTCGAAACAGAGCGGAAGTTTAAGAGGAAGGGAGTTGGCCGAATTTGACTTGAATCTCATTTTTGCATAATGTTCGCACAAACCCTTTTTTTAAAAAAATCCGTAATGCACTCGCAGAGCTAAATCTAAAGGATTATTTTGGAACGGTATGTTTGCAGAACAAAGGCTCATTTTGCTGAGTATCCGGAATCTGAATCAACGGTTGATTTATGGGCACCAGTTGCACAAAACTGTAGTGAATGTAATGTCTGCCTCTCCATGAATAAAACGCTTTTTGCTTTGGAACGACTACGCTAACAGCAGTCAGACTAATAGGAAGCACATGCCTCCTGTGGCCTTACTTACAGTAGGGATGTAGGTTTGTACAGAAGTTTCGGTTTCAAATATATCCAGTGCTTCTAGTGTTAACCCTTTAAGCACTGGCTATATTTTGCAGCTTTTAAAATGAGCTTGTCGTGTGTGTGTTTGTGTGTGTGTGTGTGTGTGTGGTGGGTGGGTGTTGGTAACCAAATTGATTTGTGGTAGGTTTCCCAAACTTCTAAACAGAAAGAACTCACAGAATCAGACCCATTTTTTTGACGTGCAAATAAAACGTCCTTTCAGTAAAGCCAATGATTCACCAGGAATTTAGTGCTTTAAAAAAACAAGCCGTTTCCCCCCCCCCTGTAGGTGTCTAGGCCTTTGCCTGCCAGAGCTGCACAGTTTTCTTTGAAGACTGAGTGGAGTTCTAACGTGACATCTCGATCGGCTTTGATATTATAAACGTTTGGGTCGTGTGAGGAATGTGTGTCCTCAGTTTGTGCAGATGTGCAGTTCTTAGAACACAGACGCTTATCTCAGGCACATGACTCCCTGGGCAAACTTGGAAATATTTGTGAGGTTTTTTTCACAGCTGTCTGATTCAGGGACAGTGTTTGCGTGGGGTGGGGAGAGAGGAAATACATTAGGTATTTTAGTAAATCTCAACCTAGGTGCCTTGATTTCTCCCCCCCCCCCCCCCACCCGGTCCAACATGCACAGCTGGCTCAAACTATTTCCTCTCTTCCCAGCAACATATGGTCACTCTCTCCCCCGCCTTCTAAATACACACGCACATCAAAAGCCTTGGTCTTTTTCTACAAAATGGCTTTCACACTGGCAGTGGTGTGGCATCATAGGTAGTGCCTGGCAAAGGCAGGCCAAAACGAGCTGTAATGTGAAATGACTGATGGTTGCTATGTCCAAGTTTGGAAGTTTGAGCATGTTGGCATCTTAACAGCCTGTGTAAGCTACTACAGCCATGTCTGTTGTCCTTCAACACTGAAGTAAGGTCATTTAAGTGATGCTTAGAGGTGTGGTTGAAACCCTGGTGAGATTCTCTCCCATTTATCAGGAAGTCCACCTGATGATTGTGAGTGGAGTAGCCCTGAGGGACATGTTTAAACTTCAACCGTTGTCTGAAGTAATTTATGGGCGTGTTTTTTTAAAAAAAGTACCAAGTGTGTTCTCCATTGGCTCAAACATTTTGTTGCACAGCCTACCTTCTATCATGAGCTCGCCCTCGTGCGCCTAATACTCTCCGGAATTAAGCTAAGCAAGGGAGCGTCCCTCCAGGGAGAGAGCGAGCATTGCGTTCCAGATACGGGAATTTTCATGTGTAGGTGCTGTGCGTGGAACCTATTCTTGTTTTGGATGCTCTTCAGCATGCTGCTGGGTGTCTGCATTCGTATTCCATAGCTTTGTGTTATATAAAATTATTTATGTACATAAGCTCTGTAAGCATCGTATTGTTATTATTATTGACCACACTTTAGTAAAGGCGGCCTGGTTTATCTCTTTAGGCTCATTTGAAGGCTCAGATAGCCAGCAAAGCCCAGCAGCTCGACGTGATGTCCAAACATTACAAGCAACTGGAGAAGCGACTGGATGAAGTCCTCTCTCGTATTGCTAAGGAAACCGAGGACATCAAGGACCTGGAGGAGCAGCTGACAGAAGGTACCTGACGAGGGTGCCGTTACAGAGAGGGCAAAGGGCGCGTTTAACAACAATGCTGTGAAATCCTCCTCCTGCAAGTGACAGGCGAGTGCGCTCAAGTGAAAGCACACTCGCCCGATGACCTGAGAGAGAATTCTCACAGTGTGTTTTGACACGAGCTGAGCAATAGATAAGGCTTCTGGGCAGCAGAATGCTATTGCGATTGCGTTGAAAGACACAAAGTTGAAGGAAATGCAGAGTAAGACAAATAACGATTAAAACAGAAATTCAGAAACAGAATAATTCCGTTCCTTTTAAAGAAACAAATTAGGGAGCTGTGGCGAAACCTTGATTAATTGCTCAATCGCCCCACCCCCCCCTTGCCTCCTTCAAGACCTGTCTCAAGACCCTCCTCTTTGACCATGCCTTCGGTCACCCTCCTACCCCTACCATCCCCGCCTTCCACCCCTCCTGATACCAACCACTAGCTCGGTTGCGGATCCCTGACTGGGCAGCGCTTTGGGACGTCCTCCTGACGTGAAAGGCTCTATACAACTGGAATTTGTTTTTGTCCTTCTGAGTAGTTTGGAACTCCGCAATAATAATAATTCGTGCATTTGATACAGCGCCTTATCACGCTTTCGAGCCATCTCAAAGCGCTTCACAGAATACATCATAAAGTGAATCGACCCTATATTTTGTGAAACTAACCCAATATGTTAGTTAGTGCAACAATCACAGCCAGCACACGAACAGTTAACGTGCCCGGCTCTGCTTTGAACAGGCCAAATAGCAGCGAACGAAGCCCTGAAACGGGACCTGGAGGGTATTATCGCTGGGCTGCAGGAGTATCTGGAGAGCGTGAAGGGGCAGGCAAAGCAAGCCCGGGAGGATTGCGGGGAGCTACAGAGAGAGAAGGAGGAGCTCTCACATCGCCTGGCTCAGGTGGAACAAGAAAAGAACCAGCTGGAGATTGTGGCCATGGACGCAGAAAACCTGCGAAAGGTACTCGCCCCACACGTGAGAGCACTCTGGCCTTTGCCACGGATAAACCCTGAGCTCAGTAAGAACCGACTCAGAAACACTGGACATCCAGCGTCGAACACAGGAGGCCAGAGAGTCCTGGAACCCTACAGTCTAAAGTGGGGCCTAGAAACTGAACGTGTTGATTGCAAAAAATGTGATGCAGGCTGACTCTCTTCTCTCTTTACTCTCCCCCCCCCCCCCCCCCCCACCCACCACCACCTTCCTTTCCTTTTCCCCCTCTAGATGGTAAGGAATGTTAAAAGATGTGGAGAGCGAGTGTGAGAGTAAGTTAGATCAGATAATTTGCATGGAGAAAATCCCAGCGCAGACACGCTGAGCCGAATGGCCTGTTTCTGTGCTGTACCACTCTATGACGATAAGATTGCACGGCAAGTCATACAATAATGGCAGATCACTGCTTTAACTAGGAAGCAGTGAATTTACTCGGTGGATTGTGAATGTGGTGGCTGACTCTCCCTAACTCCGGACTGGCTGTTTCGCTTGCCTGGTAGGAAATGAATGACCTGGAGCGCTCTTTGCAAGAACAGCAGGAACTGAATGATTCTCTGCGCCAAGCTCAGGGCAACCTGAGTGAATACGAGGCTGAACTGGAATCGCAGCTGCAGGCGAGAGACATCGAAGCGAACCGTCTGAGAGAGGAGCTGGAGCGACTACGCAAACTCAGTCAGGTAACCAACGCCCTCAGTCCTACAACCTGAATAATAATAATCCTTGCGTTGGTTATAGCACCTTATCACGTCGTTGAGACATCTCAACGCACTGCTTCACAGGACTCTTGACTGTCCAGTCAGTGCCTTGAGTCGTCATCCCGGCGTGAAAGGCGCTATATACATGCAATTTGGTTGTTGTGTTCTGAGGATCTGAACATGAAGGCTGTGCATCTCCTGTATGGGGGCTAGCTAACCAACTCCACCGGTACCCAGACCGTTAATATTCATGTAGATTTTATAACTTTAATAATAATGTATAAAAATCCTTGCATTTGATATGAAGAGTTTCACAGAATATACTATAGACTGTATATTTTGCAGGTGAAACCCGGTAGACAGTTGCGCACAACGGTGACCCACAATCAGTCATGGATTGAAGTGACCAAATTATTATGAACAAGTATCCTTGTTCCTCCTACAAGCCAAACGTATCAGCTGAGAGTCGCATGCTAATTCATTCCTTCCAGATGGAACAATCTGCTCTCCAAGCTGAGCTGGAAAAGGAGAGGCAAGCCTTAGAAAACGCTTCAGTCCAGGCTCAAGTAGCCGCTGAAAATGAACATGCGAACAGACAGATAGTTGCACAACTGAATTGCCTGCAGGTAGGTTCTGTAAAGTGAATTGACTATGTTTTTTTGGTGGGCGAAATGGTATATAGCGTAACTTGTTCATCATTACCAGGGACAATCACAAATTGGTTTCTTTCCTGGTGTGTTCAGTGTAAGAACATGCTCATCATTGACGGACACTGCTATTGAGGGTCCTCACACCGTTAGGGTTTTGTGATATTGATCTTTATTGGGGTGTTATTTAGAGATTAGCTAATCCTGGATTTAGTATTTTGGACATTGTAAAGAGATAACCAACATTTACCATTCAACAAGGAATTTGTTCTGAAAACGTAGAAAGATGTGGAATTGATCCAATAAAACTCATCACCTATAGTGACACTGTTGGCCAATCCAGATGTACAGGATGACCAAAAAGTCATGATATTTACCCTATTTAAAAAAAAACTATTTCTTTAAGACTTATTAGGAATCGTATTAGTATCACGACTTTTTAGTCACCCTGTAGCATGTTTAGGCATAGTCTTGGATTATATTGGCACTATCTTTGAGTGTGGAGAATCTCCCAGTCCTTCTCACAGAAAGCTAAATGTGTACAACATTTTACAATATCTCCATAAGAATACTGCAGGAGATTATTCATCTGCTGAAAGGAACCTAATTTGTGCTTTGTTATTGTATTTGTATGAAATAAGTTTCACAAGCCAGAATTGTCTGTGTGTCTGTCTGTGTCTGTGTGTGTGTGTGTGTTTGTCCATACAGACTGACAACACCTTGTTGAAGGAGCAGCTTCATGATGTGCAGGCTCAGATGGATCAGATGAATAAGACAATGATTCGTCCCGAGGACGTGTCTGCTCGCGTCTCTGAGCTGAAAAGAAAGCTGCAGGGCGGCTTACGGGAAATCAGGTCTGGCCTCATCATGTGGGGGAGCGCTGGGTGCTTTCAAAGGCTTTCATTTTCCCATTATAGCGAGGCTCCTCACTACAATTTGGCTTAGGGTTTATTAGAAATTCACTTGTAGTAACAGGAATGGCCATTTGGCCTTTTGACCTGCTCTGCCATTAAGCCTATGGGAACTCTTCAATTCCATTTATTTGCTTTATCTTTAAACCCCTCATCTTTATTCACCAAGTATCTCTCTCTCATGAACACCTCAATCAACTCTTTCTATGACTTTCTGTGGCAGCATTTCCGTAGACTCACACCTGCAAAAGGCATCTTTTTCTTAGGAGATTTCCCCTGTCACCAGCTTAGCTCTGACTTGAAATGCTGTCCTCTTTGTTGATGCAAATGCTTCCTAGACAGAAACCTTGTCCCTCAACTCTAGACCTTACAACCAAGGAGACACTTTGGGAAGGAACCTTAACGAACTCCAGGAGCAGCTCCATGCCATCCTGGATCGCTCCGAGCTGGAAAAAGCGGAAGTATTCCGACATCAGAGGAAGCTCGAAGGGGAAATGGAAGCTCTGCGGAGTAAACTGAAAAAAGCTCAGGAGGATTACAAGGCAGCTTGTGAGAGAGCTGCAGAGGCACAGGTAACTAGTGAGTGACGGGAAGGTTGATGGTCAAGCTGGCTTAATATAATAGAACTCAAAACAGTACACAGACATCGCTAAATGTTTTAACTATAAGGCGAACCAATCTTACTCTTATTTCCTCTGCATTTAAGACTCAAATAATGCACTGTAGTAGGAATCCTACTTCATAGATACCGGGTGCTGCCTTGCCCTGATCTCCTTCATGCCCCGACACGGTAGATTAGAATAACATTTTGCAACTCCTTCCTATTGGTGTATATTGTTCACACATGCAGTTGATAGAAAAATAATAATTATGTCCAATAATTATTAAGTAGCAGAGGTGCCTGGAGCTGTACTTAACATAGTCTTCTGAGATGTGAGAGTCTACGTAAATACAGTGAAGAGGCTATATAAATGCAAGTTGTTGTTATGGAGAAAGAGCGGGGGAGTGGTACCGATTGGGCAACTCTTCCAAAGAGCCAGCACAGGCATGATGGGCCGAATGGCCTCCTTCTATGCTTTAAGATTCTATGATTATACTTTACCATCACCAGTCATGCCTTCAGGCTCTCTGCTCCCCACCACCTTTTGGAGCTCCATCCCACATTCCCTTCACCTTGCTCCCCCTCCCTCCCTTGCCTCCTTCAAGGCCCATCTCAAGACTTTCCTCTTCGACCGCGACTTCGGTCACCTTCCTGATCCCAATCCTCTTCTCGGATCCAAATCCCTGACTGTCCAGTGCCTCGAGACACCCTCCCAACATGAAAGGTGGTGTGTAAATGTAATTTGTTGTTGTTATTGTGTTTCAGATGGAATCCGAGAAGGGACTGAACGAGGCTAAAGCACAGCGATTGCAGAGTGAGGCACTGGAGCTACAGCAACAGCTGAGGAACATGCAGAAACTGCAGATCCTGATGGACCAAAAGCTGCAGGAGGCCGACGAGGACCGAGAGAAGCTATTAGCTGAACTGGAAGACAAGGAAAATAAGGTGGTGAGACCGTGTTTGAGTAGTTGCCTCAAACATTTCTATTTAAAAAAAATCTTAAGTTTACACATAAATACTATGAAATCTGTAATAAGTTACTAACAGTGCAGCCCTGTTAACCCTACAGTAACCCTGTTAATGTGTCTGCTGCCTTCGGTCTCTTTATCCCACATCTTCCACTTCATTGTTATATTATTACCTCTTGGTTGTTTAATCCACTGTATTTGAAAACTGCTCTGCACCGTGTAGAAAATCAGCGAATTGGGACGTCCTCCTGACGTGAAAGGTACTATACAAACATAATCTGTTGTTGATATATCTCCGAGATTGCATGTTCAAAATAGTGGAAGTTGTAATATTTTGGGCTATGAATTCATAACCAAAAGGCAATGTAAGGTTTGATCCGCTTTCTTTACGAGCACTGTTATAATAATAATAATAATAATACTTGCATTTGATATAGCGCTCTTCACGTTGGGAGGACGCCCCAAAGCGCTTCACAGAATATACTGTAAAGTGAATTGACTGTATATTTGTGGGTGAACGCGGCAGCCAATTGCGCACAGCAATGTCCCACAAACAGTCGTAGATTGAAAATGACCAATTTATTATTGTTTTTGGTTTTGGAGGGATTATTATTAGGCTCTGTGTGGAGTAAGGAAACTTGCTCAAGCTTTCGCCCTCTGCCTGGAATTGAACTCAGGTCTCTCGCTTGCAAAGCGAGTGCTCTAACCATTGAGCTACAGGACTCCAGTTATCTGAGAGGGTTCGGAGAGAAGGTTCCAGAGATGTCCGTTCCAAAGGTTATTGAGCCTGGCCTTTATGAACGGTCAAGCTTTAGGCTGTTGCCTGCAAACTGCCACTTTGCTACATAATCCATAGGGATGGAGTGAGAAAGATGGAGTCGGTGGAAGCAGAAAGTGTTGATTCTTTCAAGAACAAATTAGGAAGATTTCTGTTAGGAAATAATATCTCGGGATACAGTGTATAGTTTTGGACATGACTGCCAAGATGGTGGAAGGCAAACTGGATGAACCTTGGTCTTCTTTCGCCGAGCATGTTCTTATGTGCTTGTGTTGTTGATTTCAGAGTAAGATGGAAGAAGCCAGAACGCACCAGCAGCTGCTCAGTCTTGACAGAGAGTTGAACGACTTGAAGACCACCGTCTCGGCTGCTGATCACACGGCCGCCCGCCATCTCTCCGCTACCAAAGACCAGCTGGCGGCTCTGCAAGGAACCGTCCGGAAGCTCAACCGCAACCGAGCGCAGGTGACTCGGTATAGATATAATTCGCCCACAATATATTAATAATAATCCTTGTATTTGATATAGCGCTTTATCACGTCTTCGAGACATCTCAAAGCGCTTCACAGAATATACTGTGAAGTAAATTGACTATATTTTGTGGGGAAAAACGCGGCAGCCAATTGTGCACAGCAGCGTCCCCACAAACAGTCGTGGATTGAGTGACCAAATTATTTTTTATTTATTTTGAAGGAATTATTACCCCCGGAAAAGCGATCCGACATTCGACTAACAAGCGAGTTCCTATTTACTGTTAGGTAAACAGGCATGTGGAGTGAGGAGACTTGCGTATCATTTCGCCCTGCCCGGGAATCGAACCCAGATCCTCTCGCTTGCCGTATACAATATATAGTGAATTCACTTTACAGTATATTCTGTGAAGTGTTTTGAGACGTCTTGAAGACGTGAAAAGACACTATCAAATGCACAGATTATTATATATTCTGTGAAGTGCTTTGACACGTCTCAACAATGTGATAAGGCAGCGCTATGTCAAATACAATTCTTGTTTTACAATTATTATTATTATATCCTATCCAAACACAGCGAAATGTGTTTTCTTTTTTAGTTAACTTACAAAAAAAGGCCAATTTAAACGCGATTTCCAAAATACATTGTTGGGTCACACTGCGTTTGTTCCTCAGGAAATGCTGGCGGTGGAGAGGTTCCGGGCTGAGGCTGCACGTGCTGCTCGGGACCTGGTGAAAGCAGAGGCTGAAATCGATCTACTGCAGAATCTCGTGAAGGAGAGAGAGAGACAGGTAAGTGCCAACAGCCTGGGTTAGGGAGACAGCAACAACACATTACATTTACACAGCATCTTTCACATCAGGAGGGTGTCCCAAGGCGCTGGACAGTCAGGCATTTGCATTTGTGGAGGGCGGGGAGGATAGGAATAGGCAGGTGACCGAAGGCACGATCGAATTGGAGGGTCTTGAAATGAGTGGTTGAGGCAGAGGGATTGTGGGATCCAATGGCAAATTTTTTGTTGTGGATTCTTGTCCACACAAAGTCGTTTACACCCTTTCCCTCCATCAGACAGAAATGTAGATCATGATCCTACCTTTGAACTCGGGTACCAGAGGGGAAAGAGATTTGTAATGGAAGCATCTATGCATGGTGTTTGAACGAGTCCTCCTCCCACGACAAGTCCGAGAGGAGCAAAAACTGCTTTATCGCGTAGTTTAGATACAGCCTGTTACATCGTTGCTCCCGTGCTGTGTGTTTTAACCCCAGTGTAATTTGTGTTTCTAGATTTCAGACGAAATGCAGAAATTTGACGCAGGAGAAAACGCCTCGAATGCCCAACAGCTGGAGATCGATAAACTGAACCGAGCTCTGACCCGCCAGCGAGCAGATGTGAAGCGTCTCCAGGATCTGCTGGACCGCATCAGAGAGGGTGAGCCGTGAGGTGCTCAACGCGTGCTTTGACTTACGTGTTAAGCAGAGAGATTGACTCCTGCTGTTAAAGGAAAATTGTTTGTGTTGAGAGTCCAGTCTTGAAATTTGCTCACATGGTGTAGCACTGGCTAAAGCACCGGGACAAGTGATGCCAAGTAACCAGAGGTCGAACCTCTGGTTGAAAAATGAGTGATCACTTAATCTGCTGTGCCGGGTTTAGCCTCTGGGGGCACCAATTAGATCCAACCGAGGAAGTACTGTAGTGGCAACTGTCTCTGGAGACAAGGGCGCCTCTGGGTTTGTATTGCAGCAATGATGCCAAAGGCAGGGGTGGCATTGGTCTCCGGTAGTGTAAAGGTTACCTAAAGGTTGTCAGATTCTGCAACTGTGAAGCGCTCCGGGACGCTACCCCACGTGAAGGGCGCTGTATAAATGCAAGTTGTTGTTGATACACTACTAAGTGCTTAGCTATTTCCCTTTGCAAACTTGTGGTGTACGCAACAATTCAGGTGCGTACAGTTCACCAGGAAAGATCATGTTCTATTGTTTCTTTCAGGTAACTCAGGGGAGATCGCAGACTTAATCGGTGAAATCAGCGCCCTCAGGAACACTCTGGCCAAACAGAATGATCATATCACCAGCATGACCGATCCTTTCAACAGAAGAGGCTACTGGTACTTCGTGCCGGCACCACCAAAGGTGAGAGAAATACAGAATCTGCTCAACACTTTGCTTGTGGTTACCATCACCTCCCCTCCTACCCCCCCACCCGGTTCGCATCGCGCTCTGGCAATGTCGAGCGCTCTGGGACTCTACCCTGCGTGAGGGGAGCTATATAAATACAAATTGTTGTTGTCGCTTAGTGAGTATTTACAGGGTTTTTTGTAAGTTCTGAAGCAAAATGTTAGCCAGCATTAGTGATGGCGCCCGACAGATTGACTGTCTTTAGATAAGATTTGAACTGCCCAAGAAATTAGTGTCATTGTTTTTAATCTCTGCATTCCTTTGTGGGAGTTTCTGTCATGCTGCATTTCACCCACAAAATATACAGTCAATTCACTTTACAGTATATTCTGTGAAGCGCTTTGAGACGTCTCAACAACGTCATACGGAGCTATATCAAATGCAAGGAATATTATTATTATTCCCACTTATATTTAGCCATCAAGCCTCCTGTCCCAGAGCAGTCACACCAGAGACTCTGGACTGGGATCTCAGTATCAAGTGCCACCATCTCCGAGCCGAGGATTGGGGTCTGGGCGAGGAGCACCTGCTGGGGGCTATTGGGTTTACTCCCCCATCAGACATGCTTCACACAGGACCCAGCCCGAGAGAGGTATGTACGGCATGTCACAGGAGGGAATGCTTGGTTGCATTTGATCGACTTTAAAACTCTTTGTCTATGACTATATGTAAAGAAAGAGATGGGAACCCAGGCTGATACATAGGCACAGGAATGAGCCATTCAGCCCCTTGAGCCGTTTCTGCCATCCTATTTGAACATAGCATTAACAAACTGGCTGGAATATTGTATTGTAAAGGGTTCTTTTGCTTGATCCTGTAACACAATGCAGGTTGAGTAAGGGTTAGGGTTAGGTTAGGGTCAGCCTCCAGGCTGCAGGCAATTTGTAATTGACCAAACCCCAAGTACAGGAACAGGAGGAGATCATTTCACCCACCGGCTTGTTCCATCTTTCACATCGTATCCGATCTTTTAATCCCATTTCCCTGTCTTCCTTCTTACTTATTTACTCTTCATATGGTTTCTTCCCAAATTTCCGTATGTTACACTGTTAAAACTATTTTTTTTTGTCGGGGGCAGTGAGTTCCACATTCTCACAACTATCTGGTTGAAGATTCCGCCCCCGCCCGGTGTGTTTGTGCTCATTTGTTTCTGTATCAAATCTATTTGTTAGCCAATGAGTTTATCATCTGGGGTTGGTATAGCAGGAGGGGTGGAGGGAGGAGAAGGAATGGATTGGATCGAGTTAATCAGTGGTGTGCCAAGTCTTTTATCATTGTTTGGCAAGTTTCCTTACTCCACATACCTCTGTTTACCCAGCAGTAAGTAGGAGCCCGGTTGTCAGTCGATTGACGGATCGCTTTTCCGGGGGGTTAATAATTCCTTCCAAAACAAAATTAATAATAAATTGGTCACTTCAATCCGTGACTGTTTGTGGTGCGCAATTGGCTGCTGTGTTTCACTTTACAGTATATTCTGTGAAGCGATTTGAGACGTCTCAACGACATTATAAGGCATTATATCAAATGCAAGGATTATTATTATTATTAAAGTCAACAGAGATCCCAGTCACTGAATATCACTCACACCTGGTTATAATAATAACTAATCGTTGCATTTGATATAGTGCCTTATCACGCGGGATAAATGAATGGGTTTTGATCATGTGGGGTAGGTATAGCAGGAGGGGCGGAGGGAGGAGAAGGAATGGATTGGCTCGAGTGTAATCAATGGTGAGCCAAGTCTTTTATCACTTGCAGGTGATGGGGACAGGGGGAGCGAGAGTGACGACAGTGACCTGTCCAGGAGACCATTTGTGCCGCCGGCCGGCTCGGTGATTTACACCGTGCTCCCCGATGGTGCTGCGGTACCTCAAGGCAGCATGGTGTACGGACCCCCTCCCACAGCACCGGCCAACGGCAGACCTGCCTCTCCTGGTACCGTCATCTACGGACCTCCCCCCACCGGAGCACAAGTCGTCTACGGACCCCCGCCTGCCAACTTCTCCATGCCTTTCATTCCCGTTGGTGTCCTGCACTGCAATGTCCCAGAGCACCGGGACCTGGTAAGGCCTTCAGCACCTCCTCACACACCTCGTGTAGAGAGAGAGTGACAGAGAGAGAGAGAAACGATCTCAAAAACAAAGTCAGTAAGTAATAATCCGTGCATTTGATACAGTGCCTCATCATGTCTTTGAGACGTCGCAAAGTGCTTCACACAATATACTGTAAAGTGAAGTGACTCTAAATTTTGTAGGTGAAAGGGCAAAGGACAGTGTGTGATGCAACATCAACAAATTACATATGCTTAGCCCCTTTCATGCCGGGAGGACATCACAACACTCCATTCTGTTGCGCCAGCACTTTAGATTAAACTAATATCTATCTGTGCTTTTAAAAAAGAAGAAACTTCCTGGATCGGACCGTATTTAAACATCGTGTGCAATTCCACACAAATCTTAAATTGAAATTTTTAAGACTGAGGACTCGCAGGCTAAGATTCGGTGGAATTTCTGGTAGCTGAAGAGCGGGTTGAGGAGTCATTTCTGTAACTTGGCTGCTGCGTTTCGCCCACAAAATACACAGTCACTCCACTTTCCTGTGAGACATCTCAACGGCATGATAAAGTGCTGTATCAAATGCAAGGATTGTTACTATTATTATTGGCTTAATTTGGATCGAGTTGTGTCTGTACAACAGTGCTTTGATTCCGGTCTAAACGAAACAACAACGTGTGCATGTTTCTCTCAGGAGAGCGAGATCTCCAGGCTGGAGGACATAGCAGCAAACCAGAGGTGCCAGAGGCGCGAGGACGAGGAGAGGGCGGGCGAGGGCCTGGATCAGCGACGGCAGGAGGCTGAGCAGCTTCACCACGACATCCGCCGGCTCCACCGTGAGAGGGACCAACTGGAGCTGCACGTGCAGGAGATCCGCGAAGAGGCTCGTCATCGCAGCAAACGGAAGTAAGAGCTTTACCTTTGTGGGGGAATCGCGGCAACCATTGGCGCACAACAGTGTGCCACATACAGTCGTGGTTTGAGTGAGGGGAAAAAAATACTCTTTTGGGGATTATTACCCCCCGGAAAGCGATCTGTCAATCAACTAATAACCGGGTTCCTACTTACAACAACAACAACAAAATTACATTTGTTTAGCACCTTTCACGTTGGGAGGACGTTCCAAGGCGCTGGACAGTCAGTGTTTCGGACATGTGCTGGGGATCAAGATCAGGGAGGATGGAGGGCAGGAAGGGAAGCAGGGAGATCGAAAGCACAGTCGACGAGGAGGGTCTTGAAGGAGACGAGGGAGGGGGCGAGGCGAAGGGACTGCGGGATGGAGTTCCAGAGGGTGGGGGCAGAGATGAGTTTGACTCATTGCAGGCCCCAATGCCAATGGTGGAACGGGAGAGGCGGGGGGATGTGAAGCAGGCCGTAGTCCGCTGAGCGGAGAGAGTACTGCTGGGTAAACAGAGGCATGTGGAGTAAGGAAACTTGCCTAAGGTGCCTTGAGCTGTTTCAACAATGTAATAAAGGTGCAATATCAAATGCAAAGTAGTATTATAGGGTGGAGATCGACCTTGGAAAATAAACATAGCTTCAGTGCAGTAGCACAAAGGAGAATGATCACTGATCATCAGTGAGAGGTTCTCATTGTGTGGATTGCATAGCATGTCAGCTTGTTCCTGCCAGTGTTTATACAGCACAGAGGCAGCAAGAATAAATTAGCGTAATAACACAATGAGTCAAACTCATCTCTTTACACAGAGACCGTCTGGAGGATGACATAGACATGCTGATGAATGAATTTGAGATGGAAAAATCTCTCCAGCAGCACGACGAGATTGTTGATGAAATCGAATGTGTTGAGCAAACGCTGCTGAAACGCAGAGCGGAGCTGCGTGACACGGACAGGCGACTGACAGAGGCTGAGGAGCATCTGAAAAGTACCGGGGATAAGGTATTCCCGGCTCCGGGTTTAATCCCATTCTTCCTTCCCGTTACTTACAGATACTCACAAAGCTGGAGATTTAATAAGCGCAGTGAGACACTGAGCCAACCTGTCAGAGGTGCGGCTTAAGAAAACGTTGCTCTCTTTCCTCGTTCTGCAGACTAAAGACTTGATCCAGCAGTACGAGGACACCAGGGAGCATTTGATCGAGACAGAAGGGACGCAGAAGAGCTGGAGAAAAGAGCACAGGAAACTGCAGTCAAGCTGGTTGAAGCTGAGCAGCAGCTCAGGTACTGGGCAGAGTAACGCTGTGTACAGCTCACATAGTCCCTAATGGTTACTGAGTTTACAGTGAACGCTCCTTTGTGCTGAGTGTGTTAACTATAAAAAATGGAAATGGCAGACTATGCAGCAGGGAATGATGTTCTGAGCTGTGAGTTGAGCACTGTTCAACAACAACAACTTGCACTTATATAGCGCCCTCCACGCTGGGCGGCGTCTCAGAGCGCTTAAAAATGATTCATATCATATAGAGACCGTTCTCGATCACATCTTACCACAACTGATCTACTCCAGTCCGTAGTAATTGAAAGTGGCAAGGTGTGAACAGAAGTTCTGCCTTTAGTTTTGCCCACACACAAACCTTATTGAGGATACAGATATTTCAAAGCTACAACGATAGTCAACATCAATAATAGAGCAAGTGATTTTCCTTCCAGACTAATGAAGTCTGATCTGACGGAGCTTGAGAAACACAAGGCTGAACAGGAGAGCGTTCTGAGGGAAATTAACAAAGCCGTGTTTGCAGAGAATTCTGAGTTCCAGACAATTTTTCAGAAAAAGGAGAGAATGTCAGTAAGGTAGGTATAAAGCAATGGTATGATACCATCCCCCTGTTCTGCTCCAGTTTAGGTTTGAGTTTAACACTGTATTCCAACGTTTCATTCTGCAGACTAAAGTAAATACGCAGAAAATACACAGTAAATCCACTTTACATTATATTCTGTGAAGGGATTTAAGACGTCTCAATTACGTGATAAGCGCTGTATCGGATGCAAAGATTATTTTTATTATTATCCATAATAATAACATGGCTGTGTATTCACCTAACCTTTAATTGCTGTGGTCTCAGCAGCCGCTTGCACAGAAGACTCCCTCGTGTAGGGGAAGGGAAGTGATGTGAGAGCGCCCAGGTTTGGGTAGGTTAGGATTTGCACAGACTCGGCAACATTTTGCTTTACGTCGCTCTTTTGATCCACAGTTTAGATGCACTGGAGCAAGAAATGCAACAGGCAAGGAGCAGAGAGGAACAGCGTCTGAAAGAAACCGAGGAGTTGCTGCTGGACAGAGAGAGTGAACTGGAGAGGCTGAATAACCAGGTGATTACAGGTGTCCAGGAAGCACTTTCCTGGTCCCGTGCACTTACCCAAGTATCCAAGCGATTTGTGTTGCTTCAACCAACAGGAGGAGCTGCTCGTGTTGGGTATTTGAGAGTTTGGGAAGGATCCTGAAAGGACTCTACCTCTAACACTCCCCATCAGCCTGCTTCATATCAGCTGTGGAGTAAACTATCAGACGAGGGTATGTCAACCCAGGCTGCTTTCACCCACAGCAGCAAAGTCTGAGGCCCACCCGCACCCCCACAGCCAGCAAATTGTACGTACGAGGCACGGAGGGAATTTCCAGATCCTCAGAGTTGGGAGGGCAAAGTGTAAACCAGAAGCTAACATAGTAAACGCAAATCTGTGAGGGCTCTGCCACCCCAATGACAACAAATTACATGTCCCAAGGTGCTGGATAAAGTTAGGGATTTGGACCCGAGCTAGGGGTTGGGATGAGGAGGGGTAGAGGGTAGGGAGGCTATGGTAGGAAGAGGACAACCTGCACCACGATGAGTCTAGGTGTAAATTAAGGTGCAGTATCTTGGTCAGAATACGTGAATTTACCGACGCACACAACAGCGCTCGAGATGTGTTGGACCACAATTCTGTTCCTCTGGAGCTAGGTGGCAGCCCAGCAGGAGGAGTTGGCGGTGCTGGACAGGTGTTTGGGCAGGAAACAAGAGGAGCTGCACCTTCTGCAGGATGATATTAACAAGCGGAAAGCCAACCTGTCAGAGGTGCTGCGAGATGGCGAGACCGAGGTGGCTGACAAACAGTGGCAGATCCAGGTCAGTGAGGAAAAAAGGACTGAGCAATATTTTCAGTGTACAGACAAACCTTAACCCTAACTCAGGGGGAGTTAAATCTGGGTGTTCATCACAAAAACAATGTCATTTTCATCCCAATATTGATCAATAAATAAGAATGGTTGTATTTGCTACCTGACACATCAGCAGGACTTGGAAGGACAGACCAGGTAATCCTCCCACTCAGCTCCTGACCCTGTAAGCCAAAGACCTAACGGGCAGGGTGGTCCTAGCTGGACAAGCAGTGGGAAAGCTTGCCAAACAGTGATATTACTGGCAAACTGTGTGATTCTAGCAGGGTAGATTCTAGCAGTACACCATATCTCTGTTTGAAACGGCACCTCTCACATTGTCTTAAAGAACTTAACAGGATATTCTGTAAAGTGTAGTGACTGTGTAATCTGTAAGTGAGAAGTTTAATGTAAATTCACACCAGCTGATATGATACTTGCTGGCAATGATGGTAATTAAATTGAAATGAAGAGACTAAGAGCTCGGAGATGTGACTTGCTTCAGGTTAAAGGGAAATAAATGTTCTCTTCCAGGAGGTGAAGGGCCTGCTGGAGGACCTGAGTGCACAGAAGGGGACTCTGAACGCTCAGATCAGTGAGAAGAAAGCACACCTTTCACTCTCGAAACAGGAAATCACGCAAACAGAAGCCAAGCTTGAGATCATCCTTGCACAGATAATCAAGCACAAGACAGGTTAGTTTCGCTACAAGCTCGCGGGAGGCACTCACTGCTATAATAAAATAATTCTTACATTTGATACAGCGCTTTATCACGTCGTTGAGACGTCTCAAAGCGCTTCACAGAATACACTGTAAAGTAAATTGACTGTCTTTTGTGGGCGAAACACAGCAGCCAACTGCGCACAGCAGGGTCCCACAAATAGTCGTGGATTGAGTGATCAATTTTTGGGGGGAGGGATTATTAATACTAATCCTTGCAGTCGATGTGGCATCTCATCACGTAGTTGAGATGCCTCAAAGAGCCTCACTGCTCAAATAAATCTATACAAAGTTTCTTCCTCACTGCGAATATCAAGCTATCGAAATGCACATTCCATTCTTATCTCTGGGATTTGCATGTGTAGGTGAGATGCATGGAATTCTCAGTTTGGTTTGGAGACTCTTAAGCAACAGTGATGGGTTTCCGCATGTGTCAGACACCCGGTTGACCAAAAAATAAATCCTTTAGTTGGAGAGTTAACAGGGTGAAAATTGGGAGACGTTAGAAGGAATTCTTCCATAATAAAAATCATTATCCTTACATTGACGAAGTGGCTTTCACGTCAGAAGGATGTCTCAAAGCGCTTCACAGGACACTGAAGTGTAGTCACTGTATCTTGTAGGCGAACATCAGGGGGTTATTAGGATGTGGGCTTTGCTACGATAGGAATGTAGAAAAACAGGTGACACAGACACAAAACTGCTTTCTGTGCTGAAACGTGCTGTGTTTAGAGACTGGGGAAAAGTGGAGATAATTTAATGTAAATTCAAATTAATTATATTTCTGTCCAATTAGTGTAACTCTAATTGCTTGTCTCGGTTAAAAAGAGAATCAGGGCTGAAGGCGTGCGATCCTATCCCTCTCAAGACTCTCCTCTTCGACTGCACCTTCGGTTACCCTCCCTCCCCTACCCTTGCTACCCTTCTCTCCTCCTAATCCCAAACCCCAGCTCGGGTGTGGATCCCTGAATGTCCAGCGCCTTGGGACGTGAAAGCCACTGTAAATATAATTTGTTGCTGTGTAACTATCAGTTGGAAGCTGTTGTCTGCATGTCTGTGTTTTGATGTCTGCCCTTTGTCCCAGAGCTGAAACACGTGCTGGAGATGATGGAGTTGGAAACCAGTGAGCTCCAGGGCCTGAAGCTGCAGCACGAACACAAACTGGATGAGCTCGAGAGGACACAGGGCGAGCTGCTGAAGGTTCGTGCACCGTCCGAGACCAGAGTTCAGTGGAGTTAGCAAACACTGCTCATGGTGGTGGACAGTCTGGCACTGCAGGCAAGAGCTGAAGGTTGTGGGTTTAAGGCAGCTCATTGGGGCCTCACACAGTTTGAGAGAACAAAAAGCAAGTGTATAATGTATGGAGAACAAGAAGAGGCTGGAAAAACTTTAAGGTGGTTTGGAAGTGTAATTGTGTTTCTCAAAACCATTGTTGAAGTCGTCCATCGATTATTTTATAAGTTAGATGCTTGAAAGAAACGAATGTTGCTCCTCCCTACCTATGTGACCTGCTAACTCCATACCAACCTGTGTTCCAGTTTGCTCCATTCCTCTGCTCTGCCCGCCCCATCATTGGCAGTCAGGCTTCAGCCTCTTTGCCCCCACCCTCTGGAACTCCATCCCACAGTCCCTTCGCTTCTCTCCCTTCCTCGCCTCCGCCAAGGCCCGTCTTAAGACTCTTCGACTGCGCCTTCGGTCACCCTCCTACCTCTGCCCTCCACCACTCCTGATCCCAACCCCCAGCTCGGGTTCAAATCCTTGACTGTCTAGTGCCTTGGGAAGTCCTCTCAACGTGAAAAGCGCTGTGTAAATGCAATTTGTTATTGTTGTCAGGAGCGAGCAGGAGAGTGGGGTTAGACTCGAGTGGCTCACGTAGAGAAAAAGACCAGTGTTGATGGGCCAAGTGGCCTGTTTCTATCTGACACATGTTGAGTACTTGTGACACAAAATGGTACCTTGTTTTCTGTGAAGCTGAGGCTTTGTGGAACGGGTGGTTTTTTCTGCTCTTGTTCTGTGGTAGCTTAGCAATGAAATTTTACTGAGCGCCATTTACCTTACAGGAGAAGGGGAAATTGGAAAACATGCAGTTTGCCTCCCAGCGGCACCGCGCAGAAGCTGAACGGCAAAAGCAAGTGATGGAGAGAGATCATCACGAGAGCGAGCAGCTGGCATCCAAACTGCAGTCCCTTCGGGACAGCATTGAATCCCTGCAGAAGGAGAAGACACGTGTTGGGGAGAGCTGTCACCTGCTGGATGACAGACTGTCTCAGAGCAAGATGTAAGGAGCTATAATACTAATAACAATTCTTGCATTTGATACAGCGCCTTATCACGTCGTTGAGACGTCTCGAAGCGCTTCACAGGATATATTGTAAAGTGAATTGACTGTATATTTTGTGGGCGAAACGCGGCAGCCAATTGCGGACAGCAGTGTCCCACAAACAGTTGTATTCTGTTGTTTAATTCTGGACCTCGCACCAACAACAACAATAAGTTACATTTGGATAGCGCTTTTCACGTCTGGAGGATGTTCCAAGGCTCTGGAAAGGTTGCTGGATTTGTGGCTCGGGTGAGACTGTAAAACCTTCTAAAAGGGGAATTCGATAATTGCTGGATAAAAGAAAATCATTGCAAAGGTCGCGGGGAGCGAGCGGGGGAGTGGGTTATTTGTGTGGCTCGTGTCAAATATCAAATTAAAGCACTCCGAGACGCTGCCCTTCATGAAGGGCATCATATAAATGTGAGTTGTTGTTGTTCCCGTTCCCGTCCCGTGTGCAAATATCATAACTTAGACTGACCTGAAACAAATATAAACCTCACCTGTAACCCACTGCCTTTCAGCTCCTGTATTTTTACGGAAAGATTTTAAGGTTCGGGTTTCAAAGACCTGAAATAGCTTGTGGCTTCTTGTTACATCAGGAGTTGTTGTTTGTTTTTTCATGGGCGCTAATGAACATCGCAGAGCTGTGGCAACCACTGAAGACAGTCACAGAAGTGCCTTGTCTGAGCTGCAGAAACTACAAGAGGAGATTAATCAGGCCAATGTGCTGAAGCTACAGCTGACCACGGAGACAGCAGCCGTTAAACAGTGTCTGCAAGGTAAAAACACAAGGGCTGGTGGGCAGTCACATTTAGGTCATAGGTACAGGAGTAATGCCATTCAGCCCCTCAAGTCTGTTCCGCCCTTCTATTATTAATCCCTTCAAAAACAATAATTTGGTCCACAATCCACGATTGTTTGTGGTTTGTTGACATCTCTGTGCACAATTGGCTGCCGGGTCTCGCTCACAAAATATACAGTCAATTCCCTTTACAGTATATTGCGTGAAGCGCGTTGAGGCAAAGTTTATTATTATTAGATCAAGGCTGATTGTACCTCAAATCAATTTGCCCACCTTTGCTCCATATCCCCTGATACTAATAATATTATTATAGAAATTAGATACTGAACATTGTGAGCTTTGCTAAAGAAAAATGTACTAACTTTTTTAAAAAAACACTACATATATGTGGATGGCGGCATCGTTTGTTCGATCTTTCGTGGATTTACTTTTTTTTTCTCAATGAGAGAGAGATGAAAGGGGAAAGATTTTTCATTGATCAGAACTAAATATTTTTTTGGGTAGAGAACAAGGCAGCACTGAAGACGATGACAGATGATCTGGGAGATTCCAAGGATCGGCTGCAACAAGTGAAACAGGTAACGTGGCTTTCCATTTCAAACTTGCTTTACTTTCTAGAATATAATAATAATCCTTGCATTTGATACAGCTCCGTATCGGGTCGTTGAGACGTCTCAAAGCACTTCATCACAGAATATACTGTAAAGTGGATTGACCGTGTATTATATGACATATATGTATATTTTGTGGGTGTGTGCTTGGTTACACGCTGAGCACGCTGAGACACTGCCCTGTGTGAACAAAGACGAGTTGTTATTGTTGTACCATAGTCACTTGGTCACTTCCCTGGTTACTGCTCTGTAGTTCAGATCTACAAACAGCCTGCACAACACAGATTGGTATTACTTTAAAGTGCTGGTGCGACAGAATGTGTTGGGACGTCCTCCCGACGTAAAAGACGCTATGCAAATGTAATTTGTTGTTGTTATTGTGTCACACACGTTGTGACCTTTTGCCCACAAAATATACAGTCACTACACTTCACAGTGTATTGTGTGAAGCGCTTTGAGATGTCTCGCAGCCGTGATAAGGCGCTGTATCAAATGCAAGGATTGTAATAATGTGTTGCAGTTAAACACACACTTTGTTTCCATCCCACAGTCCCTTCGACTCTTCCTCCTTCAAGGCCCATCTCAAGACCCTCCTCTTTGACCGCGCCTTCGGTCACCCTTCCTGCCCTCCACCCCTCCTGATCCCAACCCCCAAATCCTTGACGATCCAGCTCCTTGGGACGTCCTCCCAACATGAAAGGCGCTATAGAAATGTAATTTGTTGTTGTTGATGTATTTGAGTGAGAGATACAAGGAAAGACAACAGGTATCAGTCCCCAATCTACAGGCTTTCTCGATCAGATGCTGATCGTCCTTGGCTGGCGTTTCCAGCGTCGTTCGGGTGTTTGAGGGGTAACTCCCTCTCATTCATTCACTTCCAGGAGATTCTCAATGGCGCCAAGAAGCGAGATGGGCTGCTGTCAGCGCAGCTAACACTGAAGGAGGATCTAAACCACAGCAAAAGGAAGTACCAGACGTGGGTGGAGCACGGGGCGAGGAAAGAGGAGGAGATGGCACATTTACTGCAGAGGATAGAGGAGCAACAACAGGTAAGAGACCTCTCAATGTCACCACCCATCCCCATTCAAAAACAACTCATTTATATAGCGCCCTTCATGCAGGGTCACGTCCCAGAGCACTTCAATCCCCAACCTATCATCCCCATTACTGGAATTAATTCCCACGGTCCTGTTAGAAATCGCTATATGTTATAATAATAATAATCCTGTGTCAAATGCAAGGATTATTATTAGTACAAACCCCTCATGGCCCAGCCCCTCCTGATGTGAAAGGCCTATATAAATGCAATTGTGGAGTCCTGCAGCTCAGTGGTTAGAGCACTCGCCTCGCATGGGTTCGATTCCCAGCAGGGTGAAATGTTGGACAAGTTTCCTTACTCCACATGCCTGATAATAATCCCTCAAGAAGAAAAAAAAATAATGATAATTTGGTCACTGAATCCACGACTGTTTGTGGGACGCTGCTATGCGCAATTGGCTGCCACATTTCGCCCACAAATACACAGCCAATTCACTTTACAGTATATTATTCTGTGAAGCGCTTTGAAACATCTAGAAGATGTGAAAAGCGCTATGTCAAATGCAAAAATTATTATTATATATTATATAATCCTTGCATTTGATATAGCGCTTTATAACTTCATTGAGATATCTCAAAGCGATTCACAGAATGTACTGTAAAGTGAATTGACTGTATATTTTGTGGGGGAATTGCTGCAGTCAATTTCACGCAGTAGCATCCCACAAACAGTCATGGATTGAGTGACCAAATTATTCTTTTATTTTTGTTTTTGAAGCGATTACAAAATCAAAAAATGCGATCTGCCACCCGAATAACAACCGGGTTCCTACTAAATGCTCGGTAAACAGAGGCTTGTGGAGTAAGGAAACCTGCCAAGTTTGCCCCACCTGGGAATCGAAACCGCGTCCTCTCGCTTGCGAGGTGAGCGTGAACCACTACACTACGGGACTCCGTGCGGGAAAGATATACTGAGTTTTCCGTGACTTTTCTCAGGTTTTGCTGCAAGTGAAAAAGGACGTTAAATGTGAGGAGGTGAAGCTGGAACAGTCGGTGGCTAAAGCGAAGGGCCAGCTGCAGGCACTGGAGGCCGAACTGTCCAAAAAGAGGGATGAGATGGAGGAGGTCGCTGGGAAGTTCAGTTCGCTGGAGGAACGAGGTCGGACACTGCGTCAGAGCGAGGAGCAACGGGAGGCCGTGGAGGAACAACTTGCTGCCTGCAGTATGTCCCCTATTTAGAGTTGACAGCTCCAGTGGGCAAGCTCACACCGGCCCAAGGCCAATGGGCCCAGCAAATAGCTTCCTCCCATGCTCTTACACTGTGGATTCTGTAGCCCAGTGGTAAGAGCACTCGCCTTGCAAGCGAGATGACCTGGGTTTGATTCCCGGGCAGGGTGAAACGTTGGGCAAGTTTCCTTACTCCACAAACACACACGCGCCTCTGTTTGCTTAGCAGTAAAGAGAAACCCGGTTGTTAGTTGATTGGTAGATCGCTTTTGTGGGGTTAATAAACCCTTTTTTAAAAAAAATTGGTCACTCAATCCACGACTGCTTGTGGGACGCTGCTGTGCGCAATTGGCTGCTGGGTTTTGCCGACAGAATATACAGTCGATTCACTTTACAGTATATTCTGTGAAACGCTTTGAGACGTCTCGAAGACCTGATAAGGCGCTTTATCGAATACAAGGATTATTATTATTATTTACCCTGCCCTCTGTACTGATACAGGACAGGAGCTTCAGGAACAAGAGCAGCAGCTGGAGCAGAAGAGCGAGGAGTTGGCCTGTCTGTACAGAGAGATGGAGATGTCCACAGACAGACTGAGGCATCTCGAGGGGCAGCTTCACTCCGAGAGGAAATCAGCTGAGAAGCGAGTATCAGTGTTGAAGGAGGAGCTGAAAGCTCAGCGAGCGCAGCTGGAGAGAGCCCTGAATGTAAGCTCAGCTCAGTGCTGCAATAACAACACATTACATTTACACAGCGCCTTTCACGTCGTGAGGACGTCGCCCCAAACGCTAGACAGTCACCAGAGCTGGGGGTTGGGATCAGGAAGGTGGGCAGGAGGGCAAGGAGAAGGATGAGGGTTGGAGGGTGACCAAAGGTGTGGTTGAAGAGCAGGGTTTTGAGGAAGGTAAACCATCCCCATCATTGGCTGGTGATACAAAAAGCTGCATTAACAACAACATGTATTTATATAGCGCAGTTTGTGGACAATATCATCTCAGGGGTGGGACACTGAGCAGGGAGAGAGGAGGGGGTGACCCTTTGGAAGAGGTGGATTTTGACTAGGTTGTGTTACCTGCCATTTTGCCAAACTTTTTTTGTTTCATTTAAAATGAAGCAAAACCCATTAGAAGAATTCCCCAGAAGCAGCCGTGAGAGACAGGAGTGAGAGTCCGACTTTACTGAGGGAGAATTCCCACCGAACCCAGTCTACATGTCTGTGGATTCTGCAGAATGTTATCAAGCTGGTGCGGGAACACCACTCCCAAAGTAAATTGCTTTGGTCATGGAATTCTTACAGAATTCCCTGGTGACACAAGAAACCAGTCAGATTCCTTATTATAATAATAATAATCCCTGCGTTTGACACAGCGCCTTATCACGTCGTTGAGATGTCTCAAAATATGCGCTTGACAGAATATACCGTAAAGTTAATTATTTTGCGGGGGATACACGGCAGCCAATTGTGCACAGCAGCGTCCCACAAACAATGGTGGATTGTGTGATCGAATTTTAAGAACCTCCTTAAGAAGTGTCGTGAGTTAGCCCCCTCCCCAATATGGCAGGTAAAGCCTGGGGGTAAACATCTGTCTTCATAACACCACAGGAACAGAAATACGAAAACAGTCGTCTCCGCAGAGACATGTCCACGATCGACCAGGCTGCACACGAGAACCACGAGCGGTCAAAGCGGGTCATCAAGGAGCTGAACCAGACGAGAGGCGAATACTTGGAGCTGCAGAAGCAGGTCTGTGGCTCCTCAGTGCTGAGCAAGGCTCGGGCTGGTTTACACTCACTCACTCACTAACCTGTGAACACCATAATGTTTCCTCTTGTGCTTTTTACTCTGCCTAAACTGTCGCTTTTTATAGTAGAGCAGGAAGTCCTTGCATTTGATATAGCGCCTTATCAAGTCGTTGAGACAGCTCAAAGCGCTTCACAGGAGAGGAGCGTAAAGTGGAGTGACTGTATTTTCTATGTCCCAAGACAGTAACTTATTAGAGTTAATAAGTTACTGTAAAGTTTCAGGGTTTGTGACACGGTGTTCTGCTGCACTTGAAGGTAACTGTCCAGTTTACTTTCTCTGTCCCATTCAGCATCTTTCATTGATACTTATTATGTGTTTATAGAGCACTGTAAGCTTCACCAGCTGAAAAGTCGTTTGCAGCACCAGAAATAATTGAATTGTAAAATATCCGTCTGGTTTTACTTGCTCTGATGTGTATTCTGTGAGCACAGAACTTGTTGTACTCACACCCTTCCCGCCCTCCACCCCTCCTGATCCCAACCACCAGCTCGGGTGCGGATCCCTGACTGTCCGGGTCCTTGGGACGTCCTCCAGACGTGATAGGCGCTGCGTAAGTGTAATGTGTTGTTGCTGGTGTTAACCTCTTCATGTACTTTCGATCCTTCCAGCTGGCAAGTCGGGAGGAAATGGAGCACCGACAGAAGGAGATAAAGGAGGCCATACGAGGCCTTCGTTCGGATGTCAAAGCAGAGATCAGCAGTGGGCTGAGAGAGCTGGACCACTCCTGCGGGGACCTCGGGAGTGACGTGGAGGCTGTTTGCGAGGAGCAGGCGGCGCAGCAGCGCGACGTGGAGAGCCTGAAGGAGAATTTCCCCTTCGCTGCCAATGAAGGCCGACACCCGACCTACGAGGAGAGGCGGAGCCTCAGCAAGTTCAGCATCAAGGTTAGGTCCCCGCTCCATTTACTGCTACCACAACTTGCATTTATATCGCAACCTTCCTTCACGCTTAACAGTGGCTGCGCTGGGGGGGATGGAGGGAGGAGGTGACTGTAAGCACGGTCGAAGAGGAAGGTCTTCGGTCGTGATGACTGACGTACTGCAGAGAGAGCCCTGGTACTGAGCCCCGACTTACACGGTCACTACCTGATGATGGTGATGAAGATAATAATAATCCTTGCATTTGATATAGCACCTTATCACATCTCAAAATGCTTCACGGAATACAGTGTAAAGTGAATTGACTGCATATTTTGTGGGCGAAAGATGGGAAGAGAACAAGTTTTTGCTTTGGGCTGACGATTCCTCTTTCCCGTCCAGGATGAGCAGTGGCGAGGAGAGACGCTCCGGGAGAGGCTGCAGCAGCAGGAAGATCACCTGAAGGTTGTAGAGTTGCTGTGAGCCACATCGGGCTGCGTTACTGTACCTCGAGTTTGCTCTGGTCACACAGGCAAAGGTTCCGATCAGTCATTGTCAAACTATTGGAAACTAAAATGCACTTTGAACATGGTTCATCCGTGTGATATTAGCTCAAACACATACAGGTAGTCAGTCCTGGCACCAATGGAAAAAGTCGCAGGAGGCTTGAGTCCAGTTAATTTGTCAATCATCTGAATTTAAACCCCGTAGGTTAACAGCCTAACCTGCCTGGGTTTGTTGGCCTGTTGCCATTTGCTTCTGATCACAAGAAACAGAAAGACAACAAGCTGTAACTAAAGGGCAGATTTTAATGTGAATCTGTTGCCAACCCTCTAACCTGTACAACTATAGGAGAGTATTATAGTATATTACAATAGCATATTCCTCTTTGACTGTGCCTTTGGTCATTCCCCTATGCTCACCTCCCTGCCCTCCACCCCTCCTAATCCCAACCCACAGCTCAGGTGCAAATCTTTGACTGTCCAACACTTCGGGATGTCCTCCCGACATGAAAAGTGCTGTGTTAATGTAATTTGTAGTTATTTTTGATGTTATCAGAAGGGAGCAAAATGGTTGCAATAGACACAGCTTCACTGTGACTTCAAATAGGATTTTTAAGATGGCCGTAAATTGCAAGCTTGTTCTTTATAAAAACAATCCCATTTAGAACCGCTTTTACCTCCAATGAGAGCGTGCCTTTCCCAAGCTGTGGTTTGACTGATGGTTTATTTCACTCATTTTAGGCGCAGATCCGGAAGAGCATGTCCAAACAGGCAGAAGCACTGTGTAAGGGGAGGCAGCAGACAGAGGGCAGCCTGAGCAGTCTGAAGAAACGCGTGGATGCCCTGGACGAGCTTGTGGGCAGCACCTCCACTGACTCCATACCCCAGTCCCAGGCCACAGCTAATGACAGAACGAACAGGGTGGGTATAAGCTGACTGACCAACTGACTGACTGTCATAAAATGAGCAGCAAAACGAGGTGCTGAGTGTTTCTACACAGTCCTTCACAGACAAACCCCCAGGCTTGACCTGTGCCACTGTCCTGTGCACAGGCTTCCTCACCATGTTCAGGATCATTGGTAAACTGCAAAGAGCATCATTTGGTTTGTTTAAATGTTCACATTCCCGCAAACTTACATCATTGAAGAAATAACAGAACATTGTCGTGATTTAATAACTAAAGTGGCTGGACCTCGGGCACGAGGTGCTCAGTGAGTGAGCGAGATACTGGCCTCGAAAACCTGTTGTGTAACAGATCGACCCAGAGCAGGGAAGCCTTTCGCTTCTATCAAACGAGCAGTGTGTGAGAATCATGTCTTTGATTGGCAGCCTTCAGTCAAACTTTTATAAAGAGAAAGCGTTTTTAATGTCCGAGAAAATATCCGAGTCCTTTAACTACGCAGCCCCATCCATTATAACAATCCTTGCATTTGACACCACGCCTGTCTCGACAGGAGGATGCCTCGAAGTATAAATGGCCTGTTAGCTCAGGAGCAATCGTTTGTCGATCCAAGTGATGACTGACTGCCTTTCTCTTGTTTAGTCTCCGCTACACGGAATATTCCGATCCCCGTTCAGAAGAGGAGGCGTCACTGGGGCCCACCATCAACACACAGCCGCAGGTGAGGACTGTGGTGAGAAGTTAAAGCCCGGTTCACTGTCAGGTCTGGGTGCAGAGCCAGCCACACGGTAGTCATTCCGGTTTCGTGCGTTTACAGCAGTTAAAGCAAGATATTTGTCAGAAAGGGTGTCTACACACCAGCACCAAAATGATTTCCAAAACAACAAAGTGTTTTCCTTTCAGTATCTGCATAATGTTAGTGATTGTTACACATGAGAAGGCGGCTAATGTTGTCACACTCTCGCCCTCTCCTGGCAATGAATTGAGAGCCAGCCAGAGAGTCATTCCCTGGTGATTAAATATCATACCTCTTCACTCACTTTAAGAAAGTCCTGTGTGATTGAGTCAATGTTACTCTGAGCCTCACGGAGGCCTGAAACTATCAGTGGTCTCAGCTAGAAGGACTCTCATTGCAGTGAGTTGTCCAATATTTGAAGAGTGCACAGGTTGTGGGCAGGGACGACTGTAAACAGTTCCTGGATCACATGTGAATTACGGGCATCAGTGGCCGGAGCCAGTGACCTCGAACGCAATGTTCCAGTCAGTGCCTAAGGATCGTCTCAGCTCCTGTTTAACCCTTGGGCACTTTAAAACTGCACATGTTGATCATTCAACATTTCCAATGATTACCTTTGAACGATGAATATTATAGGAAAACATAAACAAAGGGATATTAATAGCATTAGAAGAAATGTTAAAAATCCAGCTGATTCCAGAACGATTCTCTGCACATACAGAGCTGGGGTTTAGATCTGAGCCTTGGCTGCCGTTCAGTAGTCGATCCTGTGTCAGGCGAGAGGGAGAGCTGTTGATCTCGGCAGGGACAATGCGATTTAACTTGGGAGTGATTGTGAACGTCACTGGCCACTGCCGTTGGCAGAAGGCCGAGCGTGGTTTTTTGAGTCTCAGGAGAGAATTGTTTTTTGAGCTGTATTTACTGTGTCCCATGTACGACAAGGAGCCATTACACAACGCTGCCTGTAATTCACACGCAGTTGGCACAAACTCTGGCATGAGAATAGAAACTGATTTAGTAGGTAGCTTTTTTAAGGTTGGTTGTCTCATCGTGGCTCCCCCCCCATTTGAAAATGCAAATTATATGGCAAAAATAAGTGTTTGCTTCAGCATTGGCAGAGTGTTCTGACCTCAATGCATGTTTGGTTAATTTAATAGATCAGACAAGCTAGGGAGCAGAGAAACTATCTTCTAAACTAACCCAATACTTATTCACAAAACTGTCCTTTCCACAGGAGAAAGTTGGTGAAGCTGCTCACCTGTTGACAAGTGGACCCCAAAATGGCTAGCGTTCCATTAACCAAGGGAGTATTCAGGGTAACCCACCCACCTACCTCAGACATTGTGGTGTCTCTGAGCTGAGCTGTGGGCTGGAGTATTCACTGCATTCTCACTGCACCCGTCAGCGTGGAAGCCACAGGGTGAAACTGGCTGGGATTGATTGCAGAGAAAGTGGATCATATGACATCTCTAGAAACTGGTCTCTGCTGGTATTTTATATTTCAATGCACTGTGGTTTCTATTTAATTGTCCTTACATGATTACTGAATTCATGAGCAAACTTGTACATTGCTGATTTTTTTTTACATTTGGTGTTTCTAAATTATGTATTTTATATATTAAAGATTCTACAAAATGGACATGGGTTTGCCCATCATTTTTGCAGGGCTACTTACCTGTTGGCTGTACTTCACACCTAGAAAGCACGGAAGGAAGTTTTATTACAATTCGCATAAGAATATTTTAGACAGCTCACAGCAAGCAAAGTTAGCAGTGCCTTTCCTCAGTATTTGGTTGTTGGGTGGCACCTTCAAGAGTTGTGGGAAAGGAGGGAATCTCAACTCTTCCACAAAATATACAGTCAACCACTTCACAGTATATTCTGTGCAGCATTCTTGAGACGTCTCAACAACGTGATAAGGTGCTATTTCAAATGCTATTATTATTTTCCCTGTAAGAAGACTGGGAATGAGGGAAGAGCAAGGGATAACAAGAATTTGCAACTCCAGGTCAGAAGGCTAACTTCCTTCAAGACATTCCAATGAGTTACAAAAATACCATGGATCTGCTCCAATGGATCCTCGCACTCATTTTCAAATCCCTTCATGCCTTTGCACCTCTCTCTCTATCCAATCTGCTTACCTACCACCTGCTGCCTCCGCTCGGCTGGCTTAGGCCTCCTGTTTGTCCCCCATCCCCTTTGCTCCATCATCGGCTATGCCTTCAGTCAATACTCCCCAAAACTCCGGCACTCTCTCCCTCAATTTCCCTGTCTTGCCCCCTCCCTCTGCACTTAAAACTCCCGCCTTAAGACCTTTTTGACCTGTGGCTCGGGGTCAGACTCTGCTACTATCAAGTTCTCCAGGACCCTATCCCGCATGAAGGGTGTTATATAACAATAATAAAATTACAATTGCCTTTCATGTCAGGAGGACGTCCCAAGGCACAGCACAGTTTCGGACCCGAACTGGGGGTCAGGATCGGGGAGGGTGGAGGCCAGGGCGAAGGAGGGCAACCAAAGGCTCGGTCAAAGAGGAGAGTTTTGAGATGGGTCTTGAAGGAGGCAAACGCAAATTGTTTTAAAATCACACGTTTACAACACTAAATTTGAATAAATCAATAACTGAAATTAAATGGACTTCTGTAAAAAGCGTTAGTGATTAAAAGTAGACTCGATTGCTGCAGGGTGAAGAGTTAATATTGGTCATCAGTCTGATCAACCAACCATTGGAATCCTCTTAAAAGACTGCCACCTTCTGGTGGTGACTGGCTCAATACTTTGTTGAAATCCCATCATTCCCGAAAAAAATTAACATCTAAATTGAGTTGATAAACCCAGTACAGAACACATTAAATGTGAATGAATTGTATTTTGCAGCTCAGCTTCAACGGGCACTGCAAAGGCTTCCGAGAAGAGCTACTGTTGAAAAGGCCGGTTGACGTGGGAGGTGGAGAATGGGAAAAGTGTGTTACGTGGAATTGAATCAGTATTTAGGATTTCACTCAAAAACCTGTAAATGAAACCAGAACAGTTTTTTGTTCTTAAAAATTTGGTCAACTGCAGAACAGTCAGTGCAGGCAAGTCGACTAACATCAGGGACAGTCTGTCAGAGGCAAACAGCCGTCAGAGCTGTAATATTCTGATTCTACATCAAGGCAGCAGGTAGGTGAATAAAATGTGAACGTACTTTCAGTCACACTGTGCACCGCTAACAGCCAGGCTGGGCCAGAAATTTACTACAGTACAATCAATCTTTTCCTGATCCCCAAAATGAAAGGTTCTTAAAGGAGTAAAGAGACAATTCAGAGGGTTTGTGATTGGCATAGTTTATTCCACAGAATCCCAAAGTCTGTGCCTATTTACCTGGTAAATGGTTTATTTTTGAATGATTACAGACACTGCATTGCCAGATCTCTAAACATATACATTTAGCTCACTGATGTGCCACATTGAGAGGTGGAGTAATATTGTCTTGGAGTTACGAGGATCAAGGTTACAATCTTAAAGGACTACAAAGACAACTTAACTAGATACAGGTACTTTATTTACAAATTCAGATTAATAGCATTTTGTTCCATCAAATGAAAGGTACAGCAGTTCAAAGTAATTCTTTTTTCAGACACAGATATATAAACAACAAGACCTACTGTAAAGCTGTTCAGGAGTAATTAAGATCTCATACCACCAATTAACTAAAGCAAACTTTAGCAGAATCAGATTGAATCACCCTCACCCCATTCCCTGCACGCTGGATGCGAGGCTGTGGTCCCTGGTTAACACTTCACTGAAGCAAAGGCTCATCATTTTAAGCAAAGACAAGAAAATCCTGACCACTTCCTTTTTTCCTCTCAACAATTATCCCACAAGCTCAACAAAAAGTTCACATTCTGAAACTTAAAACACTACAAACTAGGGACAGTGCACAAATTGACAAGTTTCCAATAGATTGCAGATTCCCACGTTTCTGTACAAGGACCCTAAGGTGTTTTGTTTTCTCTACACAAGTGCGAGGATTTGACTGCTCGTGTATCAGACATATAGGGGAAAAATAGAGTATTCTTCCTTCCCTGACATTCGATGCAATGCTTAAACAGTAGACCCATTTTACACAACTGAAGATGCATTCAGCAGTATTTTCGACCACAATTATGCCACCAAAGGCAAACTTAATCACCATTTGTATTTTAAATGTTTATCCCCTGAAATAATAAAAAAAAAGGTCAATATCCATTTTGTAATTCCACCAAGTGTTTAATGCAAAAAAAAGCAAAATAAAGTTTAAAAATAACCCCCCCAATCTATTCTTTTAATGGAATTCTTTCCAGTTCATGAAAGGACAATTGCACCTAAATGTGAGTATAAAAGCACATACATGTGCATTAATTCACCCAGTTTCTTTTTAAACAATATAAGGCATTTAAATACAGCCATAAACGCAAGACATCTACAGAGAACATTACACATTCGATTGCACAATAACAGGGTTAGCGGCAGAGTCTCCACAGTGCAATGATGGAACAAGACAAGAGAATACGAAACTTAACTAGTGTTAAAGTACTGCTTGTTTTGCTTTTTTTTATTTAAAATGTGATTATTCTGTGCTTAAAGGGGCAACATGGTCACTTACAGATTGTACTGTACAAACTGGTACTTTTCTAGCAGGTGCCAGTAAATCAATTGGTTTCTTCATTAAAATCATATACACACAGATGTATTTAAATGTTAGCTCAGTTTCCTTCAAATTTTATACATATTTACGTATTGTTTGTTAGTAAATGTAAAGAATAAAATGACAAAAAAGCACACTAATAAAGCCTTCTTTGTATCTTGAAAAGAGGGAGAGATGGGTTATCATTTACAAGGTTAAGACAGAAGCTGGAATTAGAGCCCCGGGGAAAACATGTAACTAGGGGTGAACTCACGAACAGCAACAAGCTCACTCGATGTGGCTGGCGGACACCCAATCTGGTACCAAGCCTCGGTGTCCGTCACAGAACCGATCAGTAACTTTGAACAATGTGGACAACAGTTTATGGCAGAACAGATGGTTGTTTGAACTGGAAGGTTTAGGTCTATAACAGGCCCTATGAGAGGGCGGGGGGGAAAGAGGGGAAAAATGGAATTAAGAAATGCCGGCCTGAGTATTTAGCCGATACGAGATCACAGAATTCAGATCACAGACGAGAGCGAATGATGAGGAACTACCACAAGTACCATGAGTAAGAAAATATTTCAATTCTAGATTCCATGCAAGAGAGGTTTATTACTCTACTCATTTTCCTTGTAATCCAATATCTACGGTATGTGTGGGTTTTTTTTTTAGCGAAGAGCCATTTTATCGTGTTAAACTGTTGTCACAGCAGCATATATCCCGTCAGATTATCAGCGGATGAGGGACGCAGCTAGAAATACTGCTTGGACAGACAAAGAGAAAGGTGTGAAAGGTCGGGAGACGTACTGGCTTGCGGAAGGCCACTAGCAGCCACAGCCGTCTCTCTGAGGCTGCGGCTCGCTGGTTAATCGGCCGCCCTGAGGAGCCGAAGGCTTGTGCTGTACTCCCGACTCAGCAGCGTTCAGGTCGAGGCTGCCATCTTGGATGTTCTGGTAGATCTTCTTGGCAGCTTCCAGGAATGCGTCCTCAACATTCTCGCCCCTGCAAACAGAACGAGGGAGGGGGAAATAAACCACAGGCTTCAACATAAGGCATCAAGGAGATCAAACAGTCCACATCTCATCTCCATCAACAAACAGCTGACATTTAAGCCTGGCTGTTTCAAAGGCAGCTCTGACACCTCTCCCCTGAAGACAGCAATGGTTAGAAAGCACAGCCTTACTAGGGCAGGGCTGATTAGGTTTGCCACTTGTTTTAGCCTCTCTGTTCCTGCATACAGAACTCAAAATATTAAACTGTAGAAAGTTGCTAACCTAGAATTGTGAAGAGGACAAACTAGTCTGAACAGTTTAAAGTTGTCGGTTCAATTCACTATGGATAGGGTCAAAATGTAATAAAATTAGGCTTTAATGAGATAAGCAGCCTCATGAGAGGGTGAGAGAGATTTAGTTAAAACCATGGAGTAAAGAATAATTCTTTATCACCCAATTTGCTTTATCCACAGGCACCAACAGTGTACAAAGTCAGTAACAGGTTTTATTGCAATTAAAAAATTACATTGTTTACCACAACATTTTCATTTCATGATACACAACAAACTCAGGTCTGTAGCTATATGGGCTGTTTAATAAAAGTTCAATTTCATAAGAATTTGCTGCGAAAGACCAAGGTCCACCCGGTTTGCCTCTAGTCGCTTGCACATATCATGTCCCAAACTATATACTATATCCCATGATATTATTTCCCAACAGAAATCAATTTAATTTGTTCTTGAAAGAATCAACACTTTCTGCTTCCACCGTTTCCCTAGGGAGCCTGTTCCATATGTTTACTACTTGCTCACTGAAGTAGTGTTCCCTTAGATTTGTTGTAGATTCATTCAAAGGCATATCCAGAACAGCTACTCACGTTTTTGCACTGGCTTCAAGGAATAGGAGACCTGCAACAAAACAAAATCAAACTTGATCACCAGCACCTGGGCCAAGAATTCTCTCTGGGCTTCAGTGAGGCTCAGTGATATTCTCCAGCTGCACCCTGTTTGAGTTCTACTCAAGGACATCATAGCATGGAGTCCCGGAACCTCGGTCTGTATACAGTCCTCACTTTAAGTGGAGTCCTGTAGCTTAGTAGTTAGAGCCCTCGCCTCGCAAGCAAGAGGACCTGGATTGACAATCCCGGTAGGGTGAAACTATCGGCAAGTTTCCTTACTCCACATGCCTCTGATCACCTAGCAGTAAGTAGGAACCTGATCGTTAGTCGATCAAACACAAGAATTATTATTTAAACAATGTCACTGAATAAGGCAAAATTCAATAGTGCTATGAATGGTTTGTTAGCAGAAACCTTTTACTGGGCTTATGGAGGCTAGAATAGTGCAGTCACCATGTTGGGTTAGATTTTCTGCAGTGTGGAAATCATTTCAGGAAAATCTTCAGTATCAAATAAAAACACTGCTTCTCAAACACATACCATTGCAAACCCAGTTATTCAGTGCAACCAACACCTCCCCATACCTTTATATCATTAAGCAGCAGCTTTCTCTGTAGCTTCCAAACTATTTCGACCCCAACATAAGATTCTGATTAACCTACCGTGGTTATTTACGGAAGTAAGCTTGCTGTGAGCGCAATATTAACTGCAAGCTTCCTAATTCAAGCCAACCGTAGAATAAATCATGCAGCCTCTCCACACTGGCTTCCTCTTGCATGTCTGATGCAATTCTCAACCGCGTCGAATGAAAAACGAGCAACTTTTTAAAATGAGGGTAATGTTCGGGTAAGGAATTCAAAGCAGAAGCTGAACAGGCTGTCAATGCACCTTCAGTACAAGAACTCTTCAGGTTCATAGGAATGTACAATATATCTTGAATGGCCAAACACCAGTATTTTGTTGTAGTGAGGCCTCTTCTGTTCTAGGACTGACTGGCATCCCTCAAACAGGCAGCTAAATTGCTGGTTCCCAGTTGTTGGGACACGAACTAGACTCTGCCAGGAAATGGAGCAAAATACAAGCCCTCACTTTCTCCCTCCCCTCACCAAACCTAAAAGGCTCCACTGGAAGAATTCATTCAGGTCGCTGTGAACACATCATCACATTTCTCAGAGAGGACATGTGATGAGAAAGCAGGCAACAAACCTACCGTTTTCTTCAGCAAACTGCTTGGCCTCTTCGTACGTTACATCTCGCTGAGCTTCAAGATCTGCCTTATTTCCTATAAGAATAATCACCTGTGGACGGGAAAGAAGAATAAATAACACAGGATTTGAGATTGAACCTGCCTCACATTCTTGTTTGATCACTGCGAAACCTGGAGAGCTACCCTGTTCACGCAGTTTTATAAGATTAAGTGAGTTTACTGATCTCTAAACTCATCTTGACAAACACCAAGCCAACACTGAAGGCGGGGTACAAGTTAGCCAACATTTGTTAGCATTATCAACAAATAACACTGTGTAAGAAGATGAGCAAATTTACAGGATTTAAAGTGCTTTCTTCCAACAAATGCAATTAGGTCAACATCAAAGTCCCAATTAGCAACCGGGCTGATTAAACTGCCTGTCTGCTAGAAGGGTAATAAATTACAAAAGAGCCCTTTTCCGGGATTAATCGCTGAGGATATTTCAAACCAGATTAATTACAGCAAAGCAGAGACTTAGCAAGAATGTTACCGAGCTCCAAGATATGCCCATTTCAACAAAGGCATTCTTAGAACCAAAGTTCACGTCTAGCAACAATTCCACACTGTACATAACCCACAAAATATACAGTCAATTCACTTTACAGCATAGTCTGTGAAACACTTTGAGACGTCTCGAAGACGTGCTAAAGCACTATATCAAATGCAAGGATTATTATATAACAGGATAGCCCCTTACACACACTCACACCGTGACCCAGAGTATGTTGACTGACGCTGGTCAATCTCACTGCCTACCCAACTACCTAAAATATTCTCCATACATCTCTCCTGTCCTCTAACAACCCCAAATTTGTCTAATTTTCAGAAACTTGCCCGTTCATTTTAGAAACCCATTCATAGCAACTTGTTCCAAGGAACCAGTCTCAAGTCTGTCCCACATGCCAGGCACCTTTTTAAAACATTGCAGCTTGCTCAAAACATTGCACAGATGTTCACAATTCAACAAGTCAGCAACACAGAGGAATTTCATGCATCAGACCAGTTATTAAAGCAATAGCTTTTTTTGCAGAACAGTTATTAAAGCAATATATCCCTGTGGTCAGACATAGCTACTTTTGCATTAACTTACGGTATTTGGATTAGTTAAATTTCTTGCATCTGTCAACCAGCTGCTAAGATGGTTGTAAGTACTTCTCCTGAAAAAGAAAGCAGAACAGTTGACATGGGGATTATATAACTCCAACCCACAAGGATCTTTCTATACTGTTCCCCCCTCTCTCGTGGAGGTTCAAAGAGAGTTTCTCTTCACGAGACTCAATGGAGACGCAGGTGGTGATTTTATACCATCGCACATTGTACCTAGGATTACACAGCCACACGCTGCAGGCACAAGATAACCCGCAACAAATCGTTCAATCGGTTGTTTGACTTCCAACATAGAGCTGTCACGACAGTGGAGCTCAATGGTGACTTCAGTCAAATCCACATCCTCACCCGAGCGGGAGGGTTGTTACCATTAAGAGCAGAAATCTCTCGGCCAATTCCTCACCCCCCACTGAAAGGCCAATTGTAGAGTCTCAACTGTTGCCCAGGCTCCCAACAGATTGGATATCAAAGCTGCAGCCTTCAGATTTGCCTGGCTTTGTGCTGCGCAGACATTGCCTTAACCCACTCAGCTATCACAAGAAGCTCAAATGATTCTGAATCACAACACTGAGGAGGCAGGATAAACACTCCACTGAACAGCACGAGAATTGGTGTTAGGTACCAGTGGGTGCAATATCCCATCAACATCGCTATTTAAAAAAAAACATGTCATGGATACTGATCCAATATGGACAAATTAATTCCAACTTCATGTAAATGATAAGTATAGCAACCTGAAGACTAAAGAGACTTGCATCTTTGTGAATAGAGCAAGTAATTGATAACACACTCAAGCAGAAGTGCGATTAGAACGAGCGGGCTCACCTGGTGATATCGTAAACCATTAGAGCTCCAGCGGCTCCTCTGTAGTAGCTGCGTGTGACCGCCCGAAACCTCTCCTGGCCAGCCGTGTCCCAGATCTGAAGTTTGATCTTCTGACCGCTAACTTCAATTATTCTGGTTCCAAACTCTACCCCAATTGTATGGGGACAATCAGCCATAACTAGATTGGAACGCAGGCATTAAACAGAAACAGGCTACAGACAACATGCCTCATTGGATTTAGCCAACAATGAAGCCCTCTTTTATACTGAACTCAGTTCAGAGAGGGCTTAACCATAAACAATTCATTGTGGGTTACTTTTAGGGATCTTAATTTGCAAACTTTGCAAGAGGATCAGTAAAGTGAAGCCCGATTACCCAACCACCCAGAACTCAGCGCATACATAGATTTCGCGTTTCTATTGCTATGAAGCCAGATTGTGGACCGAGGATGCTGGGGAGGGGTGGAGTGTGGAGGGGGAAATCAATGTGGAGCAGGGAATTTCCCCACTGACGTCCTATTACCCAAAACCCTTACGGGTAGGGTTGGAAAGCTGAAAATGCAGTGGAAAGCTTGCCAGACAGTGCTTTCAAATGACAAGACAACGTAGTGTTAGCTGATTAAATGCCTGCAATTTCCCTAACATACACTCTGGGGTCCCCAAGCCCAGAAGTGCATTCTATTACACATGTAGGTGGCACACATAAGCAGAAATCTTATCTGGATAACGTGGTTTGGATACTATTAAGCATGGGTGATGGGTTTCCATAAGTATCAAGATATTCGGCTGACCAAATAATAAAAAAGTCCTAAAGTGAAAGGTGCTAATATAGAAGTAAATTATGGTTGAAATGTCTGTGCACAGCATCTACTTACATTTCTTTTCTGTAAATTGATGAAGCAAACATGACTTCCCTACACCCATGTCCCCTGTTTGAAAGAAAACTGAAGTGAGTTTCACAGGAATGAAGTTAGCATTAGTGCTCCCTAGCTTACTGCCAGTTCATACCCTCATACTGCCAGTTCTTACATGCTTTCATTACATCGAGGCTCGACCATGCAAACTCATTGCTTGTCGGCCTCCCCAACTCCTTCCTCCACAGGCTGCAAATCATCCAGAACTCTGCAGCCCATGTCCTCTCCCGCACACCCCCCATCCTCACCCAACTCCACTGGCTTCCTATCACACAGAGGATACAGTTCAAGATCCTGGTCCTCATTTTCAAAGCCCTCCACGGTCTTGCTCCCCACTACCTCTCCAACCCCCTACCATCCTGTTCGCTCCCTTCACTCAGCGGGCACCGGCCTGCTTCATGTCCCCCGCCTCCCTCGCCCCACTATTAGCGGGTGGGCCTTCCGCCATTCTCTCCCCACCCTCTGGAACTCCATCCCGCTGTTCCTCCGTCTTGCCTCCTCCCCTGCCACCTTCAAGACCCATCTCAAGACCCTCCTCTTTGACCATTGCTTTCAATCTCCCTGCTGCCCTCCACCCTCCCCCACCCGACCCCCAGCTTGGGTCCAGCGCCTTGGGACGTCCTCCTGACGTGAAAGGCACTATACAAATGTAATTTTGTTGTTGTTGTTTTACTCTAAAACACTTTTTGCCCATAAAATAGTCAATTCATTTTATAAGGTATTCTGTGAAGGGCTTTGAGATATCTCAACAACGTGATAAGGCGCTCTATCAAATGCAAATATTATTATAAAACTAGAAGTCCTTGTATTCAACACGAAGAGCAAAAATGGGTCACTTTATGCAATATTCATTGTTAGGAATTTGCTGTGGAAGAAATAGGCATGGAATTATTTACATCTAGTGTTTGAATAGCTAGTAATTTCAAGATGGTTGATAGAAGATAGATCTTTATAATTACAAATGAAAATCCTGAAAGCACAATCCACTCAAGTTTGCTGTAAACCTCTTAAATTGTGGTCAATTGTAGTAGTGAGTGGATTTATTATCTAATATAAAACTGAGATTTTAGTAGTTAAATCTTTCTTGAATAAGAAGTTTTTAATTATAATAAACCTTGCTTTTAATTAGACTGGGAACATTTGGGGTTTCGCAGCAGACAGTAGTCTGATGGTATCAGGGGAACCAACTGGGAGAATGTTAGGCGTTAGCTTGGCTCAGTGGGTAGGACTGTAATCTCTGAGACAGTGGGTTCAAGCCGCAAGTGGCTTTATTACTAGGTAAACTTTTCAATTGGGAGTTTTATAATGAGTTTACTTGTAGATAGTGCGGGCAATACTGATAAACCCAGCAACGCTGATCTTTTGGTTTACTCTGAATGACTGGTTACCCATAGGCCTGAATCCTCTTGGTTCCAGAGGCAAAACAATCCATGCTGCTGTGTGCAATTGGCTGCCGCATTTCACCCACAGAATAGTCAATTCACATTGCTGCATATTCTATGGCATGGTTTGAGACGTTTCAACAATGTAATTACGCACTATATCAAATGCAAGGATTATTATCATAGCATCAGCTTCAAGCAAGCCCCCTACTCAACGGAAAAACAACCAAATGCAATCTCTGTAAATGAAAGTCAGAGCAATAATAAACACCCAAAGACCTTGCTTTGATGAGTTTTGTTTCCTCTGTGATACTATCAAGAGCAGTTAAATGGAGAACACACCACTATTAGTGAGCTGACGTACAAGGAGAAAAGTTCTGCCAATAAAAGAAATGGAAATATTTTCTTATTGATGCCTTTCCACCACTGGAGAGCATTTAGCAAAACAAGATCTTTAAGAACATTACCAAAGGATTCATCCATTTTGTTCCTAGTGAGCAATAAAAACAGCAACTACTTTGTTCTCATTTCAACCTTTGGAAGCTTCCCCCACCCCTGCCCCTCCCCCCATCCAGTCTGTTGCATTTTTGCAGTATAAGAGAGCAGCAATCAGTCTAAAACTACGATCACATTAAAGGCACTCACCAATAATTATATATTTGAAGATGTAGGAGTAGTTGTACGGAGCGGTAGCCATTCTGGCTGTAAGAGAGAAAAGAAAAATCAATACAATCATCTGTTTTAGAAATTTACTCATCAAGTAAATGCTGCAATTCACTTTAAACAATATTCATCCACAAATCTAACTCTGCACAGCACTTTGTGATGAAAGAACAATTGGTCAGAGAGTGAACCTAAAGAAGCACAATCACTGATACATGGAAGCTCTTCTCCACGATTCAACAACAAAAAATTACATTTGTACAGCAGCTTTCACATTGGGAGGACACCCCAAGGCGCTGGACAGTCAGGTATTTGGACCCGAGGAGGGTGTTGGGATCAGGAAGAGTGGAGGGCAGGGGTAAGGAGGGCGACCAAAGAGGAAGATCTTGAGACAAGCCTTGAAGGAGGCAAGGAAGGGAGCAAGGCAAAGGGACTGTGGGATGGAGTTCCATAGGCTGGGAGCAGAGAGGCTGAGAACCCGACCACAGATGGTAGGGCGGGTCAGACAGGGGATGTGGAGCAGGCTGGAGCTTGCTGAGCGGAGGGAGCGCACAGGCCAATGTGGAGTTAGCAGATCACAGAGAACTATTCATTCTGTATAGTTGGTACATTCAACCACAGGAAAGCTACCCCAATATTGGCAAATTCTACAGCTTCATTTATCATTACCAGCTAGCTACCTCGCTGACATGGGCAAGCATACTGCTCTTGGGTTTCTACCACTTCAACAGCTAGAAGAGGGTTCTGAATTCTGTCTTCTGCAATGTGACCTGCTCCAGAAGTACAGCAGAAGTACCAACATTGCAGAGAGCTGTTCTGTAACATTACTGCTTCATTGAAATACTTTAAAAAGCCATGTATTCCAGTTGTGGAGCTGNAAAAAAGCAACTCACCAGATGGTCCATGCAGCATTTTAAAACACTCAGGAGACAGCATTTAAACCACAAGTACCACAGTGATTCCAACTCATTAAATAGCCAATAACCCAACTGTTACAAGTGAATGTTCACAACAAAAGGGTTTCACCTATTGAACTCCCAACAAGGTATGAAGACAAACCACTTGGAAGATGCAATAAAGATCAGCTTTGGAAGCAAACAGGTAATTGACACAATCCACTTGAACAGAACTGGCTCAACAACCTACTCTGTGTTCCTGTCCCGCACAGTATAAGATTGGCACTTCCCAAGGACTGACACTAACACATTCTCATTTCTGTGTAGTAGTAATTCCGCTCCTAGTCACTCAGTCCTTGTGCATTTGCTGACCAGGGTTGTTTGATGACTGTTTACATAGATCAGTAACAAAGGAATTATGGCAAGTTTAGTTCCTAATTGGTGGGACACTCCTAGCTCAATTTGTGAATTGACCACGACAGAATCACAAGTTTCTGTAGACCTGCCAGTATTCATAAGAGATAACCCCAGGAATTCTTAACATCCTTAAAGTGGTATGCCAAGTGTAAATAGAAACCTTAGCTTATGTCTCACCACACCTCAGATTTGCCAGTTGCAAACGCCAGCTTCCAGTTACTCAGCTAACCTGTGATAATGGGAACACCAACAGCACTTTACAGCAAAGAAAAATATGCTAAATGGATGTCTTAATTGGACTGAAGTTTAAACAGGAGCCAAATTTCTCTCCCAGGAGAAAATAAGGAAACATTTGCTTTTAAGATGTCATTTAGCTTTAAAATCAATTCTTGCTTATCTGCCAGCCAAACACTCACACGCCAGGAGAGATTATGGTTGAAATAAGTTGGGACTTCAAAGACTGGCATGTTTCATCCTAGACTGCCGACAGAAAAATGCGCATTTCTTTTAGGGAGTGAGAAGCTCATTGTGAGGGAACAGATATGGACTACAGAGCTCTGGATAAATTGATGTTTGTGGAGAGTCAAGCTTGGAAGGCCCTAACTTTGCAAAAACTCAAATTTGTTCTGAAATGTAGCTGGACTATTAGCAAATCTACTTAAGAACATAAGAATTTGCTAGGCGAAAAATCAAGGTCAAACTAGTTTGCCTTCCACTATCCTGGCAGTCGCTTGGCATGTCGTGACCCAAACTATATACTGTGGAGTCCTGTAGCTCAGTGGTTATAGCACTCGCCTCGCAAGCGAGAGAATTGGGTTCAATTCGCACTAGGGCGAAACTTTGGGCAAGTTTCCTTAATCCACTTGGTTGATGATAAACCCTCAAGAAAAAAAATAATTTAGTCACTCAATCGATGACTGTTTGTGGGACACTGCTGTGCGCAATTGGCTCCAGGTTTCACCCACAAATATACAGTGAATTCACTTTACAGTATATTCGGTGAAGCACTTTGAGACTCTCGAAGACACGAAAAGCACTATATCAAATGCAAGGATTATTATTATATTTATATTGTATCCAGAGATACAACCTTAGTGGGTCAACCTTAAGAGGATGAAGACACATTGCAGATAGAGCAAGTTACATTACACAAGAGGCACTTCCCAATGCTGCATTTTGATCTATACGTTTCCATTTAAAAGATTAGAGCCCCAATTTAAAAAAACTCAAATATAGTTAGAGTTCAGATAGCAAGTCGGATCTCTCATTTGTGAAATCGGCAGAAATTTGTTATAAAATCAACTTCATTTCAGCTCACTGGATAAAACGGAAATAGAAAATGCATAACTGAAAAGAGAACTTTCTGGATTACATCAGAATCTAAACAACACAAGTGTATTCAGATTATTTTAAGATTCAGGTACATATGTCTGCTCTGCGATTAGCACCTTCCCATGGCTAACTCACAGAGACGAGAATCACAGGTACAAACATGTCCCAGCACTTCAAAACTCCACTTTGTTTTGCCACCTTGCACACTGGTTGCAATCTGCCACACTTTGTTATTGGACTTGGGAAAAAAAGTGATGATGAGAAAAGACAGCTTTCTATATCTGGCTAATTTTTTTTAAAAAAAACCCAGGGGAGAAAAGCGGGCAGGAAAGAGGAAGAGCACCTTGTATTTGCAAGGATAAGGGGAAAGAGCAGGGGAATGGGAGTGATTGTGTAGCTCTTCCAAAGAGCCGGCATAGGTACGGCATAGGCCATCGTACCTATGCCGTAATACTCTATGATTCTGACCGCCCACTGCTAGGGAGGAGTCACACATTGTTGACTGTTCAGCTTCAAACCGAGCCACTCCATTAATTATTGGAAAGAATCCAGCTCCATCCTATTAGTAAATAGAAGTTTACACTGGCCATTAGTATGTTCACAATTGACGTTTACATCAATCCATTGGTACATACACCAAGTAAACCAAGCAAGTATGCTTCAACAAAGCCAAATCTAAACAATATCTGAATCACCATCACTGAATTATGGCCACGATAACTCAACAATGAAACAGGCAATTATTGCAAAGTGAATGGGAGTGTCCTGCCTGGCGTCAATCAGCAAATCAACATTAACATTAGTTACAAGCTTATCATTTTGCAGGATCATTTTTGTTTTACACACACACACACACACACGTCAAGCTGCTTACTTCCAACTACAATATTCTGCTCACCACCGGCAAAACTCACTGGCAGTCAGAAATCTGTAGCCCAAGCCTCGTTGCACCACTTCATACCAAAGTTGATACTCACATCAAGTGAGCTACACTGTGTGATTGATGCATAAAATGGTCACCAGTTCACTGAAACCGTACTAAGCAACATACAAACAAGGAATACCTTGCCAACCTGTGTAAAACTAGTTAACAGTTAATTCAAAGTCAAATTTACGAAAAAGAATCTTTTAACTATGTATTACGACAAAATCCAATCCAATGCAGGTTTGATCTTCCACATAAAGGGGTACATATTTAATGGATTCAGAACCAAAAGCTACCATACTATGATTTGATGCTTTGTGAGGTGTAAATGGATACAGGAGTGGGAGCTAGAATAAGCCACAAAAAGAGTAAAGAACACATTCCAACCCCAAAGCATTTGATGCTCATGCTTCACTGGGATTTCAAGCTCAGCTGCTAGAAGTCTGAAATATGTGTCATAGATGAACAACCCTCCACGCCCACTGACAGGCCTATTCCAAACTGCAAAAAATAGGTTGAGCTATTAGTCAATGGTACATTGCTGTTATAGATTTCATTTTAACCATATTTACTCTTTACATAGTTAGGGTGCAGAAGTACAATTTAAAGATAGATTCTTCCCATTGACATACTGAATGAGCCAACATCATAATTTGGCTCAATTTTGCCAGCCAAGGAAAGAGGAGGGAGATTTAAGTTGAAATCACAGCCCCCTCCCCCTCTGCAATTATTACTGAATCCTTGTGAATGCACACAGACACCGAGTGGGGGCAGAACCAAGCTTGGTTACAGTAACCTCTCAGTTAAACAATCCATTAACACTCACTATGGAGTCTCAAGAGTGAATAATGGTTACTAAGCCATGGCTCGTAGGACCAAAGCATGGACCAGCATTAACATTATCGTGGCAGGAGGTATAAGGGGCGAAATAAAAGAGACAGAATCAATTTGAAATGCAATACCCAATTCACAAAACACAAAGAGCATATTTTAGTTACTGGACAAAGGGACTATTTAAAACAGTTGTCAAAAACTTTTAGCTATAGTAATGCAACTTATACAACCCATACAATACACCCTCTCTCTCTACAAAGCAAGCATAAAATTAGACATACAAAGACCTCTTATCCCAGTTAGTTAAGACAGTAGTATCATTATATACGTTTATGCATCTTAAAGATATATTAAATGCTTACATTAATTGTTCAACGTTTTAAATACTGTGGACCTAATATTAAGCTAATAGAACACTAGCCTGCATCTGATTTGTCAACAAGTAACTTTAGTTTGGAAGTCTGTCTCAATCAGTTCTTTTTTATATCCCACAACATTCCAATACATTAAATCACTCAGATTGAAACAGTGATTGTTTCAACAGGGAATTAATTATATTGTGTATTGGCACTGCAAAAAATCCCAACTTTAGTCCACAGACATCAGTAGATACTCAAAACAGTTCCTGATGAAACCCAGCATTAGATGCACAATAATAATAATCCTTCCATTTGATATAGTGCTTTTTCACGTCTTCTCAACAATTATCTACAAGTTCACCATTTGTTATTTTATGGTAACAAAGCGCTGATTTTTTTTCTATAAAATGAAAAAATACCACAAGACTCAAAACATCCACCAATTCCATCTCCCCCCTGCATTCTTACCATAATCCTAGATGTGGTACCTTTTTTTTTTAAACGTTCAGAAACTACTCTTTAAAAGTGAAGTATTGTGATTTTATCCTAAAGCCATTTTGGTTGACACTTGGTTACGAGTCACAACAGGTACTACATCAGCATAACAATAATCCTTGCATTTGACATAGGGACTTGTCAAGTCTTTTGAGACATCTCAAAGTGCTTCACAGAATATACTGTGACGTGAAATTGACGATATTTCGAGGGTGTAGAGAGAAGGCAAAGGGCATCTCACTTATTAGTACATGTTGTGGATTGTAACCAAGTGTGTCAAAAACATTCACTGGTGCTTCTTAAATGTACCAGTGCGATTAATCAGCTAACTGCACCTGCCTGGGTGGTAAGTAAATACTGCACTGAGCAGAGTGGGGGGTGAAAGGACAATACAGGAGCCATAGGGAAGTCAATTCATCTCAGGAACCTGATGAAGAAGCCCTGCAACACTGCCTGAGAAAAAAACCAACCGCCCTCAACGTCCATCTCGTCTTAATGGTACGGAAGTCACAGGAGGAAGCAAACAGCACTGCGCTGCACTGTTCAAAACACAATGCAGCAAAGCAATTACAGTCAGTCAGGGAGGGAGGGAGGAAGGAAGGGGGGGGGGGGGGGGGCAGACATTTAATGCACCGAATGTACCAGAACCTCACCCTCTCTTCCTCCTGTTCTGCCGGAGCTGTACGAAGCAGCAGCTTCCCGGAGGCTCTGGTGCGAGGGAGGAGAGTAAGAGGCTGCGGGGGAGAGGCTGAGGCTGAGGGGCGAGCGAGGCGAGGGCCTAAGTCCCTCCGCAAACCGCCTGGACCGGGAAGGAAGGAAGGAAGGAAGGGGAGAGGGAGATGGACAAAGCACAAGGCCTACTTGTCGTGAGGGGTGACCTCGAGAGGCAGCGCCGGGGCCCGGACGGGAGGTTGGGTGTAGCCGCCCCCACCCACACAGAGAGAGAGAGAGAGAGAGAGAGGGGGGGGGGGGTCAGGCCTTTAAACCGTTTGACTTCACGGCCCGAGATTTATATATCTCCCTTCACCTCACACACACACACATACATACAACAACAACAACACCGCCGCCCGCTCCTCCCTCCCTCCCTCCCTCCTCCCGGGCCCGGCGGGAGGCCACAGCGAGCCTCGTGCCCCGGTTTGAGGGAAGCCCGCGGCGCGGAGGCCGCTTACCGGCAGCGACCTGAACTCGACGCCTTCAAGCCTCGGGCTCAGCGGCGACTCGGACTGGATTCAGCCAAGATGGCGGCGGCTTCCGACGGGGTTTCCTGCGCCTCGTCACACGGCTCGAGCCGAGGAGTCAGAGGTCACCGCCGCCGCCCCGCCCCCTCTCTCTCCTCCTCTGGGCGGGGTTACAGCTGTCACTCAAACAGTGGGCGGTGCCCTCCGCTCCCGATAGGGCTGTCAATCACAGGCAGCAAAGCCTCCAAACCAACAGCAATGACAACAACAACAACAATATTAATAATAATAATAAATAAATAATAATAATAATAATACTAATCCCTGCATTTGACGCGGCGCCTTATCGCGTCTTCGAGACGTTCTCAAAGCGCTTCGCGGGATACGCTGTAAAAGGTGCGGCGACTATGTGTTTTGTGGGGCCACGTGGCGTCCGATCACCAGCAATGCAGTCAGTTATCAGGTTAAAGGAAAGCTCTTCGATTGCAGAGGTTACCAAAAAAAAATGGGATCAACTCGATCCCCGACTGTTTGTGGGACACCGCTGCGCGCAATTGGCCGCCGTGTTTCGTCCACAGGATACACAGTCAATTCACTTCTGCAGTATATTCTGTGAAGCGCTTCGCGACGGCTCAAAGATGTGATAAGACGCTATAACAAATGCAAGGATTATTATTGTATTTATTTATTGAAACATTATTTATGGAACATAATTTGCCAGAGTGTAGCTGTTGAGGCTGAGATCACAGCAGGTATTTGCAAGAGGATTGAAGATACATTTGAAGAGGAATTATGTGACAAGGAATAAAGAGTTGAGATTTGATGGACAGCTGTAGTTTGATGGATCGAATGATTGACTCTTAATCCTAAACTGTGATTTCTTCAATAACAACATCACAAGAACAAGCATTCGTTCACCAAGAGTGCATTCAAACATCATCGAAGTATTCAATCACCAGCAATACATTCAATATTAATAATAATAAACCTTTCATTTGATACAGCGTCTTATTGCCACCACAACAACTTGCACTTATATAGCGCCCTCCTTGAAGAGTAGCATCTCAGAGCGCTTTTGAGAAGTTAGATTGTGGAAGATTGTTCCTGCAGGTTGATGAATGAGTAACGAAGCACTTCGAGAAACACAGGATATACTGTAAAGTGAATTGACTACATTTTGTCTGCAAATCGCGGCAGCCAATTGTGCACAGCACTGTCCCACAAACAGGCGTGGATTGAGTGACCAACTTTGTTTTAAGGGATTATTACCACTGGAAAGCGATCCGCCAATTGACTAACAAGCAGGCTCCTGCTTACTGCTAGGTAAACAGAGGCACGTGGAGTAGGAAAACTTGCCTAATGCTTTGCCCTGCCCGGAAATCCAACCCAGGTCCCCTTGCTTGAGAGGTGAGTGCTCTCACCAAGAGCTACAGGACTCCACATGATTACTTTTTTGGGGGAAAACAAGTACTTTGAGATGTTGCCCTGCCTGAAAGGCGCTATATTGTTGCATGTTGTTGTTGTAAAAAAAGATTATTGAAGAAATCACAGTTTAGGATTAAGAGTCAGTCAACCATTCGATCCATCAAACTACAGCTCCACTCTAATCCCAAATCACTACACTTTTCCTGTTCTTTTTCACACTATCCCTCTTCAAATGTATATTCAATCTTCTTCAAATATTGTTGTGATCTCAGCCTCAATAGCTACTTCTGGCAAAATATGTTCCATGTTTAATAAACCTCTGCAATGAAAACCTTTCCTATACCATTTCCCTTGACTTCTTCCAGTGACAATCCTGAATCTGTTACTTATTCACTGGGAATCAAACCCAGGTTCTCTCGCTTGCAAGATAAGTGCTCTAACCATAACCTGCAGGGCTCCACTCCCCTCATAAACTTCTCTGTTCCAGTGGAAACAGACCCAACTGTTCCACTATGTTAATACAGTATGACTTAACTCCTCATCGTGACACTATTCGTAAAGAGAAGGAAGTTTCTCCCGGTTCCTGGCCAACAATCCCCTGGACAAAATTAGTCATTCATTGTGTGGTTTCTTGAGTGACGTTACTGTGCACAAATTTTCTCCTTCGTTCACCTACAAATAAACTGTCACTACACTTTATATTAAATGCTGCAAATTGCTTTGAAACATTTTGACATGATAAGACACTGTAAGAAATGCAATGATTATTGATACTATAATTTGTGTGTGTGTGTGTGTGTGTATGTGTGTGTGCTCACAGGCAAGAGGAACATAGACCACAATAATAATGAGCTGCAAGCATTTCCTGATGTAGGTATTATTATATTCTGGTGAATAACACACTTCCTGTTTGAGTCATCTGAGGATTTACATCCTTGGGTCTCTGGGAAAGGATGTACTGTAAAATCTGAGCTCCAGGAGAGACATCAGGAGATCTCCATCCTGTGGCCTTGTCTTGAATAACATTTGCAGAGAAAATACATTCTCAAATAAAACATACTCACCCACCCCACCCACCCCCCCCAACCCCCACCAAAAAAGTTCAAGTCTTAGCCCCCAAATACTCTTGATCTGAGAAGCGTATTCCTCCTCCTGTTGTTTACGTTGAGCCTTAAGATCGTGACATTTTGCCCGCAAAATACAGTCAATTCGCTTTAAAGTATATCCTGTGAAGCGCATTGAGACGGCTCAACGACCTGATAAGGCGCTGTATCAAATGAAAGGAATAGTATTATTATTTCGCCGGCGAGAGAGCACTCAGCCGCTCACTGTAATAGTTTTGTGTTTGTAAATAATTCCTGTAGTTTGTTTAATTACAGGATTCTGACATCCACTTGGAAATGTTAGCAATTAGGAAGCCCGGGTGTGAGCAGAGAGAGTCTCAGCGACTTGTTCCAGTAAATTCCTAATTAATTTCACAGAAAACATGCAGTTAGAAGGATAAATTGGACGTCTACGTGTCCCTGTGCATGTTCCACGTTGAGTGCCACGCCCTTAGCGTTAGCCCTGTTTGAAAGAATTGAATCACTTATTAAGGGAGTGAAAAATTTTCCCCTAAAAAAAATAAAAATAAGGATCAAAGAAAAAAGATGATTTATTTTGGGTTGACGTTCATCACAATCTAGCAATGTGGATGGTGGCAAGATTTATTGCAACCCCATAAATTCTGTAAGACATAAATAAATAAGATCTGTGCAACAATGACTTTTGATTCATGCAACACTAGATTTTAATACAGCATTTGAGTAACAATGAGCATTTCTCCCTTTATTTTGCAACTTTAATTATCTGGATGATTCAATCCCAGAGACTGCACTAACTTGTGCTTAAAACAGGGGGTGTGGGTGGTGGTGGTGGGGGTTTCGATGAATGAATGTTGCAATTAAACACCATATTTAACTATTAAGTTACGTTCCTCTAACACTCAGCTTTGTGGCACTTAGAGAGAGTAACACTGGGCTCCAGTGAAAGACACAGATTAGTTTGAATCACATCCTGTGTGAAAGTTGCCCAGTTCCAGTGTAGATGCTCTGTCTGGTCTTCTGCAGAAAATAATGTAGAAACCTCCCATCCAGTGTTTGTTTCCCCCACATCACCCCATCACCCCCCATCACCCTATCACCCCCATCACCCCATAACACCCATAACACCCATCACCCCATCACCCCCATCACACCCCTATCACCCACATCACCCCCATCACCCCCAATCACCCCAATCACCCCATCACCCACATCACCCCCAATCACCACATCACTCCCAATCACCCCTATCACCCCATCACACCAATCACCCCATCACCCCCCATCACCCCTATCACCCCATCACACCAATCACCCCATCACCCCCATCACCCCTATCACCCCATCACACCAATCACCCCATCACACCCCTATCACCCCATCACCCCACATCACCCCATCACCCCCCCATCACCCCAATCACCCCTATCACCCCATCACCCCCATCACCCATCACCCCCCATCACCCCAATCACCCCACATCACCCCATCACACCCCTATCACCCCATCACCCCCCCATCACCCCCCCATCACCCCAATCACCCCCAATCACCCCCCATCACCCCCATCTCTCTCTCCATCTCTCTGCCCCCTTTAAATCTCCCCATTTAAAGCGGGGGGGTTGACAGTTGACAGTGCAACCGAGTGGCCGGAGCTGCCGGACGGACACATTGAAGAAGACGCCTTTCGATGCTGATTACCAAAAACGTGTCCGTCTGAGAGGCTCTGAAGGAAAGAAAGCAGCAACGAGTGTCACCCGGACATTTGCGGGTGGATGCGGTTTGCGCTGCGCTGCGCTCTGCAGCGCCCTCACACTGTGCATTTTCACCGTTAAATTCCACGATAGGTCAGAGCTGAATCAGAGGGAGAGAAAGAGAGAGAGAGAGGGTGTGACACACTGGAGGTTATATTGGTGACCCAACTAACTATTTGGCACAGACTTGTCCTGTCCTCTCCTTCTCTCTCTCTCTCTCTCTCTCTCTCTATCTGTGGGTCTCCACTTCTGTGCATCAGTGAGAATTTTTATTTCAGGTAAGTGACAATCCTCTGCATTTCTTTTGTCTCTTCCCTTTCTCTCTTATTTCTTCCCCTTATTCTCTCCCCCCCCCCAACCCCCCCTCCCACCCCCCACCACCCCCTCCTCCTCCTCCTCCTCCACCCCTCTTTTCCTCCATCCTTCCACAATCCTCCTCCTCCTCCTCCTCATCTCCTAACCTTTTCGAGTTGACCAGATTTTCTGCTGAACAGAAATATTCCTGCAAATCTGCGTGAAAACAGGCGAGGAGATGAATGGGGGGGGGTTTGTGCAACTGCAGGGGGTGTCCTGTGGGCGAACTGGGGAATGTTTGAGCCTTTTTCGTTGCAATCCGATATATATAATATATATGTACAATATATATATAATATATGTCTATATGTGTGTGTGAGTGAGTGTGTGAGTGAGTGTGTGAGCAAACACAATCTCTCTTGTGCTCACAACTTTTATTTCGACCAAGTAAAAGCAGAGGTATTTGCCCCTCAATCCCCCCCCCCCCCCCAAAAAAAAACGTACTGCTTCATCTGTGATTTATGATATTTCAGAGATTATTTATGCTGCACTCTCTCTCTCTCTCTCTCTCTCTCTCCCCCGATGTGGTCGTGCAGTGCAGTGTGTGAGCTGCAACAACTGATGCTTTTTGGAGTCTCTCTCTCTCTCTCTCCTTTGCAACTTCCATCCCAAAAAGAACTGCGTGCGTTGGGTTTTAAAGAATAAAACCCCATCTCTGCAGTCGTTCCCCCCCCCAGTGGGGAAAAAAAAAGGGCGTTCACCACTCTTCCCATTTAAGCTTCACATCACATCACATCACATCTTCCCCCAAAACTCTCAGAGAGACTTTTCTGCATTTTTTTTTCCCCAAAAAAATTTTTTAAAAAAAACCTCTCAGGTTTTGCATTAATCGCTTTGAAGAACTCACAGGAACGCTTTTGCCCTAAAATTGGGAGATTTGCTTCCAAACTTTGGGAAGTTAATGCTGTTGTTGGGAGTCTTATCAAAGTGGTCTGTGGGGAGATGAGTCATTTGAAATAGCTGCTGTGGTGACTAACACAGTCACAGTTGTGTACCATAACATTTTTACAGATTTTGTTTTTTCCATTTCAGAATCATCCCTTTTGCTGTTGTGGCTTTAGATCTGTCCTTAACTTAAGAACATTCTGGGGTTTAAATTCTCACCGGAGAAGCATTTTGTTTTAACTCGATGTGATTTTAGAATAAGGTACAATAAAATCAAAATAATATTGTAATCTTTGCAATTGATATAAGGCCTTATCGTGTCGTTGAGATGAATCAAAGCGCTTCACAGAATGTATGGTGGAGTGACTGTTTATTTTGTGGGCGAAAGGCGGCAGCCATTTGCACACAGCCATGTCCCACAAACAGCTGTGGATTGAGTGACTCAATTTGCTTTTAGAGGGGTTATTGTTTTGTGGATGATTTTGTGCGTGAAAAGTGACTTCACACTTGGTCAGTTCTAAACCTAAAGGCTCGTGCAGTAATATAAACGTGAATTAAATGTAATGCCTCTGACACTGAACTTTGCAACGTGGAAATAAATTCCTTTTTGAGGTATCATCACAGCTGCCGAGCCTTAAAAATATTGAATATTTTAACAGCAAACAGACTCCAGGTGCAGCAGATGAATGCTCTACTGTTTATACTGTACACAGCGCATACATCACAGTAATTCCTGGGAAGTGCTTTGAGATGTTTTAATCTGATAAGGTGATGTATCAAATGCATTGCCTTTAGGTTTAGTTATTTGACTTGTCAGCTTGTTGTTTCAGTTGGTTGCGCTCCTGCCTCTTGAGTCAGAAGTTTGTGGGTTCCAGTGCCATGTTGGGACTTTGAACGCCCGTCTACTCGAGGCTGATAATCCAGTGCAGTGCTGTGGGGAGAGCTCATTGTTGGAGCTGTGGTATTACGGCGGAGGTGTTAAAATTTGGAGGCCTGTGGCATAGTGGTTAGCACGCTCGTCTTGCAAGTGAGAGGACCCGGGTTCGATTCTCGGGTGGGGCAAAACCTCAGCAAGCTGCCTTACTCCGCATGCCTCTGTTTATCTAGCAATAAGTAGGCACTTGATTGTTAGTTGGTTGGTGGATTGTTTCTGGGGTATTAATCCCTTCCAAAAAATAATAATAATTTGGTCACTCAATCCACGACTGATTGTGGGGCACTGCTGTATGCAATTGGCTGTTACGTTTTGCTAACAAAATACACAGTCAATTCACTTTACAGTGCATTCTGTGAAGCGCTTTGAGACGTCTCAGCGATGTGATAAGGCGCTACATCAAATGCAAGGATTATTTATTTACGGATTACCAAGGATGATTAGATGGGTTGTAAATTCCTGGCATTTAGTTATCAGATAAACTTATCACTGGTTACCATTAAACATCTTTTTTTAAAAAAAGTTGTAATGAGATGCTGATTTCTACCTGTGCTGTGTGGCGGTTCTGATTGGAACTGAACATTATTTTCCATCTTGCAATTGATATAGTGGCAAAAATGGCATAATGACAAAACCACAGCAATATATGTGGCAATTGAGAAGTGCAGAAGCAGAAGTTTTTTTTTAACTCTCTCTCTCTCTCTCAGGAAGGCATTCTGCTAGAGTTTATTGTCTACCAGCCCGTTTAAACCACCAACAACAACTTGCATTTATACAGTGCTCCTCGAGCAGGGTAGAGTCCCAGAGCATTTGACAGTGGCGAGCCACAATGCTGAGCTGGGGGAAGGGGACTGTAGGCAGGGTCGAACAGGAAGGTCTTCAGGGGTGACCTGATCATAGGGAAGGAGGGGGCAAGGCGAAGGGATAGAGGAAGAGCGTTCCAGAGTTTTGAGGCATAACGGTTGAAAGCGTGGCCACCGATGGTGGAATGGAAGGCGCGACCACTGCAAACTCGAGGGGCAAGAGTGGTAACGACACAAATAGTAAAAACAAAATCCTTACTTTTGACGCATCACCTTATCACATCAATAAGACATCTCAAAGCGTCTCACAGGATTCACTGTAACGTCGGCACTGGGAGCAACACAGCAAAGCATTCATCATCAGCAGAACTCTCAGCTGATCTCTCAGCTGAAGACGAAAATGTTTTTTTGGGGGGGGAGAAAAATTGGGAGATCAGATTAGTGAAGTTAAAACTCCTCTAACTGCCTTGGGCTATAACTTCCTCTGTTATGGAGCACATTCCCCTTTTCATTACTCATGTCGTGAAGCCACAGTGACTCATGTTACCCTATGTATTGGCAGCCACACCCTGTGCCTCAGCCAGAGATCATTCTTACATGGAAGGAGGCCATTCAGCCACTCTAAGCCTGTTCTGTCATTCTATAAGATCATGGCTGATCTGTACCTCAAGTCCAATTACCCGCCCTTTGCCCCGTATCCTTTAATACCCTGACCTAACAAATGTCTATCCACCTCAGTCTTGAAGATGTGAATGGATCCAGCATTCACAGCCTTATGGGGGAGAGAGTTCCAGATTTCTACTATCCTTTGGGTGAAAAACTGCTTCCTAATTTCACTCCTAAATGGGCTAGCTCTAATTTTAAGATGATGCCCCCTTGTTCTGGCTTCCAACACCAGAAGAAATAGCTTCTCTGTATCTACCCTATCAAATCCCTTTATTATTTTAAACACCTCAATCAGAACACCCCTCAACCTCCTAAATTCTTCCAGGGTGAGTGTAGACAAACCACACAGTGCCTGTGCGAGAGTAAGTGACGCTTTGGTACATACCTCAATCGTACAAGAACTTGCATTTACACATGCATTGCGTGTGTATGATCCAACGGGTTGTTGGATAGGAATTGGAAGAAGAAATCCAGGTTGCATTTCGCTTGTCCTTTCTCTCTCCCTCCAGAATATACCTCCACTGTTACATAGCAGCCTATGCCTATGGTTCGATCCCAGGTGGGGCGAAACCGTAGGCAAGTTTGCTTACTCCACACGCATCTGTTAACTGAGCAGTCCAATCCAATCCAATACAAAATTACATTTGTATAGCGCCTTTCACATTGGGTGGATGTCACAAGGATTTGGACCCAAGCTGGTGGAGTGGGGGGCGGGGGGTGAGGGTTGGGATCAAGGACGGTCTTGAGAAAGCAAGTAGGAACTTGGTTGCTAGTCGATTGCCACATCTCTTTCCTGTGGTAATAATCCCTCNAAAAAAATTGGTCCCTCACTCCATGACTGTTTGTGGGACACTGGTGTTTCGCCCACAAATACAGTCAATTCACTTTACAGTATATTCCGTGAAGCACTTCGAGAAAGGTCTCAACGATGTGGTAGTGCACTGTATCAAATGCGATGATGATGATTATTATTATTAAGCCTGATTGAGCCTGGAACCATCTCTCTCTGTCAGCCACCATCTTTCATCGTTTTCTTTCCCTGCTTGGCCTCTGCTGCCGCGTTTGTCGAGCGCAAGTTTGAGAAGTTTACGTAAAGGCTCTGCATAAATGCAAATTGTTATACAGTTGAGCAATGATTTGTATACCAAATTGCTCAGGCCTACTTCAGAGTACAGGGGGGGGAAAAATCGTAGGAAAAAATGTGCGGTATCTGGTTTTCTTTCCATATCAGGATTGGTTGAAATGCATAAATTGATGTGTATCTCACTTCTGGCTTCAAACCCTTGGTTCAAAGCCATGTGGTTTTTGAATTCTTCCATGGAATATTTGACATATTTGGACAAATCCTGACTGTTGCATGTGGCCTCAGGCTGGAGTTCACTAACTGTCTGAGCGATTGTTATAACTTCCTCAGCATTTAACATGAATTCCCCTTTTCAAACTTCCTCCCTCTGCAGCTTCCACTGTAACTCTCAGGAATTGGGGAACAATCCGGATGGGTTCAGACATTGCCTTTAATTAGATTTCCCGTTCACCTGTTGTGGCGGTGGGGTGTGGGGGTGGGAAGGGACGAGTTGCAGTGTTTTTAGTATGTAGTTTGCTTCAGTCAGTCCATATCCTCATTGCTTCTGGGTCTGATGTTTGTTTGCCACCTCGAGACCTAGCTCAAGGCCCTGGTTGACTCTCTTTGGTTGGCCAAAACAATTAATTCATATTCTCTCGATTTATGGCATGAATCGATCCTATTCTGTTATTTCTACCATTATTTTGGTGTCCAACCAAAAAGGCTGTTCACAGCTGCGCACAACTGGGTCAAGCTAATCGGCTGCTGTGCACAATTGGCTGCCAGGTTTCGCCCACAAAATACACAGTCGCTCCACTTGACAGTACATTCTGTGAAGCACTTTGAGACGTCTCAACGATGTGATAAGGTAAGGCTGTATCTGATGCAAGGATTACTACAAGATAAGGTCTGGTCTCCTCGTTCGGGCAGCTTTTCAAGTCCATTACTCTAAAAGAGATGGGGAAAATGATGTGAATAACTTAATTCCTCACCAGTTGGTGCTTGCGATAGAGAGAGAGAGGCTTATGTCTCCTGTTTTGTGCAGTTTATGCAGTAAATAAGCAGGACACACCTAATGTCACTCTGATCTGCTCTTGTTGATCTGGACCCAGTGGGACTAAGCACAACCTCCCTCCTTGGGGAGGGAGGACATTAAAGGTTTGAAAACAACATAACAAGGATTTTTTTTATTATTTTTTATTTATTTAATTTCCCCTCTCTTCCCCCACCCCCACGCCACTTCATTTGATCCCAGAGCAACCCGGAGCTTGTCTGGGTAAGCGGTGTAACGTGTGGCAGTGTTTGTTGGCAGTGCAGTGCTTGATGTTGATCTGACTGCTCTGTGCAGGGCTTTCTCTCTCTCTCTCTCTCTCTCTCGCTTCCTGTCTCTTTCTCTCTCTCCAGCAAATGGATCACTGGTTCCTGTCAGCACGCCAGCCATTCCTCTAATCCCTTTCCGAAATTAGACTGTGGCGACGGCTTGCAGATGGCAGGTGGTTGTGACCACACGGTCGATCTGAGAATGTGAAGCCATTGGCCTGGGCTGGAAGTGCTCTGAGACTCTACCCTGCAGTGAAGGGCGCTATCTAAGTGCAAGTTGTTGTTGTTATTGCTGTAGAGTTCTGGCTTGAAGTCTGCCCTGAAAACACTTCCACTGCAATGTCTTTGAAACAGCGATGAGGGTGAAGTGAGGGACCAATTTTACAATTTTAAAAAAAAATTCTTGCATTTGATATTGCGCCTTATCACGTCTTCGAGACGAGCTTTGCAGTGAATTGACTGTATATTTTGTGAGTGACTGTATTTATTTGGGGGATTGTCAGCCAGGGAGACCAAGAGAAACTCTCTTCTCTTTTCAAACAATGACGTGGCATCTGTAATGTCCGGAACAGACGAGAACTCGGTTTAATATCTCATCCGAAGGAAGGCTCGTCTGGCAATGCTGCCCCCCCCTCTCCCCCACGTCCCCCCCTGTTCCCAGCACTGCATTGCAGTGTCAGCCTAGGCGTGTGAGGTCAGGTCTGGCTCTGAGGCGAGAGTTATACCCAACAGAGCCGAGCTGAATTGAGCCATTGTTTTTCAGGCAGCTGGCCAGGTGAGGAAGGGGTTAAGTAAGACAGGCTTCCACAAACCTCGGAGAGAGAAAAAAAATCAACACACAAGCTCTGCATTGCACCGCAAGCAGTCACTGGAGTTTACGAACATCTTATTTCAAGTTTAGCTCAATCGCCTTCAGCGATGATCTCAAGAGGGTGTGAGTGAGTCAGTGAGTGAGTCAGTGAATGTGATCTCCCAGGAAAATCCATGATCCTGTTTCCCAAAACCTGTTAGACAACCCGTCGATGGTAACTGGGTAAATGGTGCAAACCTTACCAGGCTCCTCCCTGGAGGCCACCTCAATCACCTGTTGGGACTTGTGGCTTGTCAGCGTTCGCTTCCACTTTTTGTGATTCCTTCTCTGTTCTTTTCAAGGGGTTGATAATGAGCTCGACTTTCACTTTGGGGTAGAAACCGGAGCCCCAGGTGTTCTTAATGTGTCTCTGCTTCTTCCCTTGCTCTTTCAGCCCCCTGAAACCGCACCGTACAACCTATCCCCTTTACTGTGGTGTGCGTGGTCTCTTCCTTCTCTTTCTCCCCGCTCCCACCCCGCTCTCTCGCGCCACGCACACGCGTGCCTGCACTCAGAATCCGCCCCACCTTTGTTAAGTTGCTCAGACGGTAACCACCCCCAAAACACAGTCACTACACTTCACGGTATATCCCGCGAAGCGCTTTGAGACGTCCTCCCCACATGAAAGGAATGCAAGTTGTTTTTTTAAAATTCTACGTGAAGGGAGTTATTTTAACACCAGAGTTGTTGTTGTTGTACTTTGCCACTGTTACTTACGTGTTCTCTCCTCCGAGGGGAAGGGAAGGAGGAGGGAACGAGGTCGCTGTTGAGCCACTCGTGACTATCCAACCTGTAGCTTTGGGGAGAGCAACGAGAGAGAAATATTTGCTCCGTGTGTATGTGTGTGTATCCTCGATTCTGAAATCAAAAGCCCAGTAGCACATCTGCCCAACTCAGCCCCTCCGTGTTCCCAGTTGCGCACTGATCCAGATGTGAGGCTGGGTGGCGTGTGGGTGTGGGGGGCCAGAGAGAGTGAGAGAGCTTTTTCCACTCCCTAGTAAAGTGGGTCGTGGTAGCAATGCATGGCATCCTAATTCTGCACTTAAAAGCTTTTATTTTCTCTCTGCTATGAAAGCGCTGGAGAATTTGATAGGACGACGCAAGTCCTTTAAGCTTTTGATCCCGGCATCAATCCCTCAGATCACCGAACAGCACACCACAAACCCCCCCCCACTCCGCCAACCCAACCCCCGCCTGATCCTCTTCGCGGGGGGCGGGGGGAGTGGGGGAGATTTCAGCCATTCAGCCCCAACTCACAGTGGGGGCCAGGGGTATTAAAAAAAAAAGTCCTCGTGTTCAGCTCTTTAATAATAATCCTTGCATTTGATATAGTGCCTTATCATGTTATTGAGACGTTTCAAAGCGCTTCACAGAACTTACTGTAAAATGAAATTACTGTATTTTGTGGGCAAAACGCAGAAGCCAATTGCACACAGCAGCGTCCCACACACAAACAGTCAAGGATTGAGTGATTTTTTTGGCGGGGGGGGGAAAGGGATTATTACCCCTGGAAAGGGATCCATCAATCAACTAACAACCGGGTTCTTACTTACCGCTGGGTAAACAGAGGTGTGTGGAGTAAGGAAACTTGCCTAAGGTTTGGCCCTGCCCGGGAATCTAACCCGAGTCCTCTCGCTTGCGAGGCGAGTGCTCTAACCACTGAGCTACAAGACTCCACAAATATATGTAAAACTAAAACAAGGTATTTTGTGTGGCAGATTGTCAGAATGGTTTACCACCCTGAGTTCCAGGCGGCTGGCAAGCAGGCTGGCCTGCAGATCTGGAGGATTGAGAAGATGGACCTGGCTCCTGTGCCCAAAAACTTGCATGGAGACTTCTTCACAGGAGATGCCTATCTGGTGCTGAAGACCATCAAACAGAGGTCTGGCAGTCTGCAGTTTGATCTGCATTTCTGGCTGGGTGAGCACCGTCATTTGTTACCCTATTTCTCTCTTCACCCCCTCTCTTTCTTTCTCTCTCTCTGATTCCTTTTTTTTGAATGAAGGATTGAATGCTGCTTCTCAAGACCCTCCTCTTCCATCACGCCTTTAATCACTCTCCTAACCCCACCCTCCCTTGTCCTCCACCCCTCCTGATCCTAAACCCCTGCTCATCTCCAAACCCTCGACTGTGCAGTGCCTTGGGACATCCTCCCGACATGAAAGGCGCTGTGTAAATGTAATGTGTGTGGTTGTTGTTTGGTTTAAGCCAGCAGAGGGAGGGAGGGGCGATCTTTGCTGTAGTCGCAACTTGTCTCTGGTTGGCTGCGCAGGGAATGAGTGCTCCCAGGATGAGAGCGGATCTGCTGCCATCTTTGCCGTGCAGATGGATGACTACCTTGAGGGGAAGGCCATCCAGTACAGAGAGGTCCAGTCTCACGAGTCCAACGCCTTCCTGTCCAACTTCAAGTCTGGCATCAAGTACAAGGTAAAGGTTTGGTATTGACATGAGCGACAGTAAATCGTTTCAGTTTGTCATTAAAACCAGGTACCATTTTGGTCTTCGCTTTGGTTTGCAATGTGAAAAGACTCTCTTTTCTCTCTCTCTCTCTCTCTCTGGAAAACAGGGAAACTTGTAACATTGCTTTGTCCACAATTGTTGCTTCAGTGCCCCTATTGATGGATGCAATGTCTTAACCATCTGGGAGAAAGCTTGATGAGCTCTGCATCTGTTTCACTAAACCGTCGCCTTTTTCTGCATCTCCGCTTTGCTCTGTTACAGGCCGGGGGAATCGCGTCCGGGTTCACGCATGTGGTAACCAACGAGGTGGACGTCCAGAGGCTCTTCCACCTGAAGGGACGGCGAGTGGTCCGAGCGACTGAGGTCCTGTTAAGTTGGGACAGTTTCAACAAGGGCGACTGCTTCATTGTGGACCTGGGAGCTGTGAGTTCTGGACGTTGCTTCATAACTGACCAAATAGATCCCTGCTCCAGCGGTGCAGAATAACACAAGTATGAATGGGGTTTGTAGATCAATGAGAGAGAGAGAGAAGCGATTCTAAAACAGTACAGATGTGCACAAAACGATCGTTCATCAATTGGACTTCACTGAAAATTGCTCCAAATTTTATTTGGGCTCAAAGGTGTCGTCTAAGTCAGGGGGCGGGTCCAACTTTTCGACTGGCAAGAAACAGCGATATTTAATAAATAATACAAATATTTTTGTGTTTCCCTTCCATTTACGTATTATGTAGGGAACGGGAGGGCCAGATGAAATGGAGGGAATGGGTGTGGGGGGGCAGAATGAGACCGGTCCATGGGCCATCAGTTGGACTACCCTGATCTTTGTAACTAAACCCATGAACTAAACACTGTCCTGCCTCAGCAAACGTTTACAAGGCTCTTCAATTGGTGGTGACCATGTTAGCAGATGGCAGGTGTGTGTGTGTATCTTCTCTCTCTCTCTCTCTCGATGAACAGATCACTGACTGCCAAGTATCCTTTGAAAGGACCACTCCGTCCTCGTCAGCCAAGGAACGTTGAGGATCATTGAACCCTTCTGATGGATTGTCAGGAACGAGGCTTAGTGGCGCTAGCGTTTGTTAATTGGCGGGATATCAGATCGCCAGATTTACAAAGCGTCCGTCCGTGGGTCGGGAGGTTAAAACGCATGAGGCTGTGCCTGGGTTGTGTGTTGTGCGAGCGCTCTGAGACGCTACCCTGGGTGAAGGGCGCGAGGTAAATGCAAGTTGTTGTTGTTGTGCCTCAGGACATCTACCAGTGGTGCGGATCCCAGAGCAATCTGTTTGAAAAACTCAAGGCCACCCAAGTGGCCAAGCGTATCCGCGACGACGAGAGGAGTGGGCGAGCCAAGGTCCACGTGCTGGAGGAGGGGAGGGAGTCAGACAAGCTGGTGGAGGTGAGGCTCTTTACGTCATTGGGAGGCCCTCGTCCCAGGAACGCTCTCTTCATCCCCCTCCCGTGCCCACTCGCCCAGCGGTGGAGACTTTCTGGTCACTGTGCAAATTCCACCCACCCACCCACCCAGCGCCTCCTGTTTCTGGCTTAGTTGCCGCTTTTTGGAAGAGGCAGGTTTAGACCGCTCGCCTTCCTCCTGCTGTTTAGTGCAGTGAGAGGACCCGGGTTCGATTCCCAGGCAGGGCGAAACCTTAGGTAAGTTTCCTTACTCCACACGCCTCTGTTTACCTCGCAGCAAGAAGGAACCCGGTTGTTAGTCAATTGGCAGATCGCTTTCCAGGGGTAATAATCTCGGCCTTAAAAAAAATTCAATCAGTGACTGTTTTCGGGACACTGCTGTGTGCAATTAGCTGCTGCGCTTCGTCCACAAAATCCACAGTCAATCCACTTTGCAATACGTTCTGTGAAGCACTTTGAGACGTCTCAATGACATGATAAGACGCTATATCAAATGCAAGGATTAGTATTATTATTCTTTCCAATAAAAGATAGTTTTTATACAATTCACAGTGCTGGGTATGAACTGGTCAGTGGCATTAGCTCAAAGCACCCCAGGTTCAGAAGGCTCCCCATTGAGCAGATGGACAATGTTCGGGGTTCACATGGCTCTAGGTGCAGTCACATCCTGATAGCCCTGGTCTTAGTTTTATCCCTGTCCCTCAATGAGTCTTATTGGGGAACAAAGCCTGGATCAGGCGCCGCTCCTGCCTAAAGCAGGGAACGAGGGAGGGAAGAGACCAGTGGCGATCAGCAGGGAAAAGTGATTCATATTCAGTCAATGCCAGCACACCGTACAGTCACTACACTTTATAGTAACTCCTGTAAGGGACTTTGAGGTGTGCCAGGCACTCTATCGAATACAATCATTGTGATTATTACTGTCTGTTCCAGTCTTTGACCATAGATAACTCTTTCCCTTTCAGGTGCTGGGACCCAAACCCGACCTGCCTGACGGAACCAGTGACACCCAAGCGGATACGAGCAACAGAAAACTGGCCAAACTGTACAAGGTATCACCATCAGCTTTACTCTCCTAACAGTGCGGTAACTAGAACTCTGCCCTTCAAATCCCTGAATTGGTGCCAATTTCAAATGTTCCTCTCAAGTCTTGCCCAGGTAACTTAGAGAGTGGCTGTGTTGACGTGAGTTAGACATGAAGGGAACAACCCATTTATGCCTCAAAACTATTTTTCAAAGCAGATGTAAGGCTATGTAATCCTGGGAGATGCTAATCACAGGTGAGGTGGATCTACCTGGTAGTGGCCACAGGTGTGGTTCCACCCAGGTTCTCCCTGAGGTGCGATTAGTTGAGTAATTGTAACATGGGTGCACTGGAGATATTCCTAATTATGATGATCCACACCTAGGGTTTAGAAGCCCCACACCTTGTGCACGGTGACATAAGACACAGATGTAGGCCACTGGCATCCATTTGATTGAGATCATTTTCAAGCACTCTCCCGAATTTTATATCTTTCTCCTATCTTTCTTTTTCCCCCCCACCAATCCCCTTCGCTATCAAAAATCTATCCAATTTCCAATTGAAACAGCTGACAGTTACCTGCCTCTATTGCACCTCTCCGGGCAAACATTCCCCCACACCCCCACCTGTCCACCATCCTCTTCGCAGCACAAGTAGTTGATTCAAGGCTCTTTGTTTTATTATCCTGCTTGTCCCTCGTCCCCAAACGCGCCACCATCGGCAGCCGCACTTCGAGCTGCTACGCTCCAAAACTCTGGAATTCTCTCCCTCATCCGCCTTACTCCTCCATCCTTCCCCATGCTGACGGTCACCTCCTCCCTCCCCTGTCTTGGTGTCAGCCTCTGCTAATCTCAAGCGCTCCGAGACTCTGCCTCACCTGAAGGGCGCTATAAAAAGCAAGTTGTTTTTCTGCAGCTGAGTCTCTATACACCCCACCCACCCCCACCCCAAGTTGAGAACATAAACCGTGGTATATCGGGAGACAATGGAATGAATTCTGTATACAGTTTAGGAGTGACGTGCCCGTGTTGGTGGGAAGGATCGCGATGGCACAATCTTCACGCTTCTCTCCAGCTCTCCACCGCCGCCCCCCACCCTGACGATCCCAACCCCCAGCTCAGGTCCAAATCCCTGACTCTCCAGCGCCTTGGGACGTCTGTCCTCCCGACGTGAAAGGCGCTGTTTAAGTGTAATCTGTTGTTGTTGTTCTCAGGTATCCAACGCCTCTGGTAGCATCGAGACGACTGTCGTAGCTGAACAGAACCCGTTCCGCCAGGATCTGCTGGAGTCCGGGGACTGCTTCATCCTCGACCACGGCTCCAACGGAAAGATCTTCGTGTGGAAAGGTCGGGAGAGGCCACCAAATCGATTGGGTGTTGTGTGTGTGTTTTTTAAAAGAAATGTTAAGGAACTTAATAATAATTCTTGCATTTGATGCATATTTTTAAAAAAAAGGAAAAATGTCGAGGGCTATGAGGTAAGAACGAGGGAGTGGGACCAGTTGGGTAGCTCTGTCAAAGAGTTGGCACAGGCACGATAGGCCGAATGGCCTCTTTCTGTGCTGTGAAATTCTATGAAATCCGTAGCAGGAAGATGGTGGGGGTGAGAGCTTCACGAGGGATGAGACAAAATGGGCTGAAGGGGCCTTCATCCACCCAGCTTTTGTGTCGGAGAACATGACCCTCATTGGGGAGGGTGGGGTTGGGGTCTCTGCTACACTCGGTCCTAACCAGATTTCAAGCGCAAAGAGTCTGAACCTGTTTTCTCTTGGAATATCCAGGCAAAGACGCCAACAAGGAGGAACGCAAGGCGGCCCTGAAAAGCGCTGAAGCCTTCATTGGCCAAATGAACTATCCCAAACACACCCAGGTAAGTCAGACACCAACCTGGTTATAGTAATAATAATAATAATAATCCTTGCATTTGATATAGCGCCTTATCATGTCGTTGAGACGTCTCAAAGCGCTTTGTGGAATATACTGTAAAGCGGAGTGACTGTGTAGTTTGTGGGAGAAACGCGACAGCCAATTGCGCACAGAGTTCGTGGACTGAGGGACCGAATTGACATTGGCTGTTGGCATCCGACTCGATGTGTGGAGCTATGGAGGGGAACGATGGCCCGCAAAGTGCGGTCAAAGAGGTGACTATCATTGTAAAAGCTGGAATTGGCAGTTCAGACTGTCAGTCTGTTGGGACCCCATCATTGACTCTTGGAATCCTTCATTGATAAGATTTCAGGCATTTGTAAAATCCCGAGAGCCTGTAAAGCATGTCTTTGCTGGAGACGTTTTGCAACAGAAACGGCCATATTGCGCTCGCCGTTCTCCTTGAGCATTTGCGGTCTTGTTTCTCCTCCAGGTTCAGATCCTCCCTCAGACCGGGGAGACCCCGCTGTTCAAGCAGTTCTTCAAGAACTGGGTGGACCCGGACCAGACCCAGGGGATGGGGGTCGGCTACGTCACCGGGAGCATCGCCAAAATCGAGAAGGTGCCCTTCGACGCCTCGGTGCTGCACGAGTCCTCTGCCATGGCTGCCCAGCACGGCATGGTGGACAACGGATCTGGAGAGAAACAGGTCAGCCTCTGAGAGGGTCAGTGGTGGGGAGGGGGGAGATGGTGGTGGGAGGAGACAACAAACTGAATGAAAAGGGCAGGGAGCTCCCAGTTTGGGGGTTGGCGGAGGGTAGAGGTGGAGGGCGCATTAGACAGGAGTGTCTGTCTTTCCTGTTGTCGGGTCTCAACCCTAATTCTGCCTTTGACTTCGGGGGAAGTGGGTGGGGGGGTTGCTGGGGTGGGGGGAGGAGAGAAACTGGGTGGAATGTTTCTCTTGTGGAGGGGAAGAAAAAGAAATGTCATCTTTTGAAACCGTTTTCAGATCTGGCGGATCGAAGGCGGTGAGAAGGTGCCTGTGGACCCCAGTCTGTACGGGCAGTTCTACGGAGGAGACAGCTACATAATTCAGTACACGTACACCTTCTCCGGGAGACAGGGCCAAATCATATACAACTGGTAAGTCGAGAGAAAGAGAGTTCATTGAAATTCGGTGTGTCTCCCTGTGGATAATAATAATAATCCTTGCATTTGGTATAGTGCCTTATCACGTCGTTCAGACGTCTCAAAGCGCTTCACAGAATATACTGTAATTGACTGGATAATGTGTGGGCGAAACGCGGCAGCCAATTGCGCACAGCAGCGTCCCACAAACAGTGGTGAATTGAGTGACCAAATTATTATGATTTTATTTTTTTTGAAGGGATTAGTATCCCCGGAAAACCGAGTTGGGGATGGGGAGTGAAGGGGTAAAGAGTTGGTCGCTGGTCAGTGTGTCTCTTACGTTTCAGGCAAGGCAAAGATTCGTCGCAGGATGAAATCGGAACCGCTGCCATACTGACCGTTCAGCTGGACGACGAGCTCGGTGGTGGCCCCGTGCAGGTAATGGTCGATCGTGATCCCCGAGGTGATGACCGTGACCGGGAAATAAGCCGTCGCCTCCTCCGTCCCACCGACCCGCCTTCTGGCCAACGTCCAAACAAATCTCTTGCTTTTCCCACTTGATCGGAATGTTTGCCTGATAGCTTCCTGGTTCCTTTCTGGAATCTGACTGTGAGCCTATTACAATAATAATCGGAATGAATGAGTATTAATAATCATAATTAATAATAATGAATAATAATTCATCCTGAATAGCAATAATTAAGAGTAACTAATAGCAATAATTAAGAATAATGTTATGCAGTGTCTTTTTGCTTCAACATCAATGCCCTTCGATATGCACTGTAAAGATATACTGTAAAGGGGTGTGACTGTGTATTCACTGAGAGGTTGCGCAAGGCCATGAACCGCCAACGGCCATCAGGTTATCTGATCACTTGCTAAATCCCTACAGGTGCCTGGCCGCCGCAGTATTGTTAACCAGGTACCAGTGACTGTGTCCCCATCAGCCTGTCTGTTTTGAGTGCAGCCTGACACAGTAACCCCTCTGGTTTTTTTTTGCATTTCGTGGCAAGCCATGGTGCATGCTGAGCTCCCCTAACATCAACAAAACCAATACATGACACTTACACAGCGCTTTTCATGTCAGGAGGACGTCCCAAGACGCTGGACAGTCAGGGATCCACACACGAGCTGGTGGTTGGGATCAGGAGGGGTGGAGGGTGACCAGCAAGCCCAGGGGTGGGACAATCCTGTACACCACTGTACTGTGGGACGTTACCAGAGTTGTGCAGGCTGGAAAGCATGGGGTTTGTGTGCTACTGATTCGGCCTGAGTTTGATCCTAATACTGCTTACACTTATTATTATAATAATAATAATCCTTGCATTGATATAGTGCCTTGTCACATCATTGAGTCGCCTCAAATTGACTTTGTGTTTTGTGAATGAAACGCGGTAGCCAATTGTGCACAGCGATGTCGCTGATGGAATCACCAAATTATTATTATTAATAACCTGCCGGTCAATGGGATCAAATGCCCACTTAACATCAGACAGCTGCCTCATGTACGTGTGGATTAACACTGTGTTGTGTGGTGTGGCGCGTGTAGTGTGTTTGGGGCTCTCCTGCCTGGTGTCTTGACCAGCCCCGAGGGTAGGGACAGGTGCACTTCTACACCACTCTCTGCCGGTCGACCATCGCTCCCATCTCCTGCCAGAGTGCGATGATGGGTGGTGGTGATGGTCTTGGTGTTTTGCTGTCTCAGGTGCGTGTGGTGCAGGGCAAGGAGCCGGCTCACCTGATGAGCCTGTTTGAAGGGAAGCCCATGATCATTCACCAAGGTGGCACGTCGCGAGAGGGCGGCCAGACTGACGCTCCGGACACTCGCTTGTTCCAAGTGCGAGCCAGCAGCGCAGGTTCCACCCGGGCCGTGGAGGTGAGTAATTATTATTAATAATAATAATTAATAATAACAATAATTAATAATAATCCTCGCATTTGATCTAGCACCTCATCATAACGTCGAGACGTCTCAAAGCGCTTCACAGGATAAACTGTAAAGTGTAGCGACTGTATATTTTGTGGGCGAAAAGCAGCTGCCAATTGCACACAGCAGCGTCCCCAAAACAGCCGTGGATTGAGTGACCATAATAATATTATTATTATTATTGGTGGACGGGGGAGGGGGGAAGGATTATTAACCCGGAAAGCAATCCGGCAATCGACCGACAACTGGGTTCCTGCTTACAGCCGGGTAAACAGAAGCGTGCTGAGTAAGGAAACTTGGCTAAGGTTTTGCCCCATCAGGTTACGCGAACTCGGGTCCTCCCTCTCTCTCGCGAGGCGAGCTCTCCAACTACTTATACACGACGGGCTATTCTGAGCGACGTTCAGTGAACCCTTCCCCGAGTGAGGGGGCTCCCGGGATTTCGGGTGCATTTGACGACAGCGACTTGCATTTATATTAGCGGCGGGGAAACGTCCCCCAGCATTTAGCAGTGGCCTTTGCCTGTTAAGTGCCTTCAGGCTTGTGGAGCAGTACCTGTGTGTTTCCACTAGGTGTCGCTGGTGTCCACCTTCGGAGCGTGCTGATGAGTTGCCACATTTGCCTTAAGATACAACACAATGTACGATGGCATTTGCACAGCGCCTTTCGCGTCGGGAGGACGTCTCAAGGCCCTGGATGGTCAGGGACTTGGACCCGAGCCAGGAATTTGGGGCCGGGAGGGGTGGAGGGCAGGGAGGGTAGGGTAGGGGTAAGAGGGTTGGCCGAAGGTGGGTTCGAAGAAGGGGGGGTTCTCGAGACTTGCTTTGGAACATAATAATCCTTGCATTTGATGATGGAAAATTTAGCCCCGAGTTTGGGTTTTAATGCAAAGAGATTCCACCACGTGCTGCTTTACCTGTTTTTGTTTTTTATCCTCGTTCCCCCCCCCCCCCCCACCCCGCCCCCAGATTGATGCCGTCGCCTCCAACCTGAACTCAAACGATGCCTTTGTCCTAAAAACTCCCGATTGCTGCTTCCTGTGGGTCGGGCAGGGGGCCAACGACACAGAGAAACAAGGGGCTCAGCAGCTGCTGGAGATACTGGGGCTCAGCGGCTCCGAGATAGCGGAGGGTGGCGAGACAGGTGAGTGGCGCACGGGTTCCCTCCACGGCCTTACTCCTCCCTACCTCTGTGACCTCCTAACCCCCTAACAACCTGTCCACTCCCTTCCCTCACGGGCTCCAGCCTGCTTCACGTGCCCCACCCCACCGCTGGCGGGCCGGCCTTCAGCCTCTCTGCCCCCACCCTCTGGAACTCCATCCCACAGTCCCTCCACCTTGCCCCCTCCCTTCCCTCCTTCAACACCCAACAAAATTACATTTGTACAGTGCCTTTCACGTCCGGAGGAAGTCCCGAGCCCCTCCGCTTCGATTATCCCTTCGGTCACCCTCCTACCCCTACCCTCCTCGCCCTCTACCCCTCCTGATCCCAACCACCAGCTCTGGTACAGATCCCTGACTGTCCAGCGCCTTGGGATGTCCTCCTGACGCTGCTGCTATTTGGTCTGAAGGCTCGTTCGCGCTAGGGGCTGCTCAGCGTCCAAAGCCAATGCAAGTGTTGGGGGAACCCAGTCAGTCACCGTTTTGTGTGCTCTTGATCCATACTTGTAAGTTACCGTTGAAGTCCAGGCTTTCTGCCCCGACTGCTGATGTTTTTAAGGGAGAATTGGGAGGACGGTCTAGTTTCACCCCCCCCCCCCACCCAAACTCCCTCCCCCGCCCCCACCGAGTCCAATCAGACAGGTTTTGGAATAGTTCCTACCGGGTGTGGTATTGGGGAACTTAAAGGAGGTGGGGGGGAGGGAGAGGAAAGCGAGGGTAGAGTTCCACATCTGCTCCAGTGCATGATGTCAATGAGCTCTAGATAATGAGGACTTGTCCCCACTTCCCTCTCCTGCCTCTGAGATTCCCAGCTGCAGCCTCTTGCTCTCCATCTCCTTCCTGTGACAGCTCCAGGGGTCATTTCTTCCCACCCCACCCTGGCAGTGGATCATTTGTGCTTTACCCTGCTCTCTCTCTCTCTCGCTCGCAGATGACTTCTGGAATGTTCTGGGCGGGAAAGCTGACTATCGCACCTCTCGGAGGCTGAAGAACAAGATGGACACTCACCCTCCACGTCTCTTTGCCTGTTCCAACAAGATCGGCCGATTCACTGTGAGTCTGACCTCCTTGAACCATATAATAATAATACAAAAAAAAGTTGGTCAGAATCCAGCAGTTACCCCCCAACGCCCACTCTGGGCTCCTCCCCACCCCCCAAGCCTTGGCACTCGCCAACTGTGTCTAATACTCTCCAGAACTAGGTAAGCAGGTTGTGTCCCTCCGGAGAGAGAGAGAAAGAGAGATAGAGAGAGAGATAGAGAGCGCATTCCATTCCAACACTCTATCTTTGGGAGGGAAATCTCAGCTTGGTTTGGAGATTCTTAAGCATGGTTGTATTTCTGCATGTGTCAGACACCCGGCTGACCCCCCAAAATACATCATTTAATATTAATCCTTGTCTTTGATTCAGTGCCTTATCGTGTCGTCGCGACGTCTCAAATCGCTTCGTAGGATACTTATTCCTGTGTAGTGTAGTGACTGTTTTTATAGGCGAACTTGGCGCACAGTATAATCTTTAAAATGTAATTTTTAACCTCCTTTCCCTACTCAAAATGTCTTCCCCCAGATTGAGGAGGTGCCCGGCGACCTGACCCAGGATGATCTCGCCACCGATGATGTGATGCTTCTTGATACCTGGGACCAGGTGAGATCTCCCTCACCCGCCACCCACCCCATGTTGACTTTACTATACACCACACTGGGAGGGACGGGTGGCTTAGAGCAATGGTAAATGGGGAGGGAAAACCAAGGGTGGGTAGTGATTCATCAATCTGTGCCTTTCACGTCAGGAGGAAGGAAGTCATCACAAAGCGCTTCACAGGCTTTTCTGTTGGGTGGTGAAGTGTAGTAACTGTTTGTTTTTGACGGAGAATGCAGCAACCAGTTTACACACAGTAATATCCCACATTTGTAGTAATAATAATAATCCTTGCGCTTGATATAGCACCTTATCACGTCGTTGAGACGTCTCAAAGCGCTTCACAGGATACACTGTAAAGTGGATTGACTGTATATTTTGTGGGAGAAATGTACCTCCAGCATCTCAGCGCTCCACACCTCAACGAGGAACCTGAGTGGCAAAGTACAAGAGAGAATTCAAGAGTTCCGCTGACTTCCATCTCATTTCAGGTCTTTATCTGGGTTGGGAACGATGCGCAGGAGGAGGAAAAGGCGGAGGCGGCCACTTCTGGTAAGAGTCTGGATCGGTCGGCTTGAGTTTAACTGGTTTAGCTTTGACGCTTTCGACCCGTGTCTCCCTACCATCGGCGGTCGGGCCTTCAGCCTCTCTGCCCCCACCCTTTGGAACTCCATCCCACACGGTCCCTCTGCCTCGCCCCTCCCTTGCCTCCTTCAAGACCCGTCTCAAGACCCTTATCTTCGACCGCGCCTTCGGTCACCCACCTGCACTCGCTGTCCTCCACCCTTCCTGATCCCTGACCGTCCAGCGCCTTGGGACGTCCTCCTGACATGAAAGGCGTTGTACAAATGTAATTGGTGGTTGGCACTAACCCACCCACTCCCTGACCCAGGGCCCGAGGCTGTGAGATGCTTTTTTTTTAAAAAAAAATCTGCACTCGCCCAGCGATCGGGTCGACAATGGAGTTTCATCATTAAAGATCCCTGTCTGACCAAAGCTATTTCAGGGCCGTGTGTGGTGTAATATCTGACCATGAGGTGGGGAAACAGTGAGAGAGGTGTGGGATCAACAGGTTTGTTCACACCTGGTGCTCTCCGCAGTGGGGTGGGGAAGGAGAGAGAGAAGCAGAGATGGCAACACAGCAGGATGAGGAGTTGGGAGCCGGCGACTGAGCAGAGACTTGGGAGCAGGTGTTTGGTGCCAATTGACCTCGGTATTAAAGAGGCAATTTGGTAACTTTTTCTCTCTCATCGCTCAATCCGCAGCTAAAAGATACATCGAGACCGATCCTGCTAACCGGGACAGCAGAACACCCGTTGTGGCCATTAAGCAGGGCTTTGAGCCGCCCACATTCACGGGCTGGTTCCTGGGCTGGGACTACGACTACTGGAGTGTTGACCCGCTGCAGAGGGCCCTGGCTGAACTGGAGATGTAGGCGATCGCTTTCTGCCAACATCAGCACTTTTTGAATATGTTTTTGAGGGGTTGGGTGAGGGCGGGGGCGGAGGGGGGTGGTGGTGAACTCTGACCAGCGCCTCCCTACCCTACCACTGTAGCTGTGCAATAGAACTTGACTCTGCCACTGGCCATATACTCTGTGCTTCCACAAAGCTTTCTGTAATAAAGGTTGACATCCTAAAGCTGAATCTTTAGTCTGGTTCAGTTTTACTTGCCTTTTTTTGTGTGTGTGTGTCTGTATGTGGGTGTGTGCACCTCTGTGTGTGCGTGTGTGTGTGTGTGTGTGCGCACTCTTCACCAGGGGTACAGTTGAGGTTCATCTTTGCACCGAAATGTAAATGTATCCTGAAATGTTAAACCGAGGTGCCATCTGCCTGTTCAGGTGAAGGTTGAAGATCATGTGGTACTATTCACATTCAAGGGACTTTCTCTCTCTCTCTTTCTCTCTCTCACTCAGTGTCCTGGCCAGCAATCCCCGAGATAAAATCGGTCACGCACACCATGGCTGTTTGGTGGGATATTTCTGTGCACAAACTGGCTGCTGCATTTCGCCCACAAAATACACAGTCACTTTGGAGTATACGCTGTGAAGCGCTTTGAGACGTCTCAATGACGTGATAAGGTGCTGTTGTTAGGCGGTGGGTGGGTGGGGGACGTTTCTGGGAATCTCTGAACGCTCCCAGGGACCACTCTGCTGTCTGAACTCAGCTGCCCAGCCCTGTACTGTCTTGAGTTTGCTGCGTTGCACAGTCCTGAGTTTCTTGTAAACAAGTGAGCAGCTGATGGAAAATTCCTATCTTGGGAGGAAATACCAACAGCAGAGCAGCCCTCCAGGTCTCGGCTCTGTACTGTACTCTTTCGAATCTGAAAGGGGTTTCAGAGGGACGGGTGTTTCCTGGAGAATAATTAATTTTAATGGCTGCACGTTTCAGGCTTAATTGGTTGCAGGATTTTTTCCGTTTTAACGATAACTCACGAGATACACAAAGGTGGGGGGGTGGGGGTGAGATTTCCCTGGGGCGCTGTGGTAGCAAAGTGCTCCCTCTCCCGGATGAAACCACCCCTTGACACAGACATTCCCAATCCCAGGCTCTCACTGAGAAATCCCCCCCCCCCTCCCCCACCATATATATATGGAATATATCTACACACCACATGATTCATCAAAATACACTGTCAATTTGTTTTACAGTATATTCTGTGAAGCACTTTGGTTTTGAAGATGTGATAAGGTGCTATATCAAATGCAAAGGCTATCATTATTATATATAGTTTTACACCTCTGGAACTCTCTCCCGAACCCACTTTGCTTGTTCCTTCACTCGCTTGAAGTCTTTCTGGCTTTTTTTCGACTGCATTCAATTCTCCGACCTCGTGACATGTACGATGCATTTCCCAAGGACGTCACGAACACGGGGCCTGTCCTGCCTGTACCTTCAGCTCAATTAATATAATAATGATATTCCTGGCATTTAATATAGCGCCTGATCACATTGCCAAGACGTCTCAAAACACTTCACAGAATATATTAAAATGTTGATTGGCTGTATATTTTGTGGCCGAAACGCCACACATCAAAACTCAAGTGTCTAGACTTCTTCGCCTAAAAATTTAAAACATCCACTTGGCTGTATCGTCCTCTCCCCCCCCCCATGTCCCCTTCCTACCCCCAACCCCCCATGTCTCATTCCTTCCTCCACCCCCATGTCCCCTTCCTCACCCCTCCTCATGTCCCCTTCCTCACCCCACCCCCCTCCCAATGTCCCCTTCCAACACAACCAGACTATGCACACTGCCTTCTCCCACCCCCCCCCCCCTCCTCCACGGCTCCTGCCATTCCCCCCTTCTTGCACTCCTTTGCCCCCATTTCTCCCTCCTCACTCTCAACCACAATCATCCGGATGAAGTTCACCACCTGCTGCCTCGACCCCCTCCCCACCCAGCTGCTGGTCACTCAACTCCCCCTTCTCTCCCCCGTGCTGGCCGACACGTTCAACCAGTCTCTCTCCTTAGACCCTGTTCCATTCCCCCTGAAAACTGTTGCTATCACACCCCTCCTCAAAAAACCCACCCTTGATCCCTCTAACCTCTCACACTACCGTCCCATCTCCAACCTACCCTTTCTTGCCAAAGTCTTGGAATGCATTGTTGCAGATCAACTTCAGTGTCACATCTCCCTCCAATCCCTCCTCGAGCCCCCGCAGTCTGGTTTTCGCCCTGACTGCCCACAGCACAGAGACAGCGCTTGTCAAAGTCACAAACGACATTCTCTCTATCTGTGACCAAGGCTCCCTCTGCCTCCTCGTCCTCCTGGATCTCTCTGCCGCGTTCAACGGTCGACCACGCCATCCTCCATCGGCTCTCCTCTCTCATCTACCTCAGTGGGACTGCACTTGCATAGTTCGAGTCCTACTTAACCAACCGCCTCCATTTCATCTCAACAAATGGTTTCTCCTCCTGCAGCCGCCTGGTCATCCGTGGGGTAGCCCAGGGCTCCATCCCTTGCCCTCTTCTTTTCCTTATCTATACGCTCCCTCTGCGTGATGTCATCCGCAGACACGGGACAAACTTCCACATGGATGCGGATGACACACAAATCTACTTTGCCTCCTCCAGCACCAACTCCAGGTTCACCAATGTTCTATCAGCTTGTCTGGTAGACATCAAGACCTGGATGAGTGTAAACTTCCTCCAGCTGGATATGGACAAGACAGAAACCTTACTCCTTGGATCTAGGCAACGTTACTGCTAGGTAAACAGAGGCTTGTGCAGAAAGAAAACGTGCCTAAAGTTTTGCCCTGCCCGGGAACTAAACCCGGGTACTCTCGCCTGCGAGGTGAGCGTGTTAACCACCATGCTATGGGACCCAGTCAGAAGGGAGAAACAGACAAAAGAGCAGAAGCAAGCACTCCCTGGCTGGGCTGCCTCTGAAATGAACAGAGCGCCTTTAAAACAAGCTGCGCATAGTCAGGAAAATCGAAAACGTGAGCAGGAATATTGACGCAAGCCGCACAGTGCCGGGCACAAAGTAAATCTATAATCCTCCAGGCAGCGAGTTTCCAATCTGGACAGAGCTCTCATGGATCAGTGTTGAGTGGCGGTTAAGTATTCTAACCACCTGGGGTAGAAAGATAATTAGAAAAGGAGTCAGCACAGACTGTGGCACTGTATGGGGTCTGGTTTGTCTAACCTACCCCACCGCCCAGCCAACTGAACCACAGGCTGCAATTTGTACTGTCCCAGAGCATGCCAATAAATGAAGCATGAGGCCTCGGAGATTGAGGATTTAAAGCGATTAATTGCGTATGTGTCGTACAGACACCGGCTGTCCGCACCCCAAAATATTTAAGAACGCATGTTTTTTGCTCCGCTGCAAACAGTGAGCCCAAAGTTCTTTTGCCGGCGATCTGATCATAGGAGGAATGGAGGAGTTTATTTGCTGTGTGAGGGACCGGCACTGAGAGAAGTTTTCATAGATTCATAGAATGTTACGGCACAGAAGGAAGCCATTCGGCCCATCAAGTCTGTGCCGGCTCTTTGACAGAGCAAGTCACTTTCACTAACCCCAATCACCAGGTTTCTCCCCATAACCCTGCAAACCCGTCCTCCCCAGATACCTATCCAGTTCTCTCTTAAAAGCTGTTATCAAATCGGACTTCACTGCCCTTTCAGGCAGATCATTCCAAATTCGAACTCGCTGAGTGAAAAAGTTTCTTCTAACCTCCCCTCTGCTTCTTTTGGTAGATATCTTTGGTAGACACACCTACCAGCGGAAACAGCTTTTCCCTATGTCGCCTATCGAAACCTTTCATGATCTTGAAGACCTCTATCGGGTCCCCGCTTAACCTTCTCTGCTCTGATGAGAAAAGTCCTAACTTTTCCAGCCTGTCCTCATAGCTAAGGTTCCCCATTCCTGGTATCATTCTCGTGAATCTCTTCGGCACCCTTTCCAGTGCCTCAAAATCCTTCCTAAGAACCGGAAGCAGTACTCCAGCTGAGGCCTAACCAGTGTTTTGTATAGATTAACCATAACCTCCCTGCTCTTATACTCTATGTCCCTACTAATAATAATATAATAATCCTTGCATTTGATATAGCGCTTTTCACGTCGGGAGGACGTCCCAAAGCGCTTCACAGAACACACTGTAAAGTGAACTGACTGTATATTTGTGGGTGAACGCGTATATTTGTGTACTGAGCTCTAATAAAGCTCAGTACACCAAATGCCTTTTTTCCTGCCCTATCTACCTGCCCCACTACCTTTAATGATTCGCTTACTTGAATGCCCTCTGTTAATTGAGCTACCAAGTCTATATAGCCTCCTATCATTTTTCCTACCTAAGTGTATCACCTCACACTTATCCACATTGAAATCCATCTGCCACATGTCAGCCCATTCCACCATTCTGTGTATGTCTGCTTGCAGTTGGTTACAGTCCTCCTCACTATTTACTACCCTACCTAACTTTGTATCATCTGCAAACTTGGAAATAGTGCTCTCTATGCCCAAGTCCAGATCATTAATATATATTAGAAAGAGCAGTGGTCCCAATACCGATCCCTGGGGGACACCGCTGCACACCTCCTTCCATTTCGAGAAACACCCATTAACCACCACCCTCTGCTCTCTGTCACTCAGCCAGTTCCTAATCCAAACTGCCACTGTCCCCTTAATACCGTGGGCCTCTAATTTTTTATTAATCTCTTATGCGGTACTGTGTCAAAAGCCTTTTTGAAATCCATGTAAATAACGTCCACCGCATTTCCCTCATCAACCCTCGCAGTCACCTCTTCAAAAAATTCTATTAGATTTGTTAGGCAAGATTTGCCTTTAACAAATCCATGTTGGGTGTCTCTAATTACCTCGTGTTCCTCTAAGTAGAGATTTATTCTGTCCCGGATTATGGTCTCCAGTAGTTTTCCTATTACTGAAGTTAGGCTCACTGGCCTGTAATTTCCGGGTTTGTCTTTCTGCCCCTTTTTGTAGAGGGGGGTAACATTAGCCACTCTCCAGTCTCTTGGCACCACTCCTGTGTCCAAGTCCAATGAAGATTGAAATATAATGGCCAAATCCTCCGCTATTTGAATCCGTATCTCCCACAGCACCTTGGGTGAAACCCATCTGGTCCTGGTGACTTATCAATTTTGAGCCCAGTCAATCTTTTCAGAACTTCCTCTCTGTCTGTAGTAATCTGATCTATTTCCTCTACCCTGTCATCCAATACTGCGGCATTTGGGGCATCCATTTCCGTTGTGAGGAAAGATGCAAAGTACTCGTTCAGTACATCAGCTATGCCCTTTATTTCCACAACAAGATTGTCGTTATAATAATAATAATAAACCTTGCACTTGATATAGCGCTTTTCACGTCGGGAGGACGTCCCAAAGCGCTTCACAGAACACACTGTAAAGTGAATTGACTGTATATTTGTGGGCGAACGCGGCAGCCAATTGCGCACAGCAATGTCCCACAAACAGTCGTAGATTGAAAATGACCAATTTATTATTGTCTTTGGTTTTGGAGGGATTATTATTAGGCTCTGTGTGGAGTAAGGAAACTTGCCTAAGGTTTCACCCTCTGCCTGGAGTTGAACTCAGGTCTCTCACTTGCAAAGCGAGTGCTCTAACCACTGAGCTACAGGACTCCTGTATTGTCTTTGATTGGCCCCACCCTACCTTTAACTAACTTTTTTTCCTTTATGTGCTTGTAAAATATTTTAGAATTCACCTTTATTACCCGGTAACCTCTTCTCATGCGATCTTTTAGCCTGTCTTATCACTCTTTTAAGATCACTCCTGCATTCTCTATAATGCGCTTTGCTATCCTCAGTATCTTGCGCATTCCGATTGTCATACGCAGTCTTCTTCTTTTTCATCCTAGACAGAATATCCCTGGTCATCCAGGCCGGCTTGGTTGTCGCACATTTCCCTTTTGTGGGGATATATCTATTTAGACCTTGAGCTATCATATCTTTGAAGATCTCCCATTGCTCATGAGTCATTTTACCTGGTAGTCTTACGTGCCAGTCCACCAACTCTTGGTCCCTTTTTAGCCCATCAAAATTAGCCCTTTTCCAGTCCAGCATTTTCATCCGTGACTGTACTTTGTCCCTGTTCATGAGTAATCTAAAGAAAGTTTTCCTGTACACAGTTTATGAATCTTTCTCCTGCCTTGCCCTTAGCGCTGCTATGTTGCCAGTGTATTGTGTTGTGTTACTGAAACAGCAGCGAGTGGCGTCCGAGGTGCCCAGCCTCGCGCTGAACAGCTCGGTCGCTGGAAAGTCAGCGTACTCTTCTCACACCTGATTCCACAGCCCAAATCAGGATTAAGCAAAGCAAAAGGCCAAAACAGAAGCGTTCAAGTCAAAATTAGAATCAGAGTGTGAGGGGGTGGCAAAGAGGGAGAAACAATAATTTGCATTTATATAGCCCCTTTCACACAGGGATAATAACAAGCATATAACAAGGAAATATACTAATAATAATAATTGCATTTGATATACCTTCATATCATGTCGTTGAGATGTCTCAAAACGCATAGCAGAATATGTTGTAAAGTGAATTGACTGTGTATTTTGTAGGCGAAACAGCCATAACAGTAAATAGTTATCCGCGATCTTCACAGGAAAGGAGTTAATTTTCTAATTTCGTAGAAACAGGAAGCCATTCATTGTTTTTCCAGTTCAACCACTTGCATTTAATGTAACGCCCTTCACACAGAGCGCTTCACAGTGCCAGGGTCTGACGAGCCAGGGGAGCGATGATTGAGGGAGAGAAGTGGCTGAGTTCATCAGACTATAGCAGATCACTGAAACATAATTCCCTGCTTTTTCATGGTCCTCAATATCCTTATTTCCCATCCATCTCCATTTTAACAGCAGAGTAATCTACCTTTTCCCTTTAGAAACTAGATGGACTGTGTATTCTGTAAGCGAACGTGGCAGCCAATTTGCACACGTACAGCAATGGCACAGAAGGAAAGAACATTATAGAGACAAAAGTAAGGTTTGGGGTGAACAACGTTTATTTCAACGCATTACAAGCTACATTATAAAAGTCCCAATACAACAAAAAGATCACATTATTATTCAACATGCTTTCAAAAACAATGGTCAGCTGCAGCAACAAAGGCAAGAGGAAAGCAACCAGAAAGTGGTTATTGCTTGTATCGCAGAGATTTTAAATGTTACCGAATATACATTCACAAGGACTTGAGGAGAAACCAGATAAATATGGCATTAAATTGTAAGGCCTCAGAAACTCTGCCCTGGTCACAGATGTGATAATTGGGGAAATAGCCACGCAAACAGCCTCTCTTTTGAGTTAAGAGAATACTTGGAGCTCAGTCGCAGTTCAGCCCCATTCACGCAAAGGTTTTGAGGTGAGTTGACACAGATTGAAGAGTTAAGCCAGATATAACGGAGAGGGTGAATGGCATTTGAAGAGCAAAGCCTGAGTTAGTTAATCACCAATAGTCCCTTCATTGAACAGCTATTAAACAAAGACCCTTAGGCTGCATGTCTGGCCTATATTCTGTTTCACACACATCACGTGGACCACTTTATCACTCCAGCCATCGAGTGGCTTGTGCTTTTCTTACCTAACATAGAAATTTCCCTTCCATCAATCCGGCTTCACTCAACCCAGGCCCGCAGAGTCAAACAGCCCAACCACCACACACCCTTTCCCAATCCATGCATTTGATTGCCATTTGTATCAAAGAGCTTCTGTCTGTGTAACAGCTGAAAGGGACTTTCCAATATGAGTGCCTTTTTATTTTAATCAGAGACTAAAATAGGAGCACAACATTGCAGATCACTTTCCTTCCCAGTTACAACGAGCAGAGCAAGCTCCACACTCACAGCAGCCAGAGGAATTAACACACATCTCAAGCATCAGATGAGTAAATTATTCATGTGAAATGTTTCCTGATTTTTCTTTGATTTCTAGCATTCATTATCTAGGACAGCACATCAAGTCTGGATACAACACTACGATTTACCAAGAGACCTCGGAATTTGTACCTTGATTTGTAAATCAGAGGGATGAGGATATGCGTCAGCGTTCTAAGTTCAAGGTCTGCAGTGATTGCATTTACACTTTCCGAATCCACTTACACTTCAACAAACTTGGCAAGTTAAACCAACTATTCTGGCAAGTCAGTTGTGTGAATAATGTCGATATGCAGAGAATAGGCGAACAGGTTATCTGAGCATCTCTGAAGTACTTATACAGCAAACAATCCCTTCATTCCACAAGGACATGGGGACCACTGCCCTCAACAACAACTTGTATTTATAGAGCGCCCCTCATGCAGGGTAGAGCTTCAGTGCGCTTGTCGGGAGTGGGGGTGGAAGAAGAAGGTTTTCAGGAGTGACTTGAAAATGGGGTGGGAGGGAGCAAGGTGGAGGGATAGAGGAAGAATGTTCCAGAGTTTCTGGGCAGTCGCTGAAAACTCTCCTAACTTTCACCAAAGCATCTGTGAGGTGCATGGATTTTGCTCTCACACACACCACACGCTGAAGGAAAGTTGGGTGGAGTAAGCTCTCATCACTAAGTGATCAGCTTTAAAAAATAATAATTTAAAATCATAATGGCAGGGAGATGGTCCTAGTTTTGATCTACATTCCTTCACCCCTCCCCCTCCCCACACAAAATGTAACCTAAACACCTCAAGTGCATTGGGACGTCCTCCCGACATGAACGATGCTATATAAATGTAATTTGTTGGCATTGTTTGTTGTTGCTGAGAAGAAAAGCCGCGCAAGATTTTTTTAAAAAAGGAGTTACACAAAATAGAAGAGCCATTCATTCAATGGTCCATGGCACAGAGTGGGGAAGAGATACATGGATTTGGCTTTAGATTACAATCAGGACAGGCAGAGGAAAAGGCCATCTGTACTCACTGTGCTAACTAACTGAGCAGTTGGAATAGGCAGAGAGCACCATTGATGCACACTAGTGAATGACTAACAAGCAGTTCAGGCTGGCTAGAAAAATGCACATTTGTTTGCGCTGCAACTACATATAATCAGAAAGCAACGGGCAAACCAGCTCAGGTTTGCAATCACGCGCTTCACACTCACTTTGATTATTGCCAGAGACGCACACAGACCCACGCACGCACACACATAATATTGGAATCTAGTCATTCAAAAGAAAGACACTTACAAAAGTCAAGCATCAGTAGATGCGCGTCCCCTGAAGGCTCCGCCCGCTAATCTGCTACCCAAGTCAATTTTGCTTAATTTTATTACAATGCGAACAGATTAAAATAAAATATTCTAACAAAAGGTTTGTGATTTGGAACCTAATCACAGGTTAGCTATCCCTGCTATTTTCTGCTGAAGGCTTGTAAAATATCCATGGGCAGTGGGAACACAATGGTGGAGTTTTTCTCTGCTGCGATGGTGGTCAGAGTCTGCAGGTAGCGGAGCTGGAGGGCGGCTGGAGATTCGGAAATCACAATGGAAGCTTCCTTCAGAGCTCTGGAAGCGTTCATTTCTCCTTCGGCAGCAATCACCTGCAGCGACAGAGGGCAGAGGTGTAAACCCACAGCAATACTTTAGGATGTTCCAAGACACCTCCCTACCTCTCAAACATGTTCACACCCCCACTCCTCTACCTGTCCCCTTCGCTTGGTCAGCATATCCAACATCCCCTGCCCTGCACTCTCCACCATCACCGGTCGGGCCTTTAGCCTCTCTGCCCCACTACGCCTTGCAACTCTGTCCCAGACTTCCTCCACCTTGTTCCCTCCCTTGTCTTCATCAAGGCATGCCTCAAGACCGTCCTCTTCGACCGCACCTTCGATCACCCTCCTTACTACTCCCACCCTCCCTGTCCTCCACGCCACCTGATCCCAACCCCCTGTTCGGGTCCAAATTCCTGACTGTCCAGCGCCTTGGGACGTCCTCCCAACGTGAAAGGCTCTGTATAAACGTAATCTGTTGTTGATGATGTTGTCCCCTCCACTCCACCGTCGACAGCTGTGCTTTCAGGGGTCACTACCCTCTGGAACTCCCTGCCTCAATCCTGTGTCCGTTCCCCACTGGAGCTATCTCCACCCCCTGCTCTTTCTCGTACTCAAGGAATGCAGTGAAACACAAACAGCTGTTTAAAAATAACTTTCTGGGTTGTGTGAGTAAACTCTCTGATAGTTGCTTGGCTCGTTACCAACAACAATGGTTTCTGTTTGACACTCAAGTCGACTCATTAAAAACTGACAGTCTGCGCCACTAAATTAAAAGTTAAACCGCAGACTCCAAGCACAATGTATAGCTGCCCACACATTTACTGTAGAGACTAACGACACCCAAACCTACAAAGAACTTCCTGTTATTATTTGATTCTCAGACTAGTATCCTGTAAGATTACCCAAGGCCAAGCTTTAAGTAAATAGGTCACGTTAAAACTCATAACTGCCTGCTCTGCTAAGATAAATATTTCAATGAGCAGAAACTCATGTTGTTGACTAAAAAGCAGATACAATGTGTTATCAACATTTTAATCCTCTCCATACAGAGGTGGGGCCGATTGACAATTGCCTGCAGCGCGCATTAATGGAGGTTTACAGGCCTGAAGTTGATGAGGAATTACTGCAGATCCATCCCAGCACAAGCAATGTGTGTGCACTATCCTGAGATCCCTAGTGTCCTTCCGGCCTGGAGCCCTGCCATGACTCCCTTACACGCTACCTCAAATACAACAGCAAAAGACCTCAACTCTCCAGGACAAACAATTCATCGTTATTGAGTAGCTGCATATTTCTCAGGACACTATATACATATATATAGATATATAGAGCCTTATCATGTCTTTGAGATGTCACAAAGTGCTTCACAGAATATATTGTAAAATGAATTGACTGTATAAGTGACTGTATATATTAAATATTGCCAACCCTTAATGCTTTGGGTATTAATAGAGTAGACCGTCCGCCAACAGAGACATAGATAATTGATAGCCCTATTAATTAACCCCAAACCAAAGAGGTCGTCATCTTTTCAATTGGATGCTCTGGTCACCCCATAACAATACTGTACTCTCCCTAATTTGGAGAACACACAACTGCCACGCTCTTTCGAATGCAGGGACCCCAAATACCACACTCTCCCTAAACCAGAAGCACATTGGTACAATAAGCTGGGAGGATTTGCGAAGACTGCAATTTTTCAAATTCTGAAATTACCAACAATGTCATCAAATATAACTGACATGAAAACTAAACTCATCTGCCAATGATGCTGGTTATTGTCAAACCACTCATCTAATCGCAATTCAAACCTCAAGAACAACAGAGGGAAGCTACGTTGGAATGATCAATGCAGTACTATTTGGCCCAACTCAAATACTGGGCGCTCTCTCACTCAAGGACTGTTCCCTGTATCTGTCCACGGCTGGTTTTCTTACCTTAGCTCTGGCCTCTCGCGATGCCTCTGCCTCCGCAGCCATTGCTCTTGGAGCTGGATCGGTAGTTTCACATCCTTGATCTCCACACGCTGAACCTTGATTCCCCAGTCATCTGTTGCATCATCGAGAGTGCTCTGTAAGCAGGACAATACAGCAGGTTTACTGGGATGGAGTTGCAAGTTAGCAGTAACTGGGAGCATGATTCACTTTACAGTTTATTCTGTGAAGCGTTTTGAGATGTCTTGAAGACATGATAAGTCGCTATATCAAATGCAAGAATTATTAATGATAAACCTCACATTAGAGAAGGGTTTAGATGTCAAACATGGAACAAACAGAAGAAAGTAACAGGTTTATAATGCCGCTGAGGTCACAGATGTAAACACTGTTACAGATGTAGTTTTAAATGCGAGTATGGGATTCAATATAATCCCAATGGCACATCAGAGCCATTCAGGGCAAAAGAAACTGCTAATAGCCATCAGAATTCTGCACTGATACCATAAATCCCCCCACCTCCCCTTCACATTCCACCCCTCCCTGTACACCCAACCCCACGCTCCTTTGGGCCCTGGCTAACGAGAGCCTTTGACAGCGAGATACCAGGCCAGGCCACACCCACCTGCATGTTGTGTGCAATCTCCTCCCGGTCAGAAAGAATCTGTGCTAGGTTCTTGGTTCCCAGCACGTTCCGCAGGGTGGTCTGTGCCAGCAGCCGGGTGGCAGAGTCTGCATTGGTGATGTTGGCCACGGCCAGGATGGCGTTCTGCACCCGGTAATAAACCACTCCGTCCACGCTGACCGTCACCGAATCCTTGGTCAGGATCTGAATGGGACATCCACGGTATTAGAGAGATTCATTCCAAGGAACACCTGCCTCGCTTTACTGTGTCACTGCAAAGCCAAATGCTCTGAACTTACCTCTTGAGGTGGAATGTCGAAGGAGATGGTTCTCATGTCCACTTTAACAAAGGTGTCCGTGCAGGGCAACACGAAGAACATTCCTGGGAATAAGCAATAAAAAACAATGTGAGAAAATGCATCAGCCTGTAGCTGAGTCTCACCTCGGGGCCAAAATATTGTGGTTGAATCTTCGACTCACGGATTTTGTTAGCACTCCAGGAGGAGCATTGCATTGTCAGAGATTGCTATCCTTCACGTAAACAAGGTCCTGGTAGCCTGTTCAGGCGGATGTAAAAAAAATACCGTGACAGAGAAAAGCAACAGCTCGTTTCTCCCAGTGTCCTGGCCAACAGTCCCTCCAGATAAAAATGATCATTCACTTCACAGCTGTTATTGGAACAGTACTGTGCAGAAATTGGCTGCCGCATCTGCGTACGAAAAGGGTCACTACACTGAACAGTATTTACAGTATTAAACGATTTGATAAGCAAACAAAGGCAGGTTGATTTTAGCAAAATACAAGGGAAAATACTGAAAAAACACAGCCCTGTTAGATTCCTACCCAAAGATATAAGCAGATACAATCAATGCACTGAATTACTGCACAACCCTGGAGTGTTTCTGCATCCTACGCTTTGGCAAACCACAGTGCTTACACTTGCTCTCCTTGGTTAACAGTAATTTGAGCGCCATGAGCTTTGTCATACAAAACGTCCACTGCCTTTTAAGGTTATGGTATTTGACTATCAGCTTTAAACTGAACAAGAACAACAACATTTGCATAGCTCCTTTCACTTCGGGAGGATGTCCCAAGGCTGTACAGAGTACAGCATTTCAGACCCGAGCTGGGGTCAGAGGGGGGATAAAGGAGGGGAGGGGAAGGGACTGGCCGATGGCATGGTCGAAGAGGAGGGTCTTGAGTCAGGACTTGAAGAGGCTAAGGAGGAGGCGAGGCGGAGTTAATGGAGAATGAAATTCCAGAGGTTGGGGGCAGAGTGGCTGAAGGCTCTCCGCCAATGGTGGGGCGGGTGGGTCGGGGGACATGGAGCAGGCCTGAGCCGGCTGAGCGGAGGGAACGGGTGGGTTGGTAGGGGGTTAGGAGGTCGCAGAGGTAGGGTGGGGTGAGGCCATGGAGGGCTTTGTATGTGAGGACCAGGATCTTCAACTGGATCCTCTGAAGGATAGGGAGCCAATGGAGTTGGGCGAGAATGGGGGAGATGGGGTCATGGAGTTTGGTGCAGGAGAGGACACGGGCTGCAGAGTTCTGGATTATCTGCAGCCTGTGGAGGAAGGAGTTGGGAAGGCCGACAAACAGGGCGTTTGCATAGTCGAGCCTGGAGGTGATGAAGGCATGAACAAGAGTTTTAGCAGCCTGAGGGGTGAGGTAGTGGCAGAGTCTGGCAATGTTACGGAGGTGAGGGAAGGCAGAGCGGGTCATGGCTTGAATGTGGGGGAGAAAAGACAGTTGAGGATCGAACAAGGTTCCTGACTGGCTTGGTGACACATTTTACTAACTCTGGTAACTGTGATTTAGGGAATTGTTTACTTTTTGGTTCAGGGTTAAACCAAGCCTAACTTCAAGGTAATACTACATTTTCTCATTCATCGTTTATTGTTTAATCCTCTTCCTCCCAACTTGCATGCAAACGCTGATCACAATAAATGGACACCCAACCCGAGAGTTAAGCAGCATCTCTGTATTGTTGTACAGGTCTGGATGAAAATGACACCACGAGGATCTTATGAAACAAATTCATTAAATACGTTAGGTGAAAATGTCCAGCAGGATGCCTGCGAGGATCCAAAGCCGGAGAATGAGGTAATGCAATCTGGCATCAACACCATGAATGGGTTTTCCCAAAGGGGAGTTATCCAACCACACACACTCCGGAATCCAATCGGATTAGCAAGTGTTATCAGGGCTACAGCATCGGTCGGGCTGAAAAATCTACAATCAAAGTGCCTACAGTGAAGTCAGCTGCTGCAAAATATGACCAGGCTGTACAGCACAGAACAGAACCAAACACAAAGTGTCCCTCAGGGCATTGTGGAATCCTGTAGTTTAGTGGTTTGAGCAATCCCTCGCAAGCAATCCCTTTCTGGGTTTAACTCCCAAGCAGGACGGAATATTAAACAAGTTTCCTTACTCCACCCACCTCTCTAAGTAGGAACCCGGTTGTAAGTAGGATCGCTTTTCTGGGGGTAATAATCCCTTATAAAAAAAACTAATAATTTGGCACTCAAGCCACAACCATTTGTGGATTACTACTGTGCGCAATTGGCTACTGTGTTTTGCCCACAAAACATACAGTACATTCTGTGAAGGACTTTGAGATATCTCAAAGACGTGATGAGGCACTCTATCAAATGCAAGGATTATTATTTCAAGTCCCCGTCTGGCATTTCAATTGACAGGTTGCCATGGTCTGGGATATGTGATACCTCAACTAGATATTGACAGCTATCGAATTGCCTCCATTTATTTCCACTGCTATTTACTGCAGGAAGGTTTATAACATTGCATCTTGCTGATATCAGAAACAAGAGGGAAATGGACAACTGGAATGGGGTTTTCAGGAAGGGTGGTTGAAACCAGGTCAATGAACTCAGTTTTCTCAGAAATGGCACGATACCGTAATGGGAAGATGGTAGCGTGTGTTTTCTGGAAGAATGAGGTTAAATGGGCTGCATTGGCTTCTTTATCCAAACCGTCCAAGTTGTTGGATTTTGTCAAGCAAGAACGACTGGGGGGGGGGGAGGGAAGCAGACCCTCGGGTGATTGATTGGGAGAAACCTTGGGCACAGATCCCAATGTGGTTCCCTGCTTAGGTTGACTTGATGATCTCAATCCACTGCTTCCTGCTGGATCCAATAGAGTTTTGCGATGGGAAAAACCTGCATGAGGTGTAAAAGTGGCTCCAGTGGTTAGATATAGAACAGCGGCAGCCTGCGAGGGAATATTTTCTTACTGGTGGGAGGGTGGGAGGAGAAATCCCTGGAGCTGTAGTGGTGTTGTTCTTGGTGGAGGGAACGCAAAATAATTTTGTAAATGCGTCAGGATAAAGAACACAAGAATTACTTTAAATAACGTCAGAGCTGAAGATGATTGTTACCAGCCAAACTTGTTCTCTCCAAACTACAGAAAAGACAAGGCAAAAGAAGAAACTGCGAGCAGGCTCACCTGTATCACAGTGAATGAAGTTTGCTTCTCTCTGGAAGACAACCTTTTTTTTCCAAATGAACTGCAATCAGTCGCTCACTCGCCTGACCCCCCCCCCGCCCTCCACATTACTTACATTCACACACACACACACACACCTCACTCTTGGGACGGGGTTGTGGAGGAGGTTTCTAATTATAGCAATGTTATAAATCTTAATAACCTGCAGATCAATGAGGAAGATAAATATTTCCAGGGTGTTCACTTACTGTCCTTTTCACCAGAACAATAAAACATGACTCACACTCGTGGGCCTTTCGCACATGTGATACTTAGGAACGTTAGAGAGCATTCAACCTAACAAACCACTTTATTAAATCAAGGTGGATCTTCTAATCCCATTTCCCTGTCTTTTCTCCTTATTTCCAAGTATCCATCTGTCTCCCTTTCAAACATCCCAATTGATTCTGCCTCTACATCTTTCTTGCCTGCCTGTGTATGGAAATAATTCAACACCAACAAAAATTTGCCTTTCAAGTCAGGAGGAAATATCAAGACATTTCCATTCTTCATACATGTTGAAAGGTTTTCTGATCTCATTTCAAACTAGTTTAGCTTCAACTCCGGCAACTTGCAAATGCCTGGAGGTGTGCTTCTATTTAAAAAATGAAGTTTGTCTCTATCTGACCTGGGGATGGTAACATACCTTCCATACTTATTGGCGAGCACAATAGTTATCTTTCCTCCTCCCCCCATACCCCATACATATTTTCCTCTCATTAGATTAGATAACGAGAACCAGAATAGATTGGAATGGTTACCATAAAAATAGCAAATTCAGTACATCAATAAACATCACAATACAGTGGGCACTTTGTATTCACCAAGTTAACGTTTTAACTCCAGAGCTTGTTGTGTTAAATTGTCTAATAGTGCCTGCTTCCCTCGCCGAAACCCACAGTTAAAACCATTAATCTTCTGTTGGATTACAGGCACAAGTTAAAACTTCACCAGAATACAATATTCTGCAACTCAAAACCAAATCAGACACAATAATCTATTCCTTCCACATATAAAAAGTCGTTGAAAGCAGAATACATCAAGGGAGAAAGAGAGTAAGTTAAAGAATGTGCATGGTCAGAATAAGTGGCATCCAGCAAGTGAGAGGTGGATAAAGGCTGCCTTTTCAACCTGTTTTCATATGGCTTCCATCAGGTATTGGTGTCTCTTCAAACCGGGCTTAATTCAGAACATGCATAGAATAAGGGGAGAAAGAAAAAATACTGTATCTGTATGTATCCATTACAGAGAGCTAAGAGCTTCTGGATGGATAGATGCCTATTTGTTAGGTCAGGGTATTAAGGGATATGGGGCAAGGGCAGGTACCTACACTTGGGGTATAGATCAGCCGTGGTCTTATAGAATGGAGCAACAAGCTCGAGGGGCTGAATGCTCTCCTCCTGTTTCTATGACGGTCACAGTGTGCCCAGCAATGGTGAATTGGGGTCTTTCTCATTGTGGTGCGATGTTTCATTGTCATCCCCCACCCCCCGACTCAGTGTCAGGAAGCTATTGACACCTCAAGTGGCACTGCCAGTGGAAGAATCTCCTGACTCCTTGGTTGGGTCTTTGGTTGGAGCTCCTACTCTACGGTACTGTTTTTTTTAGATATAGATAATACGGCACCAGCTGCGCCTGTTATTTTTATGTCCTGCTCTGACGAGGCTCTTCTTGGGCTGTTGTGTTGTTAACAGACAAGTTCAGGCTTGCCAACGAATGAGAAAAACCTGAGGGTTTGACACAAAAACAAGTTCTTTTCCTGCAGAAATTCAATGCCAATCTGCACCCAAGTGCCCCTGGCGTTTCATTGCCATCACTTTGCCATCACTTCCTTCCTCCGCTCCCTTCAGGCAGGAGAGCGAGGACCAAATTGATCTCAAAACGATGCACAGACACCTCCTAGCCTAAAATTCATCAGCCAACATGCACACAGCAAAGTCCTGTAAACAGCCATTGAGTTGAAGACTAATTCTTTCTGGAATACCTCGTGCCTGAAGACCTTCCTCTTCAACCGTGCCTACGGTAACCTCCCCCCTCCGCCCGACTCGGTGTAGTGCTCCGAAACTGCCAAGCGCTCTGGGATGCTACCCTGCATGAGGCGCTCTATAAATATATATTGGAATGAAAAAATGGCCAGGATACGGGAAGAAACTGCCTTCTCTTTTCGTATAACGCCGTGCCAACTTTTCATCGAATCATTAATTTAGGCTTGTGATTCAAGGCAGCCACTTACTGCTATTTTCAAGAAGTAAGTGCTATCATTTTCTGTCACCACCCTCCTAACCCAAGTCTATCTGGAATTTCATAAGTTATAGATTGTCATCAGATTACTGTTTATGGGAAGCTACTGGTGAAGGAAGCTGATATAACAAAAATTTCATTTTATTTCTCAAACAATTTTATTGCATAAAGCACATCAAATCGAAACATTTGATTGATGCAAGAGGTGCTGGTATAAATGCAAACCATGGTTCTGGATTTCTGCCAAATCCCCCCCGCCCCCTTTTCTCTTTCTCTAGTCTGAAGGGCTAAAAAGTCATTCCAAATGTGAAGGCAACTCTAAAGGCATTGCCCCTGGAATTAACCACAGCAGCTGGCAAAAAATTACCACCTCACAATTAGCCATTGGGAGGAATCCTTACCCCATTAAACTCTACAGCCAAACTTGGAAACTCAAAAATGCACGAGGCAGTTTATGGAGTTCATCACATCAGGATCTGCACAAGTGTTGGATGCAAATAATGATAACAATAATCCTTGTATTTGATATAGCGCCTTATCACGACTTTGAGACGTCTCAAAGTGCTTCACGGAATATACTGTAAAGTGAATTGACTGTATGTTTTGTGGGCAAAACGCAGCAGCCAATTGCGCACAGCAGCGTCCAAAAACAGCCGTGGACTGAGTGATCAATTTTTTTTTAAAAAAGGGATTATTACACCCAGAAAACGATCTGCCAATCGATTAACAACCGGATTCCTAGTTACTGCTAAGTAAACAGAAGCATGTGAGTAAGAAAACTTACCCAATGTTTCTCCCAGCCCAGGTCTTCTCGCTTGCGAGTAAGTGCTCTAACCACTAAGCCACAGGACTATAGTGAAGGTGTAATATTGCTACAGCCTGATCAGTATCTCTGCAGCTACACTCAAACAATCTTTTCAAACTTCACACAAAGTGACCTCTCTGCCAGCCACACAATGTTTGACGCCCCCACTTTATTCAGAACGGAACTCGATTGCACAAGAAAGCAAAACCTTTTCCACCACCAGTTCATCTGCTGCTGCACATTGGCAGTGCTCAGGGATTGAGGCCAAGTGCTTATAATTCTGATGGTACACTACTGACCTGGTCCTTTGGCTCCCCCGGTAGGATGCGCCCCAGTCTGAAAATGATGGCACGCTCATACTCTTTCACAATCTGTAACAAACAATAAGACAACAAGACTTCTATTAGTTTTATGTTGCTCAGATCGGGTGACACAGCACTTGGCTCATCTACCTGTGAACCCCTGAATCCCAGACCAGGCTGAGAGAGAGAGAGAGAGAGATACTCTTCTCTCTTCCACCGGCTGCAGTGGTCTTGGGTGAAACGGGTTTGGGCAGGATTACAATGTAAAGTATCTCAGCCATGGTGAGGGGATTGGAGAGATTATTATTATTATTATTCACATGGTGTGGTAGGTGGCACTCTTTTGAGTTGGGAATTAGGGCAAAGGGGAGTGAGCTGCTCCTTGGAGGGCAAAATGAGAATGGGTTCCGTTCCCCAGCACGGACATTTTACGAGGAGAAAGGATCCAGTTTCCCTCAAGAGACCAAGTTCCACTGGAGTTTTGGAAGTTCAGTCATTCACAGCCGCAGACACAACTTGTACTACTCTTGCCAGACATAGCTGGCCAGCTCATTCCAGGCAACGGCGGAAGGCAACAAAAACGCTGTCTTCACCCCCCCCCCATGTCTTATGCAGAAGATTCTGTTGACAACTGCAAAAGTATTGAATGTGGAAGAAAAGAAGCCATTTTCTGGTCCCTTTGAACAGCTCATGTAATGGCCACAAGAGAAGGAAAGTGTTTTCTGAAGGCTAAATTTTGGGAATGGTTCCAAATCTCTTGGCACACAAATCTTGGTGTTGGCGTGTTTATAATACAATAATAATCCTTTCATTTGATACAGCGCCTTATCACGCCTCCGAAACGTCTCAAAGCACTTCACAGAATATACTGTAAAGTGAACTGACTGCATATTTTGTGGGCAAAACGCGGCAGCCAATTGCGTGCCTGAGTGCATTCCGCAGCAAAATGTCACAAATTCATCCGAACCACAATCCCAATCCTTTCTCCCTACAATCTAAGGGATTTTAGATCCCAAATCCAGCATCACCCAGCTGCCCAGCCTTCTCTACATCACCAAATGTTACAGATACATGCCCATCAATTATGCGCTGGAAGTTTTACTGTCTGTGAGACACCTAATCTAGTCAAACTTCCTGATTGTGTGCCACACCTTCAATATATTGCGTAACTGAACCCTTTACAAAACCATACATCTCTTCAATTCTTCCATTCACTTGTTATACAAATAAAGCCTTGGCTTCTCAATTAGCCTCGTCAATCGACTTTTTTGCATTCCTCCTCCAATGTAACAAAAGGATTTATTAACTGTTTCCAATTCTACACCTTTATTTTACAGATGTGGTCACCTACAAATCTACATCTTTTGGCTTGCAAATGAGCATGCAGTTAATATTTGTCTGTAATCCACTGATAATAAATCCCGAATCCTCCACTGCACACAACCACATGATTACGTTCATTATGTCTAGGCTTTTTTTTAAGCCCAATCCCACTCTCCCACTTTCTCCCCACACCCTTAAATATTATTCTTTTTCAAACATCCATAGAAATTTTTTTTCAAAGAATTAATGGACTCTGCCTCGTGTACAGAGGCCTTCCTAGTGTCTCTCCTAAATTGCTCTTCATAGCTTTGAATCTCTTGTCCTGCTGGCTTGGTGCATCTCAAAATTTACTTTCTTCAACTCATTAACAACAACAAAGACGTCCCAAGGCGCTGGACAGACAGAGTTACGGACCCGAGCTGAGGGTTGGGGTGGGGGAAGTGGGAAAGGCAGGGGGGGCAGCAGGGAGATTGAAAACATGATCGAAGAGGAGGGTCTTAAGATGGGTCTTGAAGGTGGTGAGGGAGGGTGTGAGACTGCGGGATGGAATTCCAGATGGTGGGTGCAGAGTGGCGGAAGGCCTGCCCGCCGATAGTGGGGCGAGCAAGGCAGGGGACTTGAAGCAGGCCGGAGCCCGCTGAACGGAGGGAGCAAACAGGGTTGTAGGGGGTTAGGAGATCGGAGAGGTAGGGGGGAGCAAGACGGTGGAGGGCTTTGAAGGTGAGGACCAGGATCTTGAACTCTATCCTCTGTGTGATGGGAAGCCAGTGGAGTTGGGCAAGGATGTAGTTGATAAGGTCACGGAACCCAGTGCGGAGAGGACATGGGCTGCAGAGTTCTGGATGATCTGCAGCCTGTGGAGGGAGGAGTTGGCGGGGCCGACAAGAAATGAGTTTGCATAGTCGAGCCTCGATGTGATGAAGGTGTGTATGAGGGTTTTGGTGGCCTGTGGTGTGAGACAGTGTCGGAGCCGGGCGACGTTGAGGTAGGGGAAGGCAGATGGTCATGACGCAGATGTGGGGTAGAAAGGATAGTTGGGGTCAAACAAGACCCCAAGGTTCCGGACTGGCTTAGCAAGGTGGAGTGTGCAACTGTGGATGGTGATGCTGTCAGCGCCTGAAGTGAGGAGGGTGAGCCAATCAGGAGAGCCTCAGTCTTGTTGACGTTCAACCGAAGTTAGCTCTCATCCAGGACTAGATGTCTGACAACAACAACAAGTTTCCATTTATAGAGTGCCTTTCACGTCGGGAGGACGTCCCAAGGCGCTTGACAGTTGGGTCAGGACCCGAGCAGGGGGGAAATCGTCAGGGTGAGGGAAGGGAGGGAGCGAGGAGGGGGTAGAGAGTCGAGAGGGGAACTGAAGGCACGGTCAAAGAGAAAGGTCTTGAAGGAGGAAAGGGAGGAAGCGGTGAAGGCACTGGGGGATAGAGTTCCAGAGCCTCGGGGCTGAGAGGGTGGTTGGGACGGGGGATGTGGAGCAGACTGGAGCCAGAGGAACGGAGGGTACGGGCAGGTAAGTAGGGGGATAGTAGGTCAGAGAGGTAGGAGGGAGCAAGGCCGTGAATGGCCTTGTAGGCGAGGATGAGGATCTTGAATTCGATCCTCTGGGGGATGGGGAGCCAGTGGAGGCGAGCGAGGGTGGGAGTGATGTGGTTGCGGTGTCTGGTGCGGGACAGTACACGAGCTGCAGAGTTCTGAATGACCTGCAGTGTGGAGGGAGGGCCGGGAAGGCCGGCGAGGAGAGAGTTCCCATAGTCCAGCCTTGAGCTGATAAAGGCGTGAACCAGAGTTTCAGCCGCGTGAGGGGTGAGGTAGTGCCGTAGTCTGGCGATGTTTCAGAGGTGATGGAAGGCGGTGCCAGTTGTGGCGTGGATATGAGGGAGAAAGGACAGCTCCGGGTTGAACAGAACACCGAGGTTCCTGATGGCTTTGAGAGGTGGAGAGTGCAGCCTTGGATGCTGATGCTGTCAGCGCCTGAGGTGCGGAGGCACTGACGTGAGCCAATCAGGAGGGCCTTGGTTTTACGCACGTTGAGCTGAAGAAAGTTGTCGCTCGTCCAGGACTCGATGTCGGACAGACAGCTGTCAGGACACCGGTGGTTGTGGAGTTGAGGGTAGAGGAGGAAAGGTAGAGTTGGGTGTCATCCGCATACATGTGGAAGTTAACCCCATGTCTGCGGATGATGTCACCAAGGGGAGCATATAGAGGGTGAAGAGGAGGGGACCGAGGACAGAGCCCTGAGGGACACCGCATGAGGCAGTGCGGGAGGTGGAGGAAAAGCCGTTTGTGGAAACAAAATGAAGATGGTGGGAGAGGTACGACCTAAACCACTCAAGGACAGGGCCTTGAAGATTGAAGTGGGAGGACAAGCGGTGGAGGAGGATAGCGTGGTCGACCATATTGAATGCCGCCGTCCGCATTCCGTCAGCACAGCAGTAGTACTGGAGTCAAGGGTGAGGCAGAGTTGGGTGTAATCCGCATACACGTTCAAGTTGACCCCAAGTCTGTGGATGATGTTACCAAGAGAGAACATATAGATGTTGAAGAGGAGGGGACCAAGGACAGAGCCCTGAGGAACGCCGCACGAGTCCGGGAGCTAGAGGAGAAGCCGTTTGAGGAGATGAAATGCAGGCAGTATGAGAGGTATGATCAGAACCAATCAAGGACAGCGCAATGGAAGTTGAGATGAGAGGAGAGGCGGTGGATGAGGATAGAGTGGTCGACAGTGTCGAAAGCAGCAGAGAGGTCAAGAAGGCCGAGGAGGCAGAGGGAGCCCTGGTCACAGATGGACAGAATGTCATTTGTCACTTTGACCAGTGGTTTCTGTGCTGGGACTTCCTCCAGATGTGAAAGGAGCTATACAAATGTAATTTTGTTGTTGTTGTTGTTGATAGGAATGATGACAGCGTTTTTAAAGGGGTGGGAACAGTACCAAAGGACAGGGAGAGGTTAACGATGTCATTGAGTAGAGGGACAAGGAGGTGGAGCTGGGAGGTAAGGAGGGGGGAGGGATGGGGTCCAGGGAACAGGTGGTGGGTTTCATATGGGTTATGGTGGTGATGAGAGAGGAAGGGGAGATGGGCTCAAAGGTGTGGAGGGAGGGATGGTTAGGGGCTGGGGTGGGAGGAGGAGATGGGGAGAGATTAAGGGATTATATCTCCATAAGAATATGCAGAGAATTGGATAGATACGTGAAAAGGAAAAATGTGGTCTGGGGTAAGAGCGGGGGAGTGGGACTTGTTGGATAGCTCTTTCAAAGAACCGACACAGGCATGATGGGCTGAATGGCCTCCTTCTGTGCAATAAAATTCTATGATTCTATGTTTTCATGCATAGTAGGTCACATGGTCTATAACTAGACAGCACTGCTGTAATTCTCCCCCTCCCATGAAGAGTACATTTAGATGTTTCACACATCAGTGACTTACCTTTATGCATAACCAGACGGAGAGAGGGAATGTCAGGATCATGAATAGATAAGAGAGCATTACCAAGATCCATCCACAAACGCCAAGGCCATTCTGTACTTGGTCTGTGCAGAAACATAGATGACATAAATACCTGCATGTTAGCAGTATCAGTTTAAAACTGTGTGATAACTAAGAAAGTAATCTCGTTCAACATGTCGCAGCAACACAGAACTATCAATCACATACGCTTATATCTGGTTTATTTTTTACTTAATCCATTTTTTTTAATATACCGATTCATTTCCCATTTTTGTAACCAATTTTTAAATAGCATTTAAGTTCCAAACCATTGATGAGATTCGTTATTGTATAATACTTAAGGTGGAGGTTTTTGGTTTATGTTACCACACAAAGAGATCCTTTGTACGGTTTTACTTTCTCCAATGGACCAGGATGATTGTCACAAGACCCATTTCCACCTCTCTCGCATCGATAATTATGACATTTTCCTTTGTGTTCCTTGCTGCCTCCAAAGAGGCGAAGAACTGTTTGATTGCGACACACTGACCTTTCTTATCCTGAAGTTACCAAGATAGTGACTCAAACTATTTCCTTTCACACGGTTATTGCCTATCACATGCTTGCAATTAGTCAATCTCATAACTCTGGGAATCTACACCTTCCTGTGCTTTCCTATTCTGCCCGAATATTCTTAGAAATGAACAAGCAGCCTTAGCTAAAGATTAACTGACACAAATTCACATCTTGCTGAGAAGCTTGGTTTAAATGTGCACTAGATTTGCACCGATCTATAAAACACTGTGACTGCGATGGTTGATGATGCAAAACGAAGCGCAGAACATCTTCTATCCCTCCATAAATCTGCAGCGTCGATGCATTTAATAACCTTTGAACACCCCGTGATGCTCATTCTCTGAAGAAGTTCAAAAGAGCTACCTTCTACTTCTCTCAATTATACCCTTTCCTCTATCTCTGCCACTAAGAGCAAGAAAATTCGTAACCATTAACAGGATAAGAACACGTGAAATGCAGAGCTAATTTATTGACACTAAGCTTTTCTGCAACATGTTTGCAATGTATACACACACACACGCGCGCGCAGAATAATAAATTGTACACACAACAGAGCAGCATAAACCACCCCGCCTTCCTCTTAAATAGTAATCCTTGCATTGGTATGTACTTGCACACACTTCGCGCAGTTCACAATCGACTTGTGGGATCCCCCTCCATTTCTCTCTCTTCCCTCATCAGTCTGCGATAGAGCCAATAATGTCAAGGCGGGGGGGGGGGGGGAAAGAGAACCACTAACTAACCTGATACAGTAGAATAGATTATAGAATTATACAGCACAGAAGGAGACCATTTGGCCCATCGTGTCTGTGCCGGCTCTTTGAAAAGAACTATCCAATTCAACCCCACTCCCTCGCGCTCTCCCCGTAGCCCTGCAAACTTGTCCTCCCCAAATAATTATCTACTTCTTTGTTAAAAGTTGTTATCGAATCGGCTTCCACCACCCTTTCAGGCAATGCATCCCAGATCCGAACAACTCGCTGTGTACAGTAATAGGACTAAATGATCATGAGAAATAATCAGCATATAATAATGTTTCAGTTATTCTACAGCTTCAAACATTGACCACATAGTTAATTGACAAAGAGAGATTAAATGCTATCGATGGCCAAATGTACGTGTAAAATGGGTGGTTGTGAAACTTGTGACAAAAATAGAAAGAGGAAATAAATATATTTCTCACTTGCATGTGATTTATTGAATTTAACCACAGATTAGCACATTACATTTAAAGATGTCACCCTAATCACACTTGCTTTTGCTGCGCTTGCTTTTAACTGACACTGTTGCCATGTTTGCCTACAAACTACACTTCACTTCGTATACTCCCAACGTGAAAGGCGCTTTACCAAATGTAAGGATTTTCTTTACTATTACTTATATTAAAACGGAGGCTTATTAGAGGATAGAATATTTGCCACAAGCAGCTATTACATTAGAATATACAGCAAAGAAACAGGCCATTCGGCCCAACTGGTCTATGCTGGTGTTTATGCTCCACATGAGCCTCCTCCTGCCCTTCCACAACTCAGCTTTCAAGCGTAACCTTCTATTCCTTTCTTCCTCATGTACCTCTCGAGCTTCCCTGTAAATACATCAATGCTATTTGACTCAACGACTCTTTGTGGTAGCATGTCTCACATTACCACTACTCTCCGTGTGAAAACATTTCTTCTAACTTCCCTATTTGATCTGTTTGTGACTATTTTATATTGATGGCCCCTGGTTTTGGTCTCCCCCACAAGTAGAAATGTGTTCCTAAGTCTACCCTATCAAAACCTTTCATAATTTTAAAGACCTCTATCAGGTCACCCCTTATCCTCCTCTTTTCAAGAGAAAAGAGTCCAAGTATGTTCAGCCTTTCCTGATAGGTATAACCTCTCAATTCTGGGATCGCTCAGTCCACGACTGTTTGTGGGACACTGCTGCACACAATTGGCTGCCGCGTTTCGCCCATAAAATATACCGTCAATTCACTTTACAGTATATTCTGCTTTGAGATGTCTCGCAGACGTGATAAGGCACTATATCAAATGCAAGGATTATTATTATTATTATCATCCTTGTGAATCTCCTTTGCACCCTCTCCAGTGCCTCTACATCCCTTCTATAATGTGGGGACCAGAACTGCAAGCAGTCTTCTAAGTGTGGTCTATTAGAACCATAAAGATTATAATGTTGTGCTTAGCAAATGAACATGAAATGGTGCAGGGAAAATAATAATCCTTGCATTTGATATAATGCTTTTCATGTCTTCTAGACGTCTCAAAGCGCTTCACAGAATATACTGTAAAGTGAATTGACTGTATATTTTGTGGGTGAAACACGGCAGCCAATTGCGCACAGCAGTGTCCCACAAACAGTTGTGGATTGAGTGACTAAATTATTATTTTTATTTATTTTTTTATTTATCTATTTTTCTTGACGGATTATTATCAGGCATATGGAAACCTGCCCAAAGCTTCGCCCTGCTGGGATTCGAGCCCAGGTCTCTCGCTTGCGAGGTGAGTGCTCTAACCACTGAGCTATATAGGACTCCACAAATTTGTATAGAGGCCAGTAGGGAACCAGTATCAGCACAGATTTGAAGAACCAAACTGCCTTCTTCTATGCCATCATTTCTATGAACCTATGAAGGGAAAGAACAACAGAAGGGAGACAAACACTCCTCATACACCCAGACAACACTGCAAGCATTTTTCTTAGGACCCATTGTTCTGTTTATTTACAAGAGTTGAGACCAGGGAGTCATCTGAACGGCTGATAAGCCACACAATGGACCTGATTAAATATCTATGCAACGTATGATACACAAGACACACATGCATTTAAATACCATGGAGTTGGTAGTTACGCAAGCCTCCTTCAGCAGCCTGAATCATTAAGCTGTGTATGTGAAAGGGCAAGCGTGGGTCATCACATCAGCAAGCCTGGGCGGAAGGCGGCGGAGGTAAGGCAAGGTGAATCCAGCCGTTACTTGGGTGATTGATGGCAAGCGTCAGTTTTGAAAGACTGTTGACCTGGTGGGAGGTTTCTCACTGCAGCCCAGGGCTCATATCGGGTCAGGGAGACAAGAGTGAGGTACCAGCCAAGCACTGGGTCCTGTAGCTCAGTGGTTAGAGCACTCGCTTTGCAAGCGAGAGACCTGAGCTCAATTCCAGGCAGAGGGCGAAACCTCGGGCAAGTTTCCTTACTCCACACAGAGCCCAATAATAATCCCTCCAAAACAATAATAAATTGGTCATTTTCAATCCATGACTGTTTGTGGGACATTGCTGTGCGCAATTGGCTGCCGCGTTTCGCCCACAAATATACAGTCAATTCACTTTACAGTATATTCTGTGAAGCGCTTTGGGACGTCCTCCCGACGTGAAAAGCGCTATATCAAATGCAAGGATTATTATTATTATTATTATTATTGTCTCCTTCAAGACCCATCTCAAGACCCTCGTCTTCGCCCGTACCTTCGGTCACCCTCCTTCCCCCCCCCCCCAACCCCCACCCCTCCTACTGCTCTCCAGCCTCCCCGAGCCCAACCAGCAGCTCGGGTCCCAGACGTCGTCGTCGTCGCTGCCGAAGCTCTTTTGAGACGTGGCGGAGAGACGCGATAAGGCGCCACATCCAAATGCAAAGATTAGTCTTAAATATTGTTATTGTTTGTAAATAATAGACCCCCACCCCCACACCCCCACACCCCCCACAGGCACCAGCCCAAGCACCACAGGGAATGAGCCGAAGTGCCAGGCAGGGCAGGGCAGGGCAGGGCAGGGCAGGGCATCCCAACACCCACCCTGGGGGGCAAGAGGCGAGGCAGTGAGTGCGGTGCACAGTGCAGTGAGGGGGAGGTTGTGAGGAACACTGTCTGCGAGGCGGCGGTCAGACTGACAGACTGACAGACAGACAGACAGAGACTGACAGACAGACAGTCAGACTGACTGACTGACTCCGGTTCAGGTTCATTTACTTGACGGGAAACATTGACGTTATTATTATTATTATGATTATTATGATTATTGCGGCGGCGGGAGAAATAAGACGTTTTTTTTCGAACACACGCGCGGCCCCCAAAAAAAGATGATGATAAAATAAGTGAGTGGGGGGGCGGGGGGGGGGCGGCGGGGAAATCAAAAAGGAAAAAAAAAATAAGAATCAAAAGAAAAAAGAAAAGAAAACCGGGCGCACAATCCGCTAACCTTTGCTCTCGCTCCGATGCGACTTCATTGTCATGTCGGCGTCCATGTTCCCGCCGCGTACAACGACAACTGACGACCGACACCAAACGCCTCAGACTCAGCCTCAGCGACAACCGCCGCCCACACACACACTCATACACACACGCGCACAGCCACTGCCCTCCCGCCTCCCGCCCTCCCAGGGCCCCGCCCTCCCAGATCACCGCCCGCCCCCCGCGGGGCCACATCCGCCAATCAGATCGCAGCGCTTCCTGTCAATCACAGCCCACTGTTCACGCCCTCCCCACCCCCCGCCGCCCCGCCTCCCGCGCAACCTGTCAATCACAGCCGCTCCCTCCCAGCCCCACCTGTCAATCACAGCCCCGCCCAGTTCACGCCCCCTCCCTCCTCTCCCCCAAACCCACCTGTCAATCAAATCCCCACCTGTCAATCACAGCCCCAGGCCGGACAGGCCATCACCCTCTCACCTTGTCCCCCCCCCCCCCCCCCACCCACTGCAGCCGCCCGCAAATAGCCAACTACCATATTAATTTGTTGGTTCAAGACCTTTACGACTTTGAAGATTTTACGACCATCGAACCTTGGTTCGGTGGTTAACGCGCAACACGAGATAGAATCCTCTCGTAATCCTCAGTAATAATCCTGGCATTTGAGATGGAACATTGTCAAAGCGTCTCAAAGTGCATCGCGGAATGGAAAGTGCGTTGACTGTGCATTTTGTTCACGAACACAGCAACCGATTCGTGCAGAGCAATGTTCTACAAGACACCATGAAGTGAATAACTGGTTTTATCTGGGGGATTGTTGACTGGGACACTGGGACAAACTCCCTTCTCGTTCGAACAGTGCCACCTGAACAGCATAGACGGGACCTCGATTTAATGTCTGATCTGAAGGAAGGTGTCTCTGACATTGCAACAGATTCCCAGCACTGTACTAGTTTCAGCCTGGACTATGAGTACAGTCTTAAAGAGGGTGAAGGAACAGAGAGTCCTGGGGATTCATATAAGTAAATCTTTGACGGTCGCAGGACAGGTAGATAACGCTGTTAAAAAAGCATACGCGATACTAGGCTTTATAAACAAAGACATAGAATACAAAAATCAGGAAGTTATGATGATCCTTTATAAAACACTGGTTAGGCCTCAGCCGGAGACTGTGTTCAAGTTCTGCGGACCACACTTTAGGAAGGATGTCAAGGCATTGGAGAGGGAGCAAAGGAGATTTACCAGAATGGTACCAGGAATGAGGGACTACAGTTATCAGGAGAGGTAGAGAAGCGAGGATTATTCTCCTCGGTGCAGAGAAGGTTAAGAGGAGACTCAATAGAAGTTTTCAAACTTATGAGGGGATTCGATAGGGTGAACAAGGAGAAACTATTTCCACTGGTGGGTGGACTGGTAACCCGATGACACCGATTTAAAATAGTTGTTAAAAGAAACAGAGGGGAGGTGAGAAGAATAAACTGTAAAGTGAATTGACTGTATATTTTGTGGGCGAAATACGGCAGCCAATTGCACACATCAGTATCCCACAAAGTCATGGATTGAGTGACCACATTTTTTAAAGGGATTATTACCCCTGGAGGGTGCTTGTAACATATTCTATAATGGTTACCATTGCAATACTGTACAGGTATTTCCATCTAGTGGCAGCTACTAAGTACTGGAGCATCCTAAGTGAGGTATACTGGAAGCTGCCATACAGCCACCTGCGTACAAGGGAAGTTTTATTTACAGATTGTTTCTGTTTTCGCTCAGTGTGCTTCAGCTCCAGAGAGCCTTCCTAGAATTTTTTAAATGTCAGGGCTGCTTTGATTTGATCATAAACCACCTGTGGCCTTGGACCTTATTGTTTATTTCAGCAAGGTGTGTTTTGTAACAGCACAAAACAGCCCTGTTTTGCTCACTGGTTTTATGCAGATTGAGTGAGATCACTGCACATCAAAGTACTGAACCAACCCATCATCATCCTTGGTTGAGTTTTCAGCCTTTCTACCCCTGCTCTTGGGAACACCATCCCAAGATCCTTCAAACTTACCCCCTCACTCCTCAAGAATACCCCATTTTCCTTAAGAAATACCTTTTTGTCCGTGCTTTGGTCATCTTCCACCCCCTACCCACCCTTCGCCCCAACCCCCCTTTAGGAGTATGGCAAAATGATTTGTGACAATTAAAATCCTTTAAGTTGAAGAGATCATAGGCTTAGGAGTTGCAAAGGGCAATTTCAGAACAGATACCAGGACGTTTTTCTTCACCCAGAAGGTACTCAACAACCAAAACAGGTTGCTAGAAAGAGGGTTTGAAGCCAGGATGTTGCACTCATTAATAAAACAGCTTGATGCTCTGTTAGAAGGACGGCAAAGTATGTATTCAGGAAGATGAGATCAAAAGGGCAGAAAGTCCTCTTCATCTGAACCACTTGTAATCATATGCCAGTGTGTGATCAGGCAGGAGTGAACCTGTACACTGAGTGGATAAGGTCTTTCGTTAACACTAGGTGTTGGCACATGGCGGGAATGGGGTCAGTTTGTGAGTGCCGGTGCCTGGCTGAAGTGTGTGGCTACTTGTTGGCAGGATGAATGCCAAAACAGCTGGCAAGATGCTAGGGGATTGAGGTGAGGGGGCACATACTCCTAGTCAACAAGATTGGAGTGTGTCACAGTTGTTTCTTAGATTAAAATTAGCACTAGAAGTAATTCTATTCCATTCATACTGACACTATCCACACTATCTTAATAAATGGCTCTGTGTGTTCCTAATGTTAGCTGTTTCTGTAGATATAGAGGTGGTAAATAGATTTCTAACTATAATATTAGGAGCTGATTGAAGAGCTCGTGGGGTGACAGTCCACTGAATGAGCAACATTTTCCTGCGTTTAAAATCACCTGATATACTTTGAGCAAGTGTTGCTTCACATTTCGTGACCCTCTAAGATACCATGTGATAATATCACCACTGAAGGCTGAACACTTCAGGCTGCAAAATCTCATCCATTTATAGTGTCTCAAATAGTCTGTCTGTTGTCTGTCTGTCTGTGTCTGTCTGTCTGCTGTGTGTGTGTGTCTGTCTGTCTGTCTGTCTGTCTGTCTGTGTCTGTCTGTCTGTCTGTCTGTGTGTGTGTCTGTCTGTCTGTGTGTCTGTCTGTCTGTCTGTGTGTCTGTGTGTCTGTGTCTGTCTGTCTGTCTGTCTGTCTGTGTCTGTCTGTCTGTCTGTCTGTCTGTCTGTCTGTGTGTCTGTCTGTCTGTCTGTCTGTGTCTGTCTGTGTCTCTGTCTGTCTGTCTGTCTGTGTGTCTGTGTGTCTGTCTGTCTGTGTGTCTGTGTGTCTGTGTCTGTCTGTGTCTCTATCTGTCTGTCCTCTCTCTGTCTGTCTGTCCCTCTCTCTGTCTGTCTGTCTGTCTGTCTGTTTCTCTCTCTGGTCTGTCTGTCTCTCTGTCTGTCTGTCTCTCTATCCATCTGTCTGTCTGTCTGTCTGTCTGTCTGTCTCTGTCTGTCTGTCTGTCTGTGTCTCTATCTGTCTGTCTGTCTATCCGCAGATCTGTGCTGTGCAGTTTCCTGGAATGAAACCTGCAGTTCCCTTTTTAAAAAAAAGCCATTTCTTGTTGTTGTTGTTGTTGTTGTTCCCTAGCCCAGCTGTTAACGTTGTCTTACTTTCGCCTCTCACTGAGAAGCAGGTTCACCCCCCCCCCCCCCCACCCCAACCCACCCCCCCCCCTGCAGCCTTCACTCTGTACCCATCAGTTCCGTTCACAGGGCCAATAAACAGGATTGTGGGCTGTGTAGAGTATTGCCAATTCAGTTGGGTTGGCCAATTTATTATTGTTTTGTTTTGGAGGGGTTATGATAAGGCCCCAGAGGCAATGCGGAGGAGAGTAACAAAGAGGGTGATACCCCAATTCTCAGAGGAATGAGCTGTGAACAACAATTAGATAAGCTAGGGGGCTGTTCAGTCCAGAGAGGAGACATTTAAAGAAGACCTTATTTACAATTTGTTGTTCTTATCTGTCTTTTTAAGATGCATAACAACAAATTACACTGCATAGCGCCCTTCATGTCGGAACGGAGTCCCAGGGCGCAGGGCAGTCTCGGGGTTTTGAACCCGAGCTGGGAGTTGGGGTCAGGAGGGTGTGGAGGGTAGGGGGGGGATGGAGGTGGGAGAATGGCCGAAGAGGAAGACATTACTTGGAAGGCGTTTATAGTGTTTAAAATAACATTTGAAACGGGATTAAATAAAGCATAAATAAACCCTGAACAATGTTTTCGGAGGTGGCAGAGCAAGATAATGTGTTTAGAGTTGCAAAGGGTAATTTCGGGATGGATACTGGGACGTATCTCTTCACCAGGAGGGTAATTAATAAACAGGTTGCCAGGTAGAGTGGTTGAGGCCAGGTCACTGGGACTCATTTATAAAAAAAAAGCAGCTCGCACCTTTAATAGTAAGGTGGGTGTTCTGGAGGGATGAGATCTAATAATAATACAACAACAACAACAAGATTCCATTTATAGAGCGCCTTTCACATCAGGAGGACGTCCCAAGGCGCTGTACAGTTGGGTCAGGACCCGAGCAGGGGAGAAATGGTCAGGGTGAGGGGAGGGAAGGGAGGGAGCGAGGAGGGGATCGAGAGGGGAGCCGAAGGCACGGTCAAAGAGAAAGGTCTTGAGACCGGCCTTGAAGGAGGAAAGGGAGGAGGCAAGACGAAGACACTGGGGGATAGAGTTCCAAAGCCTCGGGGCTGAGAGGTTGAAGGTCCGGCCACCGATGGTAGGGCGGTTGGGGCGGGGGATGTGGAGCAGACTGGAGCCAGAGGAACGGAGGGTACGGGCAGGTAGGTAGGGGGATAGTAGGTTGGAGAGGTAGGAGGGAGCGAGGCCGTGAATGGCTTGTAGGTGAGGATGAGGATCTTGAATTCGATCCTCTGGGGGATGGGGAGTCAGTGGAGGCGAGCGAGGGTGGGAGTGATGTGGTCCCGAAGCCTCGTGCGGGACAGTACACGATAATAATCCTTGCATTTGATACAGCACCTTGTCATGTCTCAAAGTGTTTCACAAAATATACTGTAAAGTGTAGTGACTGTATATTTGTGGGCGAAACACAGCAGGCAATTGCGCACAGCAGTGTCCCACAAACAGTTGTAGATTGAGTGACCAAATTACTATTATTTATTTATTAACTATTTTTTGTTGAGGGATTATTATCAGGCGAGTGGAGTAAGGAAACTTGCGCTGACCTGACCTGCCAGGAATCGAACTCAGGTCTCTCGCTTGTGAGGCTCTAACCACTGAGCTACAGGACTCCACATTGGTGGATTCACAAACACAAAAAGCAATAAAAAGGTGCGATTGAAGATCTGACGGCAGATTTTATCTCTTCTTTGGGGCAGGTTTGGAGCTGGATCTGTGTCGCCTGGTGTACGGGCAGCATCTGGTGAAAGAAACGCTCGTGGACACTATCAGAGACTTTACAGAGAACCCGAGCCCCAGAAAACCCCTGGTGCTGTCCTTCCATGGCTGGTCAGGGACTGGGAAGAGCTACGTGACTTCGTTGCTGGTGAAGAGTCTGCACAGGGATGGAATGAAGAGCCGGTATGTGCATCAGTTCGTACCTACCCTGCACTTTCCCCACGCCAGCCACATCCAGGTCTACAAGGTAGGACGCTTCAACCACTTTGGTTTCTGCGTGAGCAGTAAGTACACCGGGTGATCTGCAGGTGGCACAGTGGTTAGAGCTCTTGCCTCACAAGCGAGAGGACCCGGGTTTGATTCCCAGGCAGATCTAAACCTTAGGCGATCGAATAACAACGGGGTTCTTGTTTACTGCTAGGTAAACAGAGGCATGTGGAGTAAGGAAACTTGCCTAAGGTTTTGCCCTGCCTGCGAATCGAACCCGGGTCCTCTCGCTTGCGAGGCGAGCGCTCTAACGACTATGCTGCGGGGACTCCAAAAGCCCACGTTACCGTGCCCACTGATGTATTCAACCCGGGTATATATCGCTGCTCTTCACTGTCTCCATAACGTTCAATGCTTCGGTGTGTCAGCCAACCCTTCCTTTACTGGCCTCGGATTGGTCACTCATTCCCTTACGCTCGGGAGTCAAACGGGTTACTTTGGGCTTGGTCTCTTCATTAGGATGATCTGAAACGCTGGATCACGGGGAACCTGAGTGAGTGCGGTAGATCGGTGTTTATATTTGACGAGATGGATAAAATGCACCCGGGTTTGATCGATGCTATCAAGCCTTTCCTTGGCAACAGCCACGTTATGTTTGGAACGAATTATCGGAAAGCGATGTTCATTTTTGTAAGGTAAGCTTCTGCGCTCCATGAGGCGACCCCAAGCGAAGGCCGCTGTATAATAATAATAATACTAATCCTTGCATTTGATAAGGTGCCTTATCTGAGACGCCGTCCGGTGTGGAGGGCGCTATATAAATCCAAGTTGTTGTTGTTGTTGCTGCTGCCTTATCACGTCTTTGAGACGTCTCAAAGCGCTTCACAGATATACTGTAAAGTGTAGTGACTGTGTATTTTGTGGGCGAAATGCAGCAGCCAATTGTAAAGTGAACTGACTGCATATTTTAATAATATAGTATAATAATAATCCTTGCATTTGATATAGCGCTTTTCACGTCTTCTCGACGTCTCAAAGCGCTTCACAGAATAGACTGTAAAGTGAATTGACCGTATATTTGTGGGCGAAACTAATTTTGTGAGAAACTAATAAATTATATATTTACTATACAAATGCAAGTTAAATCTTTTTGTCCTCTTTGTCTCCAGCAATGCAGGAGGTGATCAGATCAACCAGCTGGTGCTAGATTTCTGGAAGGATCGAAAGGACAGGGAAGATATCAAATTGGCCGACTTGGAATCCAAACTGTCTGCAGCGGTTTTTAACAGCCAAAGCAGTAAGTGTTT